AGGAGATTGTGCCGGCCAGGGTAAGATGTTCAATTGATGAGCATTAATAAACTCACTTACCACTCTGGCTGTATGAGGCCGTGCATTGTCATGCATAAGAATGAAGTTTCTCCCAAAATCATTGGCATATGGTAACACGACAGGCTCAAGAATTAAATCACGATATGTGATTCCTGTTAGAAACCTTTCAAAAAAAACGAGATCGGGTTTTCGGCCTAACTGGACTCCTCCCCAGGCCATAACTGTTCCACCTTGATAAGAGAGCACTTCCTGAACATGATCCAACCGAATAAGATTTCCCGGTTCTCTCCATACCCTAAGCCTTCTCGAATCCGGATGAATTCCAAAGCGTGACTCATCCGTGAAGAGAACATTGGCCCGTTGTTCATTCGACCACTGAACATAATCTTGAGCCCACAAATATCGTACCTCTCGATTTCCTCTCGTTAAGGGTTGAGCTCTCCAGGGGCGTCTGCTTCTTAAGTTGACCTCTCTTAATCTATTGCGAACAGTGTCAGGACTAACGGTTACATTATGTGTTTCCTGGAGAATTAAACTAAGCTCTGGTGCTGTAAGAGTCGGTCGGCGTCGAGCATTTAATTGTAAAAAATGATTTTGCTGAGGGGTAGTAAGTACGATGTCGCCCTGTGTGCCTTTCAGCAACATCACCACTTTCACGGTAGCGTGTACTTAATCGCGATAATACACTTTGCGTTGTATTTAATGCTCTAGCTACGTCGATTTGGCGCATTCCAGCTTCGAGCATACCCATGGCCCTTAGCATTTCGTCTCTGTTAAGATGTCTACGCTCCATAATGTCGTTTAATACTAAACAGAGTTATTTGAATGAATTCTGGCCAGTTATCATAAAAACATAGCCAGTACAGGTTAAATTCGAACAATTGATACTAGGTGCTTTTTATACATTTGACGAAAAATGCACATACACTTCTGCAAATATCCCAAATTTAGAAATAACTAGTGTGACTACTTCGTTTCAATCGAAGTAGAAAGAATCGGCCTACAAACATGTGGTTGTTTATTCAAAACATTTATTTTTAACTTTAATAAAATTATATCCCTAGATTTTTCCGGTGTGTGTAGTATACGAGTGAGGTTGATAGTTTATATTTTAAAACGGAATACACTCTACCTACAGTTCATACCAAATAAACTTTTAGTCACGTGATTAAGCTTGACCGGCACCAGCGTTGCCCACTTTTATATATTTTCTTTTAATCAAAACAATTTAGAAAACAAAAATCAATTAATTATAAATATATAAACAGTTATTATTTAAATCAACAAAACTCAAACTTTTCCGTTAAAAATATTTTAATAAAGTTGCGATGATTTTTTTTCGGCAATGAAGCTATCTTGTACACTTTGCACTAAAAGAGGTTCTAAAAAGAACAATGATCGACTGCAGTCTGCTAGTAAATATTTTCAAGCTTAAAGTATCACAACACTATTTATTTAAACCAAAAACTCATAATGTCAGGAAATAACAATGTCAGGAAATAAATAAATGCGTCATCTTGACATTTTTTACAATATTTTTTCATCTCTGAATTCCCAGCGCGAAATTTAAATTCCAGTTAGCACGGCGCCGAATATGTCCATGGTTGGCAAGAATGAATTTAATATCGCGCCCTCGATTACATAACTAAGAGTTTAACTGATATGAAATATATATTTACAGCCTATTTATTAGACAGTCAGTTGACTTACCATCATTTACATATTGTAATCGCAAAACATTTTCCGATGCACGTTATCAATCATATCGACATTGACACTAAAGTCTATAAACCTGACTAAATCAAATTTTGGTAAAAATGTTTAAATTTGTTGTATAATTTAAGATACCGAGCAGATATAAGATCCTTATACTTTATAGAGCAAATGATTGTAACAAATATTTTATTTAGATTAAAGTTGCAAAAATTAGTTTAAACCGAATTTTATTACCGCTATGTTGGTCACATTGCGCCGTTTTCAGCAATGTTGTCCTTTATTATTTGACAATTATCCTACTGTCAGTCATTATTTTGTATAATATCGTGTTGTTGAATCTTTATGAGTAATTCTCGTTTTTTTGCCTACTTCCATAGTCTTTTTTTTAAATTGCACTTTTAAGCACAAACAGTTCTTTTAAGAACTAAACTTTCGAGTTTTTGTGAATTTTCGAAATTGTGTGTAGAAAATATGCCTAAGCATTTAAACCGTCGAATCAAAGAGCTTGTAGCTTCCCTGTTTTTTTTTTAAATATTTTGAACAAGAACGTGACAATAAAGGTTCCTTTATTACCCTTGACTGCAGTCAGAAAAGTAAGTTTGATTGATGAGCACATTATACCACTTTGAAAGTTGGTTTTTATTAAATTCTGTGATTTCGTTTGTGCATTAATAGCACCCTCTTGTTATTACCACGTATGGCGTTGTAAGATGTACAGGGTGAGTCAACGATAGAGTAAAGTCCATTATCTCATTTGTTTCAAGGTTTACAAAAAAATGTTAAATATAAAAGTTATAGAGAAGTTTAAGATACACATATTAAAATAATTATAGAGTATACAGGGTGCTTCAAAAAAGTGTGGCGAATATAACATATGTTTTTTTAAATGCAATACCCTATTTTTTATATAATTTTTAGATTCTGCATAAAATTCCATAACTTTTTTTATATATAATGTTATATACCTAAAATTAATAGTTTTCGTAATATTTAAATTTGTTTAAACAAATGTTAGATTTCAGTGTGATAAAAAATTGTCAGTGACGCCGTTGTTTCTGAAGTTGGACAACTAAAATTTGGTAGGAAAAATTTATAAAGATGAAGAAAAAGATATTTGTAAAGATATTTTAGTTAGATGCTACAGGGTGTTCAAAATATATTTATAAATTTCAACTATTTAAAATTAAAAAATTTCAAATTTTTTAAATGGTACACCCTATATATTATCATTTTTTCTGATAGATTTTGCAAAGTTCTACAACTTTTATAAGGTATATCATATACCCATTTTTAATAGTTTGCGACTTATTCTGAATTATTCAATTTTTACTCTGTTTTTTTTTAATTCATTTATGGCTAAAACATCATGGTTGCCATGACAAAAATATATATTATTAATCATTAACAAGTAGTTTAGTAACTAGTTACACTACAATTGTTATTATCAGTTTATGTTAATTTACTTTACTCAAATAATAAAAAATCACTGAATTTATTCGTGTATTTCCATACTATGAAAGATGACACTTGGATTTTCCCTTGGAGCGAATGCTATAGATTAGGATAATACCAGATTACCTAGTTAGAGACTACTGATATAGGAGTTTTCTTCGATATAAATTATATTTTTTCTTGTAGCAAATTGCAATTGCAATTCTGGTTTATAATTCATTTCGTAAAGCTAATATTACTATTGCCGCGAAACCGTCCCATTACACACTGAAAATATTTTCTAGTTAATCTACATCTTTTCTTATAGTACTTAGCAATAATATATAATCCTGAAACAAAAAATAATTCTTTCTTGTTCGTGTATATCAGTCAAATTCATTTTCAGCAAAATATGTTACTATTACTTCGTCCATCTATACTTATTGTAACAAATTAAACTAAAATTCAAGTTTTGTTCATAACTTGCTTAACAGACCTATCAAATTTCGAAAATTATTACTTTTTTTCATGGTAACTATGATGTTATAGCGTAATTGTATTAAAAATATGGATAAAAACAGAAAAAATTGGAATAAATCGCAAACTATTAAAAATAGTTATATGACATACTTAATAAAAATTGAAGAGTTTTGTAAAATATATCAGAAAAAATGATAATATATAGGGTGTGCCATTTAAAAAATTTGAATTTTTTTAATTTTAAGTAGTTGAAATTCATAAATATATTTTGAACACCCTGTAGCATCTAACTAAAACATCTTTACAAATATCTTTTTCTTCATCTTTATAAATTTCCCCTACCAAATTTTAGTTGTCCAACTTCAGAAACAATGACATTACTGACAATTTTTTACCACACTGAAATCTAACATTTGTTGAAACAAATTGAAATATTTCAAAAACTATTAATTTTAGGTATATAATATTATATATAAAAAAGTTATAGAATTTTACGCAGAATCTGAAAATAGGATAAAAAATAGGTTGTTGCATTTAAAAAAACATATGTTATATTCGCCACGCTTTTTTGAAGCACTCTGTATATTCTATAATAATTTTAAAATGTGTATCTTAACCTTCCCTATAACTTTTATATTTAACATTTTTTTGTAAACCTCGAAACAAACGAGATAATGGACTTTACTCTATCGTTGACTCACCCTGTACATCAATAAATAAATAGCCCATAATAACGCTAATAATAACCTTCATAATGGACTAGTTTTTGCCGACATGTAATAAGTAAAACAAGATGTAAAATAAATAAATTAATTAATCACTAAAATATTAGTTGTTAAATTAAACATAAAACTCTTTAAAAATGATATAATAAATATGTTGTTTGTCAATTTTAATCACAATTACAATCACAATCTGGCAACCTTGTCGCCATCGCTTGTCACTCACAGTTGATCACGTGCATCGGAAATTGTTTTGCGATTACCATAGAACTCTGCGTACCTATCTACAGTATGTTCCCGGATTGTCTTTACAAGAGGATAAACTTTTTTATTATTGACAATTTGAGAAAAACGCATTCTTCATAAAAATGTTTGCTTGTTCTAAAATGGTTAGTCCCGTTGAGATACTTACACAAATTTCCATACTGTTTTAGAGAAAATTAAAAGAAACATGAAAATGTAGTTAAATATTTTGTCTGGAATAAATCATTCTAGACTTCACTAAACTTCACTTCGCTGTAAGGCGGTACGAAGTTATCCAGGTCAGCTAGTCAATTAATAAAAAAGTATATCATCCGGATTTTACCTGTAATACTGTAGACAAATATATTTTAAAAAATATCAACTAACCAATCGTTTTCTCCAACTGCAGTTTTTACTACTCTCATTTTCGAGTAAATTTTTGGCAATTCTAAGACTTCATCCGCTTCTACTTGTACACCTCTGTTAACTTTATCTTCTTTGGCTCTTGTAATTAATTTTGGTAATTGAAAGTCTTTCTTTTCGATATCATTCAGCCGATTTTCAATTTTTACAAAACATCGTCTGTCAGTTGCGAGTAATTTTTCGCATTCCGACAAAGTCACTGCCAAAAGAATGTCTTCAGCGTCGGACTTGAGTTTTCTCCCAATAATCACTTTCTTAACTAATGCAAAGGTTCTTGGGGTTACATCGGAAACCACTGAACTAGCCGTTGATAACCTCTCTTCATTTTTTGGTAAAAAAATACTATTTACATCTTCTACAGGACCCTTTTCATTTTTTTCAGGTATTGGTATTTCATCACTACTTTGAACGAAATTATTAAAGGTAATATAATCTCCGTCGTCCTGATAAATTCTACGTTTCTTTTTAGGAACAGCATAATCCTCATCTCGTAAATGATCTATATTATAGGGCTCTCCCGATGAAGTAATATTCTTTTTGCTATCTTCTATAAACTTCTCCGCCGCTATTCTCAAAATCTCAAGTCTTTCTTTACTTTTTATATTATCCCAGTTAACATGGTTTCCATCGTTCTTTTCTGTACAACCCTGTACTTCTTTCCCTATGCATTCTTGGATTTGGTCTTTACAACTATATTTGCTTACATGCATAGCTGGAACTGAACAAATACTCCGAATATCCTGAAAGGTCTTTCTCAAATCTGTACTTTCTGACTCGCATAATTTGTATTTATTTTTAAATATCGAGACCACGTGATTTTTTAAAGAGTCCTTGTCTTTGAGAACATCTATATCAGAAAGACTCTTCTTTAAGGAAAAATTAGAGCTTCTGGTATAAAATAAATGATGACTGGAAGTATTTTGGAATATCTGTTGGCTAGGTTCTTTTTCGAAATCAATAGTACTACTTGATCTCCAAGACTTTTTGTCGGTTAAATCATTTAGACTGTCATTTCCGGTAAGGTCTAGTTTAGTACTAGATTGAAATAAGCAAACTACATTATTGTAGTGATCTGAATTAGCAGCGACAAAAGGATCTTCATCGTTTTCATCTATTAAATTATTTTTAATCGGTATTTCTTCATCTCCTTTTTGACTTGACTTTACTTTTGGTTTAGATAAAATACAACTGATATTACTGTTTCTATTTTCGGTCGCATCAGCTTCAACTAAATTAATTATATCTAAGTTATTATTGGTATTAAATTCTCTCTTAAGCGAATCATCCTTATCTTTATTGCTGCTAATAACTTCTTCTTCGACGTCAGCTACGGTATTATTGAGGCATTGGCCATGATCTTTACAATCACTTATCATCTCATCTTCCCTAAATTCATCATCAACTGATCGCACGCGATTGGTATTATCGTTTCCTATTGCAGTCATATTAGCGTCACCTAAATCGTTATCATTTGTGTTAAATTCTTTCTCAAACCAATCGTCCATATTTTTATAACTATCATTAACTCCTGCAATATCCACTATGTTAAGATTGTGGTACCGATCGGGATCTTCACTCTTGCTTATCTTATCGTGTCTAAAATCATTAAATTCATCATCTACTTTGTTTACAACATAATTTTCGCTGCATGATCTATGAACAGTAGAAACTTCATCGTTTTTAATATTGTTTTTTCTTTCAATATGTTCAAAAGCAGAGGTGATATCAGCAGTAACATCATCTAAATCAGTATCTTCAATAGAGTACGTGTTATCATGGGTGGCAACATTTTGAATAATTTTTGTTTCTTCGCTATCTGTTATTACGTTTTGTTGTAGAGCTTTCTGCTCTACTCTCTCTGTTTTTTTGTATTTCTTCAGGAGATCTGAGATTGTCCTAAATAATTTAGTAGTAGGGATTTTAGATTTCTTATTTCTGTGCAATACATCGTTTGAAGAAACAATCTTTTCCACACTCTCCGTAGAGTTTTTGTCCGTCGACGTCTGGCTCTTTGATACTGCTTCGTCCAAAGGAACTTTCTTTGGCATTAGTCTCTTTTTAATCTTAGGGACAATTTGTGTTTTCTCTTCCAAATCAGATTCTAAAGCTTTAAATATGTTATTTTCTCCTAAATACATTTGTCTATCGTCGATACACTCGAAATTTCGATCACCATCTATCGAGGTGGTTTTAGAACCAGGACTAACGGTATCTTTCCATGTCACCATACGTTTGTTAGCATTGAGGCAATTTATCGAAGACACAACCATACTACACACTTGTAGATTTACATTAACAGTATTGAGTTTTTTTCGAGGTATTAGGTTTCTTTTGTTTGATATACTGTGGAGAGAGAAAAGGAAAAGGGATTTTTAGGAAGGGACATTAAACAAAGGATAATTGTAAGGAGAAGGGATATATGGGCGACTTCTCAAAATTACGGGCTTTGTTAATTTTAGACTAGAAAATAAATTTCCCCTTTCCTTTCTCCCTACAGTTTAACCTTAAGATACCTTAGCTTTACAGAAGCGACAGTAAATCTTGATTCTTTTTAAAGTAGTGTGCACAATGTGATCGGATTTTCTGTCCTTAAAGTAAATTTTTCCAACACTGTCGAAAAATTCAGAGATTATTAAGCACACTGAGAAAAATTGTTTCTTAAATATACATGGAGTTGTTATTTTATTGTTTATTAATTTTACTAAATTTACCCGATAAAATTGAAAAAAATAAAAATCAATTATATGATCACAAAGGATAAAAGGAGATAATATATTAACCATACACTACTCAAAATGTAACAGCCCGTGTTATTAAAAATTTAGTATAAAATACGGCAAATATACCCTTTCATTTCACGTATGCGCATTGCAAATTTGGTTCACAACATAGACTTAAAATAAAATATAGACTACACTATTTACATCTCAACGCGGACAAACAACCTTTTTTGTACACATGTTTACTTCTGGGTACAGTCGACCGAGCCTTCCTCATCCAGCCTATGTTGTCACGTCTTTAATATTATCAATATTTTTTTTCTTGTTATACACATATATTGAGATATTAATACTACAGTTTAATAAAGTAGGTTTTAATATTCCATAGATGTATTAAATAGTCCTTATTCTACTAAATTATAAGTCGGATACTGTTTAATAAGGATAAGTTCTTTACAATATGACAACACCGATTAGAGGCGAGGGAGCCTATTCATTCATTTATTACCTTGTAGTACGTGTCGCACGTGTGCGGTAAAGCTTTGTTGCCGCTATCTCCGCGGCTGTATTAACGCATTTTCTTAGCTTGTAGTCCTTAATTGTTTATTTTATTGACTTTTTCTGTTCAAAAACTATAAAATATGGTTCGCCAGTGCCAAATTTGCAAGAAATTTGACTTTAATAATCCATTTAAGTCTTGAAACGACTTTTGACCGGTAGGCAACTCTCAATTTACCCATTGGGAGTCAGTGGCGTTGTTGTAGAAAGGCGCTTATTTAGATAATATTTTAGTAAAATGTAAAATCTGATTTTTTTCTCTTACATTACATTATTTACTTACTTACATTGTAACAAAATCATAATTATAACCCTGTTAATAATAAATAATGTTTTTATTAAAAATATATTCCGGTTTATTCTAAAATTATCTTCAGAATCTAAAATAACATACAAGAATTTTAAAATGATATTACATTATGAAACAATATTTTTTAATATACCGGGTGTCTCAAAAGTGGCTCAACCCTATAACTTTTTTTATTTCTTCAGATAAAAAAAACAGATTTGTATGTTAGTAGGTATATGACATAAATTAGGATTTATTGACGTATTCAATTGTTTTTGGTCTCTTCCTGTTTCACCGAAATGATTACATCTTTTGATTTTTAAAGGCACCCTCGGTATATTGCTACTTTATTCGATAAAAAATGACACTCTGAATAGAATGACATATCATATGTCAACTTTTGACATTGTCGCTTAAAAACATATCCTATTTTAAATTTCAATCCAGTTTTTTTCAATCCACTAAGTTTTAATCAAGGAGCCTTGGAAAAATAGTTTTGATCGTCTAATAGGTTTCGTGTCTTGTATAGGCCGGTTAAAAGATGTACAAATCGTATTTTTAATCATACATATGTCAATTTTTTCAAATGGAACAAGGGTGACTCATTAGCATATTCGGAAAAAGCATTTTTTTATGAATATATTGATACCACACACTTGGTATTTCGAGTCAAATTGTCGTTATGAACCGCGTGTTACAATTACAATTAAACCATCTGCGAAAATGTCAAAAGTTGACATATGATATGTCATTCTATTCAGAGTGTCATTTTCTATCGAATAAAGTAGAAATATACCGAGGGTGCCGTTTAAAAATTAAAAGTTATAGTCATTTCCGGTGAAACAGGAAGTGACCAAAAACAATTGAATGCGTCAATCAATCCTAATTTATTTCATATACTAACATACTAAATCTTGTTTTTTTATTTGAAAATATAAAAAAATTATGGGGATGAGCCACTTTTGAGACGCACCCGGTATAATAAAGACAGTACCGAGTTAAATAAATGTAGTTTTTATTTTATCCACTTCCTATCACCTTCCTTGCTTTAATGGAACAGATTTATGTTTTCTCTAATTTACATAATAAGACGTCACTTAACCAGAAAAAAAATTACAACAATAATATTTTTTTTTCTCTCCCTGTCGCCGTTTCTATTATATCTGTGGAATAGATCCTGTTTTGATTAATATTAGGGGTTGTAAATGTTTGACTAAAATTAATAATTTATTATTAATTTAAAAAATTACCTAATTTCGATTATAAAATTTCTTTTATAACGTGTATTTTATTATTTTTATCCTTTTTGGACTCTAATTGTTTTTTCTAAACTTTTATTTAAAAAACCTTTCCTAAATCTTAATAAAATATAAAAAAGTTTAAATACGATATATTTTTAATTTAATTATAGCTTCATTAAAATAAAAAAAATTACCCGGCTATGATACGGAGAGTTCAGGTGTACTTGAGAAACGAAAGACAGTGTTGTGTTTCTAGGCAGAGTCGTCAGGGAACGACCGTTACGACAGAGACAACCTATCTATCGCTCGTGTCGCACTCGTTATAACCTAAAACAATAACACAACAATAACAAGACAGTGTCTGACCGCATGTTCCAGCTATTTATGAATGAGATGCTCAGTCTATATTTTATTTTAAGTCTATGGTTCACAACAAAACGCCTATATCGCTTCTGTGTAGTTAGGTAATTATTTGGTTTGATAGAAATAGTCCAGGTAGCAGACTAGAATATTAAAGCCTTAAAAAGTCGCTTTAAATACACACTTAAACAAAATAGGTAAAAAAAACGATATTTTTATATGAAATTATGTTAAGAAATTTTACCATTTAAAACGTTAAAATAAAAGCAATTCATTGGGTTTCATGGCTCACTAGGACTGTCCAGTAGTATACCGGGTGCGTGTCAAAAGTGGCTTACCCCTATAACTTTATTCTTTTAAATAAAAAATTGAGATATGGTATATTAGTATATGACAAAAATTAGGATTGACTGACGTATTCAATTATTTTTGCTCACTTCCTGCTTCACTGGAAATGACTACAACTTATGATTTTTAATTGGCAACTTCAGTAACAAATTTTGTTACTTTATTTGATAGAAAATGACACTCTGAATAGAATGACATATCATATGTCAACTCTTGATATTATTTGATATAACTTTTATTATCTTGATTTATTATATATTGGAATATGGTTTATCTGAAATGGCAACATGCAATTCATAGCTACAATTTGACTCGAAATACCAAGTGTGTGGTATAAAATTATTCGTAAAAAAATGATTTTGATAAATATGCTAATGAGCCACCCTCGTTCCATTTGAAAAAATTGAGATATGATTAAAAATACGATTTGGGCATCTTTTATCCGGTCAGGACAAGACACAAGACACAAGACACTAAAAATATTCGATAATCAAATCTATTTTTCCAACGCTCCTTGATTAAAGATTAGTGTTTTTAACAGAGCCATGGCGCTCTAGATTCAAATTTAAAATTCAATTTTGTTTTAAGCGAAAATGTCAAAAGTTAACATATGATATGTCATTATATTCCGAGTGTCATTTTCTACTGAATAAATTAAAAAAATATCGAGGGTGCCATTTAAAAATCAAAAATTGTAGTCCGGTGAGACAGGTAGTTCCGGTGAAACAGGAAGTGGTCGAAAACAACACATTTTCAATTCAATTTGAATACGTCAATCAATCCTAATTTATGTCATATACTCACACCAAATCTCGTTTTTTTATCTGAAATAATAAAAAAGTTATAGGGGGTGAGCCACTTTTGAGATGCACCCGGTATATAAGATCAACTAAGAAAATGTCAGAAACGTCACCACAGAAAATGTAGAAAATGTTCTGGATACATCATTTCGGGTTACCATCAGACGGGTTACATATCAATTTACTAACAATCTTAAATACGTAATAAATTTTGCCAATTTAAAAAAAATGTACTTTCTGATATCGTTATAAACGTGAACACCTTTAGCAGACAACACAGCTGTCAAATCTAGTAAAATATAATAAGGAAACAAACAAAATATCTGTCAAATTTATTCAGAATGTACTCAATTTTCCAGTTATTTTACGCCTTTGGAAATACATTTTAAGCCCGTTCCGAATTTTATTTATTAAATTAGGCATTTTACGAATTTATATCAACAAATTCTTGTAATTATAGCGATGATTCTTCAAGATATATTATACGAACTACTTAGCACTTTTCTATGTTTATTTTTATTATTTCCTTTAAAAGAACAGGATCTTATTGACTGCACCTTATTTTTATTTTCTTTTTTTAAAGTTCCATCCCGGTTGCGCTATCTTGTTCATATTATCCGTTTTTAGTATTTTTATGCGATGGTATAAACATCTTGTAAGCCTGCTTATTCCCCCGCTACCTGGATTATTATTTTTAAAAATCTGGCTCACCTTTTGACAGAATCCGATTTCGAAGAGGGACTACCGATGACAGGTATTCCTGGCGAAGTGGTTTTTCTCTCAGGTTCTGTTTTATTGGACTTTCTATCACCTCCACATTTATCCAGCTCAATTTTATTCGGTCGAGTCCTCGGCTCGTGGATGTATTTTTCTGAAATTAATTTAATGTATAGATATGCATTTTTATGAAAATGTTATTTTAAAATGTATTCTCTGGTTTAGACATTCTTAATTAGTTTGGCTTTTTCGGATCCGACTACAAAAGGAAATGTACCTCTTAAAACGTTAGTGTTCTCTAATGGTTTTGCGATTTTGTTTCCAAAGTGGGTTGATACATTTCTTCCATTATTATTAGTACTGCCGGATACTGTATCAGGAATTTAAAAAGTAGGTTTGTTGAATAGTATTGCTTATAAAGGTGTACTATTAATATACAGGGTGGTCCGAACTGTATTCCGAAAACTTCGGCAGCATATTCTGCAGATAAAAATAAGAAAAAAGTTCGTATAAATGTATGCCCTAAAATGTTTAGTTTCGGAGATACTGGGTGTAGAAGTTTCATTTTTATTTCGAATTTTTCCAAATAATTTCTGAAGTAACATCAATATTTGGATCAAAATTGGTGTTGGGTTTTTTTTTGACATGAGAAATTTGATTTTGATATCAATATGACTCCTTTTTGTAGGGGGCGCTACCTACATGTGTTTCTGCTGTTTGATTAGCTGTTTTGAAGATTAATAACTTTTCGCCCGTATCTGTATAAAACTACTGAATGAAAAAATATACATTTTGGTGACTTTTTACGTAAAAAATGTCTCTTAGTAAAAATCGCGACGAGCAACCGTTTTCAAGATATTTAGAATGGAAATAGTCAATACATGTCATAATTGCAATTTTTACCAAGAGAAATTTTTACGTAAAAAAGTCACGGAAATATACATTTTTTCACTCAATAGCTTTATACAGGTACGGATCAAAAGTTATTACTCTTCAAAACAGTCAAAACACATGTAGGTGGCGCCCCCTACAAATAGGAGTCATATTGACTTCAAAATCAAATTTCTCATGCCAAAAAACTGCCAGATACCAATTTTTATAAAAATATTGACGTTACTTCCGAGGGGTGTCTCACTATTGGAATTACATGTACATTTTCTTGGCAGTCGCTGGCAGTCAGTGGCAGTCTTATGGCAGTCGCCTATAATAATTACATGGCAGTCATAGGCAGTCTTCTTCGCAAGCATTGGCAGTCGCTTGGCGGTAGAGTGATATTTTGGCAGTACATGTACATTTTCTGCCCAAGTGAGACACCCCTCGGTTACTTCAGAAATTATTTGAAAAAAAGCAAAATAAAAATGAAACTTCTCCACCCTGTATCTCCGAAACTAAGTATTTTAGGACATACATACATTTATAAAACTTTTTACTTATTTTTATCTGCAGTATATGCTGCCGAAGTTTCCGGAATACAGTTCGGACCGCCCTGTATATCAACAATTCCCCAGCAGGAGATCAGGTAATTTTTGTAATTCCACTTTGGAAAGTGACACGGACCCGAGTTACTTGGATCACCAAGGGTAAATAGTGACACATTAATTAGTCAGATTACGACACGCATATCTTGTGCTGAACAAAAATAGAGAGAAGAACAAGTCATAAGAGATGACCGAGTACAAATTCTTGCAGTCCAGTGCGGGAAAAAAATTGCAATATTAAGATGTGCCACCTTCAAAGAAGACTCAGACTCAGACGTGAGGAAACAAAGAGAAAACAAGGATACAGACAATACAGATATAGGCTTGGTGCATTCTCCACCGGTGCTGCCACCATCGGAGAATGTCTTACTAACTAGTACTCACAAATACACGGGTTCCTTACTAACTAGTACTCACAAATACACGGGTTTAGATTTAAATAGCGAGACAACGAAAAATTTATTATTTAATTATTCTAAAAGTGTTGGAAGGAAGTATAATTTGTAAAATTTCTAAAAATAAAAATCAAAAAGTAAATATTTTGATATCTTCAGAAGGTCTAACTTGTATTATAATTTATTATTCCAGTTAAAACAACTTTCTAGAAGAGTTCAACTACGGTTGTTTTAATCACCTGTTTTGCTAGTGGGGCATAATTGGGGCTATTTCGGCTATAACGAAATTTTTTAAAGGTACATAATTATAATTTTAGAAGATATTCATAAAACATTTAATCACTAGTTGATTAAAAAAAAGTATGCAATTAATATTGCTAATTATATTTTATCATCTTATAGTATATGTTTATTTAACTTTTTGATTATGTAACGAGCGCTTTGTTTACTTAACTGTTTTGTCGAACTGCTTGAATCCGTTTTTGCTTTTGATCAAATCGGTGTGAGAAACTATGAAGCTATAAAATGTTGTTTCGGGAGAGTTTAATATTGTTGAGTTATTGAATGTTATTGCACCTAACAACGCCCTAATTAAGCGTTAATATTTTTTCGGCAATTTTATAAACACTTGAAATTGTCACAACACCACACGACGCCTAGTTCGAATTCTTTTTCACTTAGTTTTTACTAACCGAAACAGCGTTACTTTACACAAACCCCTCGTACCTGAGTGTTTAATAGTCTCAATAACTGCACTAGCAAAAAAACTAAAATACCTACTTAAATATTATTAAAAAAACATTATTTCAGTATTATTTTAGCATGTTGAAGCGCTGTGGTAGAAATTTGTTGAAATCAACTGAAATACACCAAGCCTATACACAGGACCCACAAGATCTATAGAATTTCCCAAGGCAGAAACCGGCGAAAAAGTACATAGAACTTTTCGGTATAAAATTTACAGCAGATCTGATAAGGTAAAGACAGGAAGACTGTCAAAACTGTAGTAGGTCTGCTAATAGCTAATTATGCATAGCTTAATAGGCAGTAGGCATCTAAAGCTGATGGGAATGGCAGACGAAGCATATGCGAATTTTGTCAATCTGAAGAAAAAACGACAGAACACATTTTAAGTCGATGCCTGGGGAATATTCTTAACCACTCCTATGTTCAAATGTTACTCGCAGTTCCGAGAAAGCCGTATAACAAGACATGTAATGCGTATACGCACAGTTGCGAATGATGTGAATAATAGGTATCCTGGTAAATGTACGGTTCTTTGTTTTAGGTAATGATAAGTCATTGACAAAGAACTATATGAACGATTCAGTCCCCAAGTCATTAGACTTTTTGAAAAGGATAGGAATGGAGAATGTAACCTAGAGATCAGAAGAGGGCTACAACAGATCTGAGATCTCTACATTTCCATACATTTATTATTCTATCTATCAACTAGTTAACTTCTTTATAGACTTACGCGTGAAACTTGAGAGCCGAAATTTAGAGTCAACAGGCTGGTATATGTTACATATCGTTACGTTAATTTTTTTTTTACTTACCGACATTATGAAGGCTTTTCGGTTTTCTTATACTAGGTCCCCTCGAAAGCGAACTGATCAAATTAGACGTAGAATTAGCCACTTTAGGGCTGGAGTCTGGTTGAGGACTGTTAGGTGAGTATTTATCTCGAACTGTGGTACGTTTTGATTTGTTCAGTGGTGGAACCCTGCAATGTATTAAAAAATAAATAAGATAATACGGTAATCGCAAAACATTTTCCGATGTACGTCATCAGTTATATCTTAATTGACACTAAAGCCTATAAACCTGACTAAATGAAATTTTGGCAAAAATGTTTAAATTTGTTGTATAATTTATGATATCGAGCAGCTCTTCATTTTACTTTATAGAGCAAATGATTGTAACAGATATTTTATTTAGATTAAAGCTGCAAAAATTAGTGTAAACCGAATTTTATTATTGCTATGTTGGTAACATTGCGTCGTGTTCAGCAATGTTGTCGTTTATTATTTGACCTACTTATAATGTCAGTTATTTGTATGTATTATTTGACAATTATTATAATGTCAGTTATTATTTTGTATAATATCGTGTTGTTGTTGAATCTTTGTGAGTAATTCTCGTTTTTTTTGCTTATGTTCATAGACTTTTTTTAAAAAATTATACTTTTGGGCACAAACAGTTCTTTTAAGAACTAAATCTTCGAGTTTTTGTATTGCATTTCTTGAAATTATGTGTTGAAAATGTGCCGAAGCATTTAAACAGTCGAAGCAAAGAGCTTTTGTAGCTTCCCTGATAAACTATTTTCAACGAGAACGTGACAATAAAGGTGCTCTATTATCCTTGACTGCAGTCATAAGTTTGATTGGTAAGTACATTATACCACTCTCAAAGTTATTTCTATGGTAGTTTTTAGGAAATTCTGTGATTATTAGTTTGGTTTGGTTTTTTATTAGTTGGTTTTTGGTTGTTATTACCAGTTGTAGTGTTGTAAGATGAACATGAATAAATAAATAAATAACCCATAATAACTCTTAGAATAATCTTCATAATGGACTAGTTCTTGCCAATATGTAACAAGTAAAATAAGCTATAAAACAAATAAATCAATTAATTACTAGAATATTAATTATTGTATTAAAAATAAAACGTAAAAATCTTTAAAAAATGATATAATAAATATATTGTTTCCCAATTGACATTAAGATTCATCTCATAAATCCATCACAATCTGGCAGCGCTGTAGCCATCGCTTGTCACTCAAAGTTGATCGGAAATTGTTTTGCGATTACTATATAAAACTATGCCTGAAAAAATGACACTACAGGAATACCAATGAAATTTTTCGTTGCGTAAGTTTTTTTCCTAGTTTAACTTAACTTGTTTTACACTGAGCATGTAATTTTATCACCCGTTCTGCAATATCGCATCAGAATTTTTCCTCTAGTCGACATTTAATATGGCCGTTTGGTAATATCATAATAGAAATTTAGTTTATTTATCCCATGGAAAATTCTGTACAACCATCGTTGAATGTTAATCGTATTATACTAATTTACTCATTCTTTTATGTGAAAATGGGATAAAATATATTGTAGATATTGTTACGACATTTCGTAAATCACTGTAATCCATAAGTAACTGTCATTTCACCTATTTTGTCGTTATGATCATGTTGAGGACTATCAATATTAAAATTAAAAAACAGTTACTAAATTGTTTATTAGAAAAAATGGTATGTGCCTGACATTATAAATTGAAAAGCAACCAAAATTAATAAAGGCAAAACATACTTAAAATTAATAAAATCGAAACTCACTCGCTTACCAACTTCGGAAAGTACTGGAATTTTTTTATTTTGTTTAATAAACTCATCTTAGAAAGAGGGACACGCTCTAATATTATTATTATGTATTGTTGAATAATAATGATGACATAATGTTGAAGATCGTTGTACAGACTATAACACATCTAAATAATACTCCTAGACATACTCAACACATATTACCATCTGTATATTTGAATATGTTGATTATTAAGATGATGATTTTATGCATTTTTTATTGTCGGTTTAATTATTATACAGGGTGTTTCAAAAAACATGTGCCATCGCTCGTGGGGAGATTCCTCACGTAAAAATAAGATTTATTTTTCATATCAACATAGGTCCGATTCCGCTTTGTTTCGTAGCTACAGGGTGTTAAAGCCTTAATAATCTTTCGATTTATTATAATTTTCTTCTAAGTAATTTTAATGATTCGAATGAAATTTTCAGGGTAAAAGTTACTATAAGTGCTACATATTTTAATGCTAAAAAAGTGTCAATAAATTCATCAGGGACGTGCATATGGGTTATCAGTGGAATATTTTTCAAAAAAAAAACAAATGCGCCACTTACTTTTTTTCTTTTGATATCAAAATTGTATAGGCCACTTAATGCCAATCAAAAGTTAACCCTTGATATTTTGTCGAATTCGGCCTCTTTGATGAGATAAACGCAATTTTATTAGTTACAATTAATAAAATTGAAATAAAAATAAAATTAATAAATTATATATTTTATCTAATTTTTTATTAAATATTATTACTATTAGTCCAGCCTACAGCAATTGCAAATAAAAAAAATAATGGTATTTAAGATATTACACAAAACCTAATTTTAAAACTCTAAAACTATGCATTTTCATACCCATGTATATAGGAACTTTTTTTCATATTTTTCGATGAGGAATCAATGAGTACTTATTTAAAACTTTCGCAAGTTAATGATATTAATTTTTTTTAAAGGTTACATATTAAACTTGGATCAAGGTAAATTAATAAAATTGCGTATATCATCAAGGAGGCCGAAATCGACAAAATATCAAGAGACAACTTTTAATCGGCATTAAATCGCTTACACTATTTCGCTAACAAAAGAAAAAAAAGTCAGTGGCGTACATGTTTTTTTTTGGAAAAATATTCCAGTAATAACCCATATGCACGTCTTTGGTGAATATGTCATCACTTTTTTAGGTTTAAAATATGTCGCATTTATAGTTACTTTTACCCTCAAAATTTCATTCGAAACGCTAAAAGTATTTGGCAAAAAATTATAATAAATGGAAAAAATATTAAGACTTTAATACCCTGTAGCTACGAAACAAAGCAGAATAGGACCTATATTAATATGAAAAATAAATCTTATTTTTACGTGAGGTATCTCCCCATGAGAGATGGCGCATGTTTTTTGAAACACCCTGTATACCATTTATCAGATTAAAATTAACAACAAACAATTTTTGAATGCACTTGAGCACAATATGGCAAATTATTTCCCCTAAAGCTAGAAATTAAAAATAATAAACTAAAGAAAAAAATTATCGCAGTCGGTAGGATTCGAACCTACGCTCCCAGAGGGAATCTGATTTCTAGTCAGACGCCTTAACCGCTCGGCCACGACTGCTTTTAAGCGTTATTTTTCCAGTACCTATTTCAGTTAACGGAAATTAACACCTAAATACATTTTATCCAATCTAAACCCAATTTTGACTAAAATAATAATTATACAAAAAGTGGTCATACACTTCATCCCTCACATTTGAAATGCTGAAAAACCTAAAACGCATATTTGGCAAATGAAGTAACGTTGAACGATTGCTGAGCAGTCTTAAAAATGACCGCGATTTTCATTTCATAGCCATTGCTGACGCCGTTTCCTTTCAGTTGTTTCAGACGCCGTTTCTTTTTCTTTTCTTTCAGATAAGTTTGTATAAATGTATGTCTTAAACGGAGATACAGGGTGTAGAAGTTCCATTTTTATTTTGATTTTATCCAAATCTAAACTAATGTCGATATTTGAATGAAAATGATATTTGGGGTCTGGGGTTTTTTTGACATAGGAAATTTGATTTCGATGTCAATATGATTCCTACCAATGTGTTCCTACTTATAGGGGGCGCCACGTCAGAGCTACAACAAGTCAGTTTTAAAAAGACTTAAGCCTTAAGTTTTAAGTCATTTCTAAAATCGAAATGATTTAAGTCTTAAGCAAGGTCTTAAGTCAATTTCAATATAAAGTTCAAATGACTTAAGTTTTAAGTCTTTGACTTAAATAATTTTCTTTCAAGTCAAGTCATTTTTGTAAAGACTTAAATCAATATAACCTTATTTAAGTTTTTTTTACTTAAGTCTTTTTTTACTTAAGCCTTTTTTACTTAAATCATGATAATCTGCAAGTTAAATCAGTAAAATGACTTAAATCAATATAATTTAGTTAAATCAGTAAAATGACTTAAATCAATATAATTTATCTCAAGTCAAGACAACCAGAATTCAATTTAAATACCTATTTTTTAAATATTAATATATATATATATATATATATATATATATATATATATATATATATATATATATATATATATATATATATATATATATATATATATATATATATATATATATATATATATGATGTGAATAATAGGCATATCCTGGCAAATGTACGGTTCTTTGTTTTAGGTAATGATAAGTCATTGACAAAGAACTATATGAAAATTAAGTCCCCAAGTCATTAGACTTTTTGAAAAGGATAGGAATGGAATGGTTTTTTGCGTAAAAAAGGTGGTAAAAATCGCTAATGGGTCTCGAGATATTTGGAATCGAAATAATTAATATATGTCATCACTGGCAAAAATTGAACATGTTGACAAATTAATTATTAGACTGAAATTATAAATTTGAAATGTCTTTATGCCAAAGGTTCAACAAAAATTGTTTTATAATATTTTTTCCAAAAAATGTATGATTAATTTAAAAAAATAAAAAGTTCCTAAATTTATAATTTCAGTCAAATCACTATATGTCGTCAACATGTATATTTTGTTTGATAATGACATGTACTGACTGTTTCCATTCCAAATATCCCGGTCTATAAAACGGTCGTTCGTGACCATTTTTACCAAGAGACCTTTTTTACGTAAAAAAATGACGGAAAAACTTCTACACCCGTGTCTCGGAAACGAAGAATTTTAGGACATGAATTTATATGAACTTTTTTACTTATTTTTATCTTGAGAATACGCTGCCGAAGTTTCCCGAATACAATTCAGACCATCCTGTATATTATCCCTACAGATACACAAGTAAAATAAAAAACAAAAAGCTACATAGATCATGTTTGATTTTTTCATTAAAATTTGTGAAAATTTAATCGTTTGTTTTATTGACACATTTTACTATACCTATACTTTATTCTAGCCTCCAATCGTTCTTTGGCCTGTTGCACGCTAGCGGGAAACTGCTGAATTCTGGCTCTCCTCTCCTTACACCATTCAAAGTGACGATAAAATTAATAAAGGCAAAACATACTTAAAATTAATAAAATCGAAACTCACTCGCTTACCAACTTCGGAAAGTACTGGAATTTTTTTATTTTGTTTAATAAACTCATCTTAGAAAGAGGGACACGCTCTAATATTATTATTATGTATTGTTGAATAATAATGATGACATAATGTTGAAGATCGTTGTACAGACTATAACACATCGGAAGAACGGTCGTTCGTGACCATTTTTACCAAGAGATCTTTTTTACGTAAAAAATGACGGAAAAACTTCTACACCCATATCTCCGAAACGAAGCATTTTAACAACGAAGCACTTATTTTTATCTTGGGAATACGCTGCCGAAGTTTCCCGAATAACAATTCAGACCATCCTGTATATTATCCCTAAAGATACACAAGTCAAATAAAAAACAAAAAGTTACATAGAAACACATCAATTTTTGCATTAAAATTTGTGAAAATTTAATCGTTTGTTTTATTGAAACATTTTACTATACCTATACTTTATTCTAGCCTCCAATCGTTCTTTGGCCTGTTGTACACTAGCGGGAGACTGTTGAATTCTAGCTCTCCTCTCCTTACACCATTCTACGTGACGATCGAAAGCCTTCGGACCAAAATGCCGCTCGCACGATGGACATCGTTCGTTGGACGTTGTGGACGTCAGCAGGGACGTGGTACTACGAGGTTTGGGACTAGGCGACTTGGGAATATCTTCTGGCATACCTAAGAAATTAAACATACATACATCTATTATACGGTAAATTTAATAAGATTATATTGCAAAAAAATACGATTAAAAAATAACAAACCATACGAGGGTTGCCTTTTAAATTTTGCATATAGAATCATAGTAGGCGCCTATCAACATATATCAAATGTCAAAATTAGCTGTCATCTTTAGGTAACTTAATGTAAAAGTTTTAGATCCCTTCGGTTAAAGCGGTTATACCTAAACTGAATTTTTAAAGAGTCAGTCGAAAAATAGAATTAAACCGAGAAAATTTTCACGCAATAATTTTTTACAATTTTTGAACACAGTTGTCTCAACAGGAATGCCTTGCCAAGTTCGTTTCCGTTTTCGGCAATAAAGAACCACATCAGTTGACAATTTCACGTTGGTATGGGAAATTTAAACGTCGACGGAATAAGCTTGATTTTCATGCATCCGTTGTCCGACGATACGATGATACGATATTAATTTTATTGGTTGAATTTAAAGACTTCGATTGGATAAAAAAATTACGCAGATTTTAAATTTATTGCATTTTCATGCCTCCGTTCATCGGATATACGATTTGCTATGACTGATGTCATTTATATTTTCATTTACATAACGATTTCGCTGTTTTACTTATAGTCTAAGAGCTAGCAACGTTTTTGAGAGAGAATTTTAAGAAAGCTGGGTCTTTATTATCGTTTGTTATGTTCTCCTGAACAGGGTGTGGACCGTCTGGCTGCCGGTAGACGTTGCGTTCACTTCTGCGCATCATATCTGTATTTAACGTCTGTTGACTACTGCACATCACAAATTCGCCCTGTATTTCAAGAACTAAGGAGGCCAGAACAAACCTATGTGTAGCATATTTAGTTTCATAAAAAAAGTAGCAAAGTAATGTGAAAATCGCATCATTGTATCTCTACTCATAAGCAAGAAATCCCATAAAACACACGAAAATAGGATACCCTGTACATATGTGATGCGCAGTAGTGAACCGCAGTAGTTTACCGGCAGCCAGAGGGCCCGCACTTTGGTCAGGATAGCATAGCAAAAGATATATTAAAGAACCAGCTTTCTTAAAATTCTCGTTCTAGCGACGTTACTAGCTCTTGTACTATTATATTTTTATTAAGGTTAGATTAAATCTATCAAAAAAGTGTCAAAACGTCCGTTATCGTACGATCTATCTCCGTTGACGGGCTGGAGTAAAAAATTTACGGATAAAAAGCGGCGCGAAAACGCTATGACTAATCAGAACGCCGGCCGTCAGACCATCGTATCAACGGATAACGGACGCATGAAAATCAAGCTTTTTAAGCCGGAGTCTCACGCATCCGAAATCCGATGGTACGACATCCGAAATTTGAAGTTATCCTGTGAAATAAAAAAAGCCTGTCACATATATCCGAAAGTCCGTTCCGAAATTTGACAGTTTTGACATTTAGACCTGCCATTCCTATCAACAGTATCAACATTAATTACATGTATTATTGGAGAAACAGTTATAAAAATATCTTCCTCGCCAAATATCCCGAAATTGCCCACTTCCCACTAAACTTGTTTTTAAAAACCAACGTTTTAAAAAAAAGTGAGGTTAAAAACACACGATATCGTACAAAAGTTAAACAAAATTTAACTTTGTAAGACATCGGACAATTAGTTAAAAATATCGGATAAAAATTGGTGTCAAAATATTTCGACCAATAGGATCACCGTCGGATCGTCGTGTCATCGGATTTCGGATGCATGAGACTCCAGCTTAGTCTTAGCGACGATCACCGAGGAAAATGTCGATGCTGTACTTAAAAACTGATCCTAGAAGATCGGCATGTCCCATACCGTAAAATTGAAGCATCATTGTGCATTTCAAAGACCTCAATTCAAAAAAAATCATATGAAGTTATCTTAAAAAAAATAGTGTCTAGTTGGATATCGTATCTGTTAACGGAAGAACAGAAAGCAATTAGAGTCAATTAGTGTCAAAAAACTCTATACCAGTTTAACGCAGGAAACAAAAAATATATATAGTTTTGTCAACGCTGATGAATCCTGGATTTCCTCTTACGAACCCGAAAATCAACGTCAATCGGCTGTTTGGATGTTCCGAGACGAACCAAAACCGACGAAAGCTATCCGTTCTCGAAGAGTTTCCAAAAAGATGATGGCGACATTTGTCCCAATTGCGGGTCATGTAGCAACAATTCCTCTGCAGGATCAAAGAATTGTTACTGCTTATTGGTACATATATCTTTGTTTGCCGGAAGTAATTGCTGAGTTTCGAAAAACCAACCCACAACGGCAGATAATCCTCCATCAAGATAATCCAAGTTTCCACACATCTTGAAAAACAATTAATATTTTAAAGGAACAGAACATCCTCCATAGAGTTCCAACTCAAGTCCTAATGACTTTTTTACCTTTTCAAATATTAAGAATAAAGAGCGTGGTCAAAGGTTCCAGTCCCCAGAAGATGCAGTCAGCGCCTTCAAAAACGCAATATTGGAGGTACCGAAAAGCGAGTGGAATAACTGCTTTGAGAAGTGTATTGTTTCCAACGGATGCAAAAATATATTTCTCTTCCTGGAGAATACTTCAAAAAATAATAGTATTTAAAAGTTATCTACTGTTTTTTATACCTGTATATGAAAAATATAAAACAACCGTCGTATAATACTTTTTTTTACCTTTTGCTGCTCGTATCGCAGTGACAAGCTCCAGATGTTTCTCTTTCCATTTGCTTTGTCTTGGTTTCTTTTCTATGACGGGCTCCTCTCTTTTTTTCAAATAAATCGTTTGATGAAAGTCCGCTAAATCTGTCCCCGATACCTTCAAATAAATAAAACGTATATATCAGACAACAAGTTTTAATTAATATCTGTGTTTTATCTTAATAGTCCTAGAAAATAGGCCTTTAAACACAAAGTTTTGGTAAAAACTTTAATTTTTGATATAGGTAAGTTACTTTGAAAGATCTAAAAACGAATTGTGAAAGATTTTTCAAATTCAGCCCCGAGAGGGGGTGGAATAAATAAATAAATTTATTTTTTCGAAATTTCGGAGAAACGGTAAGAACTAGAAAAAAAATCAGTAAGTTTAAGTTGTCTAAATAGCAAAATTCTCAAAAATTTTGTTCTATACCTAAGTTTAATTATTTTTAAAATGTTATAATTAAAAAACATACATTAAAGAGTATAGTGAAATATTATTATTTGACCTTACTCATATGTTTTGCTAATTAACTGTTGCAAATAAATATATTCTGAATTTCTTACCCGCTGTTTTAACGAATCGAATGGCTTTCGTCTTTTAATGGCATTTTTTTCACAAATCTTCTCGTGTTTCTTGAGCGAGTTGGGCAAGAAGGTCCTACCGCACACATGGCAAGGATGCAAATTTTGTTCTTGTAATATTAGTTCTAGAAAAAAAGTAAATAAATATTACTGAATTACCCATATATTCAGTAATAAAAACAAATATGTATGGATATTTGTCAAACATTCTCTCATTGAACAACGTATATAAAACGGCCTCTACACTCTTCTAGAAGTTAACCGAAGCAGGTCAAAGTTGAATAGTAAAGAGTGTTATTTCATATTTCCTCGCCTAATGAAAATAAGTCAAGACGAGATAAAGTTATAACTTCGCAAGTAGTGTAGAGTTCGTTTTAGATATTATGTATGCAAATATTACAAAAACCCAAGTTAAATGTTTTTTGGGAGTTACATTTTTGTCTGTATAAGTGTTTACATTTACCCATTTATAAAAAAAATGAAAGTGTATGTCACTTTCCCATAAAAGATGTATGACTAAACCTTGATAATTCATGTTGGCATCGGTTTACAATTTAAAGCTTTCATAAAGATCGATAAATAAAACATTAAAAGCGAAAAAATCAATAAATGACTTTACGTACTTACTGTTTTGATGGAAGAATAATTACATTCTAAGAATAATGTATGTACAGGGTGGGTCAAATTAGACGCTTTTAAATGGAAACACCCTTTTCAATAGGAGATAGACGAAAACTAATATCGGTATCTGGAGCTCAATTTTCATCAAAAACATGATGGTGAAAACCGCACATCAATATCTGTTACCGTTTCGGAGTTATCGGGTGTTTTTCAAAAATGTGCATTTTTAACAAATCGCTGTAACTTTTTTGCTATGGAAAATTTTATATTTCTATGAAAACATTTCCAAAGCACCTTTTTACGTAGAATTTAATGGTTTAAGTATAACTTTTTTAAAATTAATAATTTAAGAGTTATCAACAGAAAAAATTCTTTTTTATTTGGGACATCCTCTATATTTTTAATTAACTGAAAAGAATTTAAAATTACCTTTCCAAAAATATAGCACACTTGATATTTTGTTATAATCCCCTTCGAAATACAGAATTTTTAAAAGTTCGCCACTTTTAACTAGTAGGCTTTGGATCCCTTATTGATGATATGCCCTTAATGGAACTCGAAAACATATTTTTCCAGCAAAACGACGCACCGCCTCTGAACGCTGAAGTTATCAGCAAATTTTTGCAGCCAATTTCAAGAATAATTAGATAGCTAACCAAGATCCCAGCCGTTGGCCGTCGAGGCCGCCTGACTTAGTGCCCATGGATCTAATCATATGGATATATTTGCGGAAGAATAAAGGTTCCTTATTCTTCCGTAAAATCTAGACAAGAATTAAAAATACTTAGCAATTATAAGAGGGTATCTTTCACCCCCACTGAGTTTATGAATTCCGCGAGAAATTTTCTAAAACTGCCCCGTCTGTCCATAATAGAAGACGGTCGATATGTCGTCCAACATCTGTAGCAAAATCTTATGTCTTGGTTTGCTATTTTTTTACTGTTATTATATATATAATAGTTTAAATGTGTTGATGTTGGTTAAATATATTTTATCTACAACCGTTTAGTTATAACGTTTTTACATCACTATTTTTTTTAGTATTTCAGTTACGTTAGGAGATTCATAACACAACTAGTGGTGTTATGAATCTATAATACAACTAGTTGCTATAATAATGAAAAACAACTACGAACATCTAAATATATTAACTTTTCCGGCAATAATGATTCCGTGGCACGTACTGCGGCAAGTTCTACATCTGAAGGGAGACTTTCGGAATCGCTCATTGTAATTTTTAAAATGATTTTTCTGGGCAAAAAGTGCTCGCGTTTACTTGACAGGGCAAACTGACTTTTCAGCATAAATGTGACAAATGTCATAGTTAAAGGTGTTAAAGATGGGCGACTAATAAACGAAAATTAAAACAGCATTTTCTTATTTTTCCGTTGTAGATAAAACGTTGTACATGACACGTGCGTTTAAACATGATTACAACACTCGTGTGATTAGAAGATCTAATCGTTCACACTCGTTGTTGTAATCAAGTTCATAAACACACTTGTACTGTAAATAACTATTAAATTGTTATAAAATTCTGCGTCTCTCATAGCAAATATTATTTTCGTTTTAATGGATGCTCACAGCTAGAATTTCAGAAGCTCACAGCGAGAATTTTAGATGCTCACAGCTAGAATTTTTTTGCATTACAGCCGGTGCCGTTCAAAGCCTATACTTATTTAAAGCGGGCGAATTTTTATATACTCTATATCTCGAAGAGGAATCGAGCAAAATATCAAGTGTGTTATATTTTTGGAAAGGTAATTTTAAATTCTTTGCAATAAATTAAAAATATACAGGGTGTCCCATATAAAAAATCTAATTTTCGGTTGATAATTCTTAAATTATTAATTTTAAAAAAATTATACTTAAACCATTAAATTCTACGTAAAAAGGTGCTGTGGAAATGTTTTCATAAAAATACAAAATTTTCCATAGCAAAAAAGTTACAGCGATTTGTTAAAAATGCATATTTTTGAAAAACACCCCGTAACTCCGAAACGGTAACAGATATCGAAATGCGGTTTTCACCATCATGTTTTTGACAAAAATTGAGCTCCACACACCGATATTAGTTTTTGTCTATCTCCTTTAGAAAAGGGTGTTTCCATTTAAAAGCGTCGAATTTGACCCACTCTGTACATAGCGCATTTTTATTAATCACATACACTATCAGACAAAAGCAGAGAAACTTTTTAAAACTAGTCGGACTTCAAAAACCTGCAATATTTAAAATAATGTTTGTCTTAAACATATTTCCTTTAAGCAATACCATCATTTTTCGTAACATTCCAAATTTATCTTATCAGGTGTTTATTTATAATATGGACACATAATTGAAGGGACATAAATAAAGAAACCAACATAAAAATTGACCATACAAACTTTGACCATACTTAGTAGGTATTTGCTTAAGGTCAAAACTGTGGATATTCTGATTTACATATTTACTAAATATGCTACAAGGAAAATATTTGTATGAGGATCTTCGTGAAAAAATAATCAACGTTGTAATAAGTGTAAGGCGATTAATCTGCATAAGTCTGTCATTAGCAAAACGATTTCCAATTTCAAAACTCGCAATTCTTTAAAGACTATTTAAAAAAAGTGGTCGGCCAAGAAAAACAACGAAAAAAATTGAAATGATAATTAAAAAAATCGCCTTAACTAATCCGCATAAATCGGCAAATCAAATTTTGAGTAAACTACCTGGTGTCAATATAAGCTCTAAGACCATCCAAAGAAGGCTAAGGAAAGCAGGATTATTTAGCAGAAGAGCAGCCAAAAAAAAACACTATCAAGAACCAGAAGGTTCGACTTACCTTTGCAAAAAATATTTGCACTGGTCGACGAATGACTGGAAAAAGGTCCTGTTTTCAGATGAAAGCAAATTCAATATATTTGGATCCGATGGCATATTGTGGATACATCGCCCAGAAGGGAAAAGATTTGATCCGAAGTATACCAAGGCCACAGTAAAGCATGGTGGTGGATCTTGCATAGTGTGGGGATGCTTCTCGGGCTAGGGCATGGGACCACTGCATGTAATAGAAAGAACAATGGATCGATTTATGTATTTGGACATCTTAAAGAAATTGATGATTCCGTTTGCTGATGATAATTTGCCTTTAACCTGGATATTTCAGAGAGATAATGATCCAAAGCATAAATCGAAAGTCTTACAAGAATGGTTTTTGTCTGAACAAATTAGGGTTATGGATTTTCCTGCCCAGAGTCCAGACCTTAACCCCAATGAAAACCTGTGGGAGGAACTAGACCGCCGGGTAAGACGAAGTCACATTAGCAATAAGAATTTGATAAGAATTTTGAAAGATGCCTGGAATTCCATTGAACCAGATACCATAAGAAAGCTATTGGACTCAAAGCGATGTTGTGAAGTTGCTAATCACGGTTACTCTACACATTATTAATTTTATTAGGTTAGCAACGACTACGTACTTGTAATTTATTAATTGTCACGTATGTACTTATTAATTTTTAGTTTCTCTATTTTTGTCCCTATAGTTTTTTATTTCACTGAATAAAATCTTAAGTTTTCGTGAGACATGTGATTATTTCATTTAAATAATAAATGTTTAAATATCTTTAATTTTAACAATGCATAAAATGGCCTCAGTCTCTGCGTTAACAAAAAAGACACAATTTTAAAAAGTTTCTCTACTTTTGTCCAATAGCGTAGGTTTCCTAATCGATTGGAGATTATGCTGTGAGATTCTTACACCAAACTGTGTACGCGCATTTTTATATTATCATCTGTTAATAATTATATTGACAAAAATCTATCATAATCATGAAGAGTAATTATTATGCCTTTACTTTTGCAAAATTTAATCGAATATGATCAACCATACGTATTTTAACTCAAAGTGGAAAACAAAATATAATCTCTCCACCGAGAAAACATACAATTTCGACACCGGCACCCAACAAACAACAGAAAAATCTACTTTTGAACTAAAATGACATACAACTGTGGTTTGTCTTTGTATATCATTGAAAAGGAATATTTTTTGATATTATTTGCAAATCTCCCTAAAATACATAGGACAAAATTAAGATTACATATTTTTAAATGAAAAATGTGAGTTTTGATAAAATACTACTTTTTTGAACCGAAATTTATTTTTTCTCATAAAAAGCATTAACGGCCCTTTGTATACAGGGGCGGTGATATGCATGGGAACGGTTATTAAGTAAAATATTCAAGGTACCGCAAAAAGTAAAAAAGTCTTAAGGTTTTTATCTAGTAGCTAGTAGCCTATCACAGTTTACGCAGAATGGCATCATTAAATAACATCGAACACATCGAAATTAATTAAATCGAATTGTTCAAGTGATATTTTCAAAAATCAATAACTCGGAAACGGTTGGTTTGAGAGGTACATTGTGTGTATCTCGATTTTTGCTTAGGACTGAAGGAAGAACCATTAAAATATGAGCTTGATCAGAAAATACTGATACTAAAGATAGTAAAAAGTACTGATATAATATTATTTACGAGTTTACGACATAAGAGAGTGGGTGTTGTAATTTATCCAAATAACAAGAAAAGAAAAAAAAAAGAAAAAAAAAAGAAAAAAAGAAGAAAAAAAGAAAAAAAATTCCGACGGACCATTATAACGAGAAAAATATAGCCGTAGAGAGTAGAGAGAAAACACTAATAGATATTACTTGTAATTTAACTATGTATCATTCTATGTTACCGACACACGTATAAACCACCCTTAATTTAAATATACCTATTCTCAAAAAGGGATATTTACCACAATCATTACTTAATAAGAAACATCTGTTATTAACAATATTAAAAATATTAATGGAAAATTATGCATAGGAGCGGTTTAAAACCTTTCATTCGATACATGACATCATTTTTGATGTTTATTGAATGCTGAGATTATATCAGGAGTCTCTGTCTCCTTTAATAGTTAATATTAGTTATTTTTATCTAATTGCTAATTTCAAAAGTGTGACTATATTCATATAAATCTTTAATGTGCCTCTATAGTAATGCGTTTAGTTTATTGTTACATTTATTTATTTATGCATTTGTATATTTCTTCTCATCTTATTACTGAATACCAAAACCTTAAATTCAAAATAAAACATTTTTATACAGTGACATACATACATATTATGTAATTGTAAAAATATTTTTATGCAATCTTCCGCCAGCAACACAACTTTGCTCAACTGAAACATTTTCAAATTTTTTAAAAAATATATGAATAAATTATTGGCGTGTATTATCATTGTATTATCACAATTAGTTAATCAATAAACACGTATCTTTAAATATAATAAAAGTTTTTTATGTAGCTATTCGTTAAGCTAAATGTGCTAAGTACTTGACACTAGGAAATAGTTCGTACATATATTTAGCACCCTTATTTATACGTATATAAACAAGCTTATTTTTTACCCTTGTAGGACAAAAGGACTTTGCTTTAAATTCCATAATATCATTATTTCCATAATAAACCTTGTTGTTTTTTTTCAAATCTAGACAAAAAAAGTCACTTTCATTTGTACAAACATAAAAAATACAACGTAAATTATTGTAATGAATTAAACGTAAAACGAGGACTTTGTCAATAATTAGATGCATTTGCAAAAAAGGTAGAAGGCGTTTAAACCCACGTACTTAAACCTAAAAAAACACGTAGTTTAATACATACCCACTTCACCAAAGAAGTAAAACATTTTAATATTACTCATAAACCACCACTATTAAATCCTTTAAACAGGCACATCACGGCGTTTTTTACTTCTTTTTTGTCTCGGCATAGCTAAGACCGTATTCGGGTAATGGGAGACGTTTAAAAAACACGTAAAATATTGTTGAACAAAAATAATGTATGCACGACTAGTCCTGAGATGAATAGGTAATCGCGTATTAGTCGAGCGGGTTTTATACACAAGGTCCAATTTTATACCTTCCAGTAAATCTTAGGAATATAAAACTAAAGTTTAATCTTTTTTACTTCAGCCTAAAGATTTTTTCGTTTGATATAATTTTACACATTTTCGGTTTTTTTTCTATAAAAGTGTAAAATTTTAATATAGATGAACGTTTTAGGAAGTAGATGCATCAGATGGGTCAGAAGCAAAAAAGAACACAAAACACAAAGAACAAAGAAAAACTATTCAAAATATTCAAACACAACTACTCAAGAACACTTAATCTTTTTAGCAGATACGAACTATTGACGTTCTAAACAACTTTTTTCGATATATATTATCAACTATACAGGGTGGCGCATCAGGGTGGCACAACGCTTATCAGGAAGATTCCTGTTTGGATATCTTTGAGCATTAGCCCTTGAGGCCAAGAAGCAATATTTTCCTCACAGAATAAAATCACTAGTAACATATCAATTCGTTCCGCCAGCAGATACTGCTTTATTTTTCTTGATAAGATAATGAATACTTACTTATTAAACTATTGTAAGTAAAAAAAAACTATTACTATTGTATTTAAGTAAACTGTTATAAATTATAAATAATAATGTCCATAATGTTGATTTTGAAAATATGTAGTTACTAACTGCCACTAGAAAATTGCCATAGCGACACCAGCTATCTTGATTGCCATTTTATTTAAAAATCGCTTTTTATTCAAAATCTGAGCTACATAGTTCGAAAGAGGATTTGAATCTGCTTCGATTTATTTTAAAAAATACAGGATGTTGCGTTTGAAATAACGAAGTTTTTATATAAAATAAATCCTTAAAATAGATCAGCAATTTTTGGTACTCCTGTATAAATTTAAGGAAGCAATAACATTTTTCAATACAGTTTATTTCTCTACCTTTAAACTCAGCACAAGAATTAATTCTGAAAAGTAATATACAGGGTGTTAATAATCTATTCTATTGTAACGAGCATATTTAAATATCTTTAAATATCTCAAAAACCAAAGATTTTAAACATATTTAACCCTTATATTAAATGCCTTTTTTTTGGTCCTAAGAATCCAAAAATGAAATAAAATACCGGGTATTCCATAAGAAAAAATATAACTTTGGTATGGATTTTGGTTCTGAAACACCCTGTATATCGGGTGCGTCTCAAAAGTGGCTCACCCCTATAATATTTTTAATTTTTCAGATAAAACAACGAGATTTGGTATGTTAGTATATGACATAAATTGGGATTGATTGACGTATTCAATTGTTTTTGGTCACTTCCGGTTTCACCGGAAATGACTATAACTTTTGATTTTTAAATGGCATCCTCGGTATTTTTTTACTTTATTCGATAGAAAATGACACTCTGAATCGAATGACATATCATATGTCAAGTTTTGACATAGTCACTCAAAAACAAATTCTATTTTAAATTTCAATCTAGAGTGCCGTGGCTGTGTTAAAAATAATAATTTTTAATCAAGGAGCCTTGGAAAAATAGATTTGATCGTCCAATGTTTTTAGTGTCTTGTCCTGGCCGGTTAAAAGATGTCCAAATCGTATTTTTAATCATATCTCAATTTTTTCAAATGAAACGAGGGTGGCTCATTAACATATTTGGAAAAAGCATTTTTTTACGAATAATTTGATACCACACACTTGGTATTTTGAATCCAATTGTCGTTATGAACCGCATGTTACAATTTCAAATAAACCATATGCCAAAATGTCAAAAGTTGACATATGATATGTCATTCGATTCAGAGTGTCATTTTCTATCGAATAAAGTAAAAAAATACAGAGGGTGCCATTTAAAAATTTAAGTTGTAGTCATTTTCGGTGAAACCGGAAGTGACCGAAAACAATTGAATACGTCAACCAATCCCAATTTATGTCATATACTAACATACCAAATATAGTTGTTTTTTCTGAAAAAATAAAAAAGTTATAGGGGGTGAGCCACTTTTGAGACGCACCCGGTATTTCAAAATAATTTTAAACTGTGTACCTACATTGCCTCCCCACATATACCCATAAAATATTTTGTTTCTACATCTTTCCGTTTTCGTATAATCAACCGAGGCGAATGAAGTGCGCCACCCTGTATATTATAACTAGAAGTGTTCTTAGTTCTTAATAACTTCTTAAGTGGCAGTATTTGGATATTTTGAATAGTTTTTCTTTGTTCTTTGTGATTTTTGGCTTCCGACGACGGGAGGAGATGTATCCCCTAAAACTTCGGGTATTTTCAGTCCGTTAGGCAAATTTATTTCATTAGTAAATTCAAAGGTAAATTATACATAGGGCCCAAATTACGACGCTCCAAAAACTCATTAAATCAGACGATATTTTCGCCATTGATGATGGAGTTTCATAGTTCACAAATCGGTCTCAAAATACCATAAAAACATCATCCATCTCAACTTCCTCATTGGCTTACCACTTTTTCGATCGTTACCGCTTTTGTGACGGTTTTCGTGACGCTAGCTCGAGTGTCGCGGCTTTGAATTTTTACTCCCATCACACGTAAAGAAGTTTCACTTCCAAAACATTTTCACTTAATCACAACTGTCATGGCAGCCAATTAAAAAAAATTCTCATTACATAGGTAGGTATTACATAGTGGAGCTATAATTTTGATGGGAAAAACGAATTGTGTGTTGTATATTCTAAAAAAATATTGAATTTTTTTTATATCTACTAAAAATATTGGTTTTTAGAATACCAAACTCGTCGCAATCGCTTGTTTCTTTAAATCACTAGCTTGGAACAAATTCGAGCACTAGACAGATAATCTCTAAAAATAAATAATAATTAAAATTGTTAAAAATCCAGGCGTAACAATTGTTTACAATTCGATTAATTTTATTGGGCTAATCAGAAATTATTAGAATAACTTGACATTTTGGGATTATTATATACCTACATAGTCAAGTGCCGTATGATCGGAAAAAACGGCGCGGCGTCAGAAACGGTCATGGGATGACAATCGAAGTATTATTTATATACATCTATACTAAGATGTAAAATCCTTAAGTGACTGACATACTGATTAATCACGATCCTGCTCAAACCACTCAACGTAAGAAGTAAGAAGCTCAATTTTGGCATACAGGTTGATTCTAGGGTGTAGAGTTTCGATAAGAAGGGATTTTTCGAAATTCCAGTTCCAAGAGGATGAAACCACCCCTCAAATATTACAATATTTTTAATTTAACAATCGTTTCCGAAAAAACGCTTAAACACGTATATTTTATTTTGTTGTTTTACATATTTTAAATTTTTTTATAAATTTATACAGGGTGTTTCATAAAATATGACCATTAAGTAATCACGATTCTGCTTAAACTGTTTGACGTTTAAAGCTGATTTTTGGCAAACGGATTGACTGTGGGGTATAGAGGTTCGATAAGGAGGGGTTTCTCGAATCTCAAATTCCAAGAGGGTTCGAATTCCAAAACGCCCCTGAAATATTTAAATATTTGTTATTTAAAAACGGTTAGTCTTGGACAAGCATAATTTATTTCGATTTTTTACATATTTTGAAATTTTTAAAAAAATCATACAGGGTGTTCCAAAAACTTGGGTAATTTCTTAACCACGATTTTGCTTAAACTGCTTGACGTAAAAAGCTTATTTTTGGCAAACGGATTTTTTGAAAGTCAAATTCCAACGAGATGAAACTAACCCTCAAATATTACCAAGTTGTATAATAAAATCGCCATATTGTTTTTTCTCATGCTGCCATAAATGTGAGAAAATTTTATCCAGTTTGTATGTTAATGGAAATTCTTGCTTTGCTTTATCATCACCATTACAAATGATTAATTCGAAGCGAACGAAGTCGCTGGTACACGCTAGTATTATAATAAAAATTGACACATAAAACTTTTCAAAAATTAACACTAATTATAGAAACATTAAAAAGTACAGAACGTTTCCAGACACACAAATCTATTTCCAAAAAAAAATATTTTTTCTCGAATTTTAAACTACACCATTTAAAAATCATTTTTATTCAATGTAAAACTAAATTACACCCTTCTTAAAACAAGCTTAAAACCAAATTGCAGTATGCGCCATTAAAAAATAAAGAAAAGCACGGGATAAGTAAATGATTTCTAGGGCTTGACCTCGCTAAAATTAACATCGTTTGTCATTCCCAACCGGCTTTGACGCCTTTATTCTCGACTGTATGGTACAATTAATCTTAGGTGCGATATTATAGAAAAATAAAGAAAATAAAATAATTCTGAAACACTTAAAATATACCCAGGATGCGTCTGAACAAAATAAGACTCTAATGAATATATGAGGGCTAAATATAAGTTGCGCGGAAGCAGCTATCAATCGAAACCGACACCGTCCAGAAAAATATATTGAAAGCATAGTGTTTTCATATAAATAGAGTTGAAATCAAAAAGAACTCTTAGGGTCTGTTTAAATGTATTTCTTATGGCCTATAGATATGTAAGATATGTACTGAATGAATAGAAAACGCGATCAATATTCTCTTCATTACATACCTTACATATCATACATATCTTATATATTGATCACACACTAGATATAGTAATTAAAGAAAGAATGGAAAGGCAAGAACATTCAGGAAGAACAGCGGAAGAAAGTCGAAATTTTTTTCGACTTTCTTTTTTTTTAAAGTCGAAGTTTTGGAAATATGATATAAAAGATGAAGTGAAAACAGAAATGGGAAAGGTAAATGGACTAGAACACTTATAAAGGACCTAGAGTGTTGGATAAACAGAGGTTGTTTCAGGTATTACCTATATAAAATAAAGTAGTATAAGTAGCGTAGTAAACTGATAGCCCGAGATGTCTATATGGCGATTCCAATGCTGATACGGTGAAGCATAACCTTTTGGAATGTAACCGATGGACAGCTGAACGAAGAGTCCTATACAAAAAAGTAATACTCGATGTAATTAAGATTTCCGATCTAGTTCCAGAGATGATTGGATCCCCAGAAAATTGGAATGGTGTTCACACTTTTATGGAGTCATTAATAGATATAAAGAGAATAAGAGAAAGAAGCTAGACGAAGTCATCACAAACATCACAGTAAAACTGCCTCCTCGAAACGTAATGCAGAAAGATAGTTAGTTCTCCTCGGGGAGATACTCAAAGCGGTTTGTGGAGGTTTTTTTAGTCGGTAAGGTACCTCAAACACACAGACAGTACCGCTTACGGTCTCTGGTTTGCAGTTTTTTCTCCACAAAAAAAATGGTCAAAAAGTATTATGATCAAGTGATTTACATCACAAAGTGATTACTGTTGCCTTATCTCCACAGCATATTAGTGTGCAATTGTGCACATAGCCAATGACATTATCCCCATAGTTTTGTCTAACGGATTTATAAGAAGAAAGTATATTGCTAGTGCTTAACAGCTTTTACTGTAAAGTAGAAATATTTTCTATTTATTTGTTTAAATTATTGGGTCTAGTTGCGGAACAATCGCGAACAAGCGCTAACCAATCACCTATCTTAAAACCAGACCATAATTTATCAGCTTTTATATGAAACTACTGATTCTGAATTTATCCGCAAAAACACCTATTACTTCCATATTGGATCCGGATTGGACCCATTGTCAATTTTTCTTCACCTTCGCGAGCCACCACTACTTTGCGATAAAGGTAGGTACCTATTTAAGCAATAAAAAATGAAGGGGTCTCGGGGAGAAACTTGTTAAGCGCCAATTTCTTAATCTTAAGATTTTACAATATTATAGTAGGTCTAACTGGTCCCTACAAAATGTAGAAACTCTGCAGGGCAATAAGTTGCGAAAAATTTGAGCGCCAAAGGTACCTACTTTCGAAAATGTGTCGGTTAAGTAGAGTTGTAGCATTGTAGAGACTAAAATATTCAACAAAGTAACTAAGAAATTAATTCAACTGTAACTGTAAAATATTTTACTAAGTTAAATTGTTTTTGCGGTCAGGTTTCCCGATCGCTGTTCCAAATCCGGGCCGGACCGCCCCGGACACTTTAAAAATCCGGCCGGGTATGGAAACCCTATTCATTTCTGACCTAATAAATTACTTATTTTTATTAAAATTGTCAATAATCAAGGAAATGTCCAGTTCTAGGAGTTTATTCGAACCAGCTTTATGTAACCCTTCTCATAAGGAATGCCCATTTTTTGAAAATAAACCAACAAATTAGGTTTAATAACGATAAAATGCTAAATTACGTCAATTCAAACTACTTTTGCCATTGCGAACTGATACACTGAATGAACTACGTTACGAGTGGGCGTAGCCTCGTTTCGGCGTTACAAACTTTAAGCCGGTACTCCATTAGCCAACACGCCACGCCACGCCACCCACGTCATGAAGATCTGTGCGTATGTTTTTCCATTTAATTACATATATTGCGTATCCACTAGGTCACACGCCACCCCACGTCACGCTACCCCACGCTATCGTGTGATGACAGTCCCAGATCTCATATGTACACTCGCTTTCCCATGTCGCATCACGTGGGCTCACGTGGGATAGCGTGTTGCCTAATGGGGTCCCGGCTTTAAGGTCTCATATCTCTAAAGGTTGATTCTCACTATACCTTCCGTTTCCATTCCATATTCGTTGCGTATTTTTATTGTATTGACGCTATACGTAAGCTTCCGTTCCGTATCAGTTCCATACTTTTTATTGTACAATTTATAACTTATATCATTATGAAAGTTTTATTTTAAAAATTTGTATTCTTTGAAAAAGGTAATAGATTTTATTAAGAGGTGAAAGAATAAATAAATATCAGCAAAATGTTAACAGAGCTGGTAGAAATGTAAGAACTTGACAACGCTGTTTCTGATACGCTTCGGTCCGTCCGCCAAAAAAAAGTATGGAAGGAAAGGATATGGAACGGAAGGGAAACGGAACGGATAGTGTGCATTGTCCTATTCATTTACATGATATAATATTTTATATAAACGGAAGGGAAACGGAAGGGAGCTGATATGAAAAGTATAGTGAGAATCAACCTTAAAACGCCAAAAGATTTCGTTTTGAAAATTTAAGGGAGCAATTATTCTAATAAGTAGTATCCAAAAGAGGTTAAAAAACATACAAACAAAATATGATGGAACGAGCCTATCAGATCCACTTGCGCGATAGAGGAGCAAAATCCGCTCCACTAAAATTCACCTGACGATCTTCTGTCTTTTTTTCAAGGACGCACTCTCTTATATAAGCCGCGTAAGGCTATTAAATTACTTTGTTAAATATATGAACAATCATAACGACACTGCGCGATATTGCTCGTGTAAGCTTAACTATATTTGAGCACTATATTATGTGTGCACTAAAAATGTTATTGTGATCAATGTGATCATTAAACACCTTATCTAATTAACTGAAATTATTCAGATGCAAGATACTTTTTATAGAATTTGAAGGTAAACAAGTATTGGAGCTAGCAAATAAAAATTGATGTTTTGTCGACATCGCGGAATTTCTTGAATGAACAGTATCAAAGGAAATGATCTGTGAGAAACAACGCGTGGGAATATAGAATTGAACTTATTTGTTTCTTACTTTAATTTCGTTAACAGGTCAACAGGTGTATTTAGTTGCGTAAATTTGTAAAACTACGTAATTAATTTTAATTAATTATAACATTTGTATCCACAAAAAATGTTATTTAATCATGGTAATACACATGTAGGCAGAAATTTGATAAAAATACTTGTGTCTCTGAAACGGACAAAATATAAACAAGACCAGAATATAAAGACATAATATAAACAAAATATACTTAATTTAACAAAATAATACCTAACTGCTTCATAAAAATAATTTCTTTTGCCGTTGCTTCATATTTTCAAAATTCTAGCTTAAACAAACATATTTAAATCTGTAAAGTCCTTATGTTTTCTATTTTAAAATCAAATTACCCCATAAAGTAAACAAACCAGAGAATAAAAGCGTTTCACCAATAAAATGCTGAGTGTCCCATTAAATCTTCTTCGCTTCCGTATGTCGCCCCGTTTCAAAATAGACTTCGTTTATTTTTATACCAATTAGTGTCCAAGTGGATTGAAAGAACTGAAAAACATTGTTAGTAGGTGGACCATATGAGACTATTTTAACGTTTAGCGCGACACGAAAGCGTCCAAAGTGGTACATTCTATAACGAAAATTAACGCACTCTTATAATCATTATGTTCTGCGACAAATACGAATTCTAAACCGATATTTCAAAGGGAAAAAATGTGACAAATACTTTGACACTTACCTTCGTCCATCGGAGGTTGTGCGGCCATCACTTGTTTTGTTTTGTTATGTTTCCAAGGAAACAGCGATTTCAACATTTTTGAGCACGTGTTTGCGTAGTTGCCAAAGCGAACAATGATAATCAGCTGAGAGCAAGTCAGGTTGGCGGGCGCTGGTGAACTGGTCTTGCATCATATCATTCTGGTTTCTGGAAGAACGGCGAAAAATGAATTTATTTTTGGATGTCTGCCGGAATGGGAGACGTCTTGTGTCTTGTCTTTAGCGGAAGTTGCTTTTTGTTGGCAGGTTATCAAAACTTGTACGTCCTGTATCCTGCAATATTTTTAAAAGTATTTGTTGATACTTATTTGTTTCTTTGCTAAAAAGCAACTTATAACTCATCTGCTTATAATACCTATAACTTTTCTTTGAATAATACAAATAAATTAAAATAATAAGTTTTGCTTAAGATAATAGGTGTGTCTAAATATCTATGGAACTTTTATTTATTTCTTTGCTTTAAATAATAAATCTTAAGTAAATATTGTTTCATAGATTTATCATTTAAAAAAAACCTTTTGAAATACAACTTCCATAGTCAAGAATCAAGCGGGTTTATTTTGACGTTTAAATAAATAATCCAAGAGTCATAATAAAGATAATACCATAAGAATTGTTTGTACAATGGATAAAAGAAATAAAAAAAATACAAAAAACAAATACTAAGTATGCTTGATTATTAGAACAAATCTGAAGTTGTCTCTGAAACTGAAATCTGTCAATTATAAACTGTGAAGTTAGACAATAGTTAGACAAAAACAATGCTGTCCTTGTCTAGGCGGCCATACTTGTCGTGAGGAGAATGACAGGAATGACACTAATGACTGTTTCCAATTTTCCTATTTCACTGTCACCCCCCTGGATCAACGTAGCTAACTAATGAATATTGAATCGATTGAATCTATAATCTATATAGCGTAGCTGGCAGAGTCGCTAACACTCATAAAGTTGCATGCACGTAGATTCGTATATCCAAAACCGCTGGAATCCGCTATGACCTTTGATCAGAACTACTTTGATTAAAAAATATTAGCTAAAAACCTTTGCTAAAAACCTTGCTTTACTAGCCTTTGCTAAAACCTACTCAAATATCAAAACGGAAATTTTGCCGTGTCGCCTATTTTTTGGTAAGGCTCTCATCACGTGATCAAACAGATTTAACGAGACTTTGAAGATTCTATGCGATTCTAGGCCTAGATACTTAGAATAAACAATAATTAAGTAACTATTAGTGCAAATTTAAAAAAAACGTTTTAAAATAGTTGTTAAAAATTTAAACTGCTAGATCTAGCGGGAAAACCGCTAAGTTGGCAACAGTGGTAGATCGATGTGTGATGAAATCCAAATGTAAATCATATATTACTACATTACTATAAATATATGATGTAAATGTGTAAAATATGGTGTAAATCAACCACAGATACATAATAGTTTAGCTTATCGAAAATTGCCTTTGAAGTTAAAAGAAGAATATAGGCTGATATCTGATACCTGATATAGGTTATAAAAAGTTGATTCGTTGTTGATGTTGATACATTTTGTATATTTTTGAGTTTTTAAACTATTTTCAAAATGGTAAAAGAAAATAGTAATGCTGTAAAAAAGAAGCGAAAAGCAAATACTACTGAAGCGGATGCCGAAACCGACATTTACAAGGTTGATACTGAATTAAATTTCTTTTAAGAAAAACAAATAAAGCATGAAAGTATAGTATTCATAAATGTTGAATTTTGTAGAAAGCGTGCGATTTTGAAGAAAATGAATCTCAAAACCGTAACAGTTCTGAAGATGCTGAGTTGTTCTTTCAGATTTGTCAAGAAATTCATGATTTCTTAGATCAAGTACGGGAATTAAAACAGTCATCTGGAGATGTATGTTGAATTTACATTTAGCCAAATACATAACATCTTTAATTTGTATTTTCAGACATCTCAAAAGTTATCATGTTTAACAGATATTGTAGTTAAGATTTGTGTTATTAAGAAACTTAATAGACTTGACAAACTTGCCCATGTATTAGGTAGAGAAGCCCTTAATACGGAGAAACAAAAATGTGACAGTATTAAGTTAACATATCAGAATTTAGTTTATGAATTACATCATTTAGTTACAGAGACAAATAAATGTCTGTCTTTCAAGTATGTATTAATTTTAAAAAGGACATTTGGGGAATAACTATTGATGCTTGTTTAGGTCTGAAGATGAAGACATAGAGTTAGTATCCTTTGAAGACTTTATGAAAAATGCTCCTGAAGCAGTGTCTAAAAAATTCATAGATGTAATTTGAAATAATTTCTAATTTTGATTTATTATAAAAGATGTTTTAGTTTGACCCTAACGATAGTGAGCAGGATCATGCTTTGCGATTAGCTAGACTTGAATGGGAATTGACACAGCGTAAAAATCTTGCAGAAGAATGTAAAGCTTTGGAGGAAAAAAAGAAAAAAGTAGTTGAAGGTTCTCTTTAAAGTAAAATAATTTTTTCCATAATAAAACTAAATTTTATTTAATCCTAGAAATCACTGAAAGAAAGGAAAGACTAAATGATCTTTTACCATTATTGACTACAGTTATTAAAGCTACTAAACCTTTACAAGAACATTTGGGAATGTCTAGTGAACTAACTAGGAAGGAGCATAAGTTAGCACCTCTCTTGTCAGATCCATTGTATGTACTTTATGCTAATATAGTAGCATATAAAAGTGTTTTTGGTAAGATATTTTATAATGTATTTAACTATTATAACAGTAATAATAAAGTATTCTTTAGAAACAAACATAAATGTAAGTATTTTGGGTGACAAAGATGATGCCACACAGTTTAACGAAGCTCAAGAAGTGTCTCATTCAAATAACTTAAATGAGGAAGATTCTGAGCCAGAATCTGACTTGCCAGAAGTTGAAGTAAATACGAAAGTAAAATCTAGATGATTTCAGTAATTTAAAATTATTTTTTTAGGAGGTGGTTGAAGTGAAAAAGAGAAGACATAGAAAATCAGTTCAGCAGGTTGATCCAGTTGAAGAGAAGAAAAAGAAGTTGCTTGAGGTTCATCCTTTAACTGTTCAACTTTCACTATCTATAACAGATGGCCCATCTTTAGTTATTATTTTCAGTTATTATACTAAACTAAAAACTATAACGGTCAAATCACAAGTTGATATGCCTTCAAATTTTACTTGTAAGTAAATACTAATCAATTTACATATATATTGTGAATTGTGATATCAAATCACATTTATGTTAATTTACATAATTTACTACATAAATTAATATTAGTATATGTACTAAATATTAGTGATGGGAAAAACCGATTAATTTCAATAATCGAGTACTCGAGTATCTAGCGATTGCAATAACCGAGTGATCACTCGAGCGAAATACGGTTTTTTGTCCGTAGTAAGCTGCGTGCGCAGGGCACATATTCTTTCGGTAATGAATGGCAAGTAGTAAGCGGCGAGCGATTCGCTTGATCGCCTGATTTAGTTTATTTCGGAGCATTGTCGATGTAGGTCGTAAAATTTTGTCTCTCAGATACGCAACGGATAAATATACCGGGTGCGTCTCAAAAGTGGATCGCCCCTATAACTTTTTTATTTTTTTCAGATAAAACGAGATTTGGTATGTTAGTATATGACATAAATTAGGATTGATTGACATATTCAATTGTTTTCGGTCAAATGACTGCAACTTTTGATATTTAAATTGCACCCTCGATATTTTTTTACTTTATTCGGTAGAAAATGACACTCTGAATAGAATGTCATATCACATGTCAACTTTTGACATTTTCGCATATGGTTTATTTGAAATTGTAACATGCGGTTAATAACGACAATTTGACTCGAAGTACCGTGTGGTATCAAATTATTCGTAAAAAAATTCTTTTTCGAAATATGCTAATGATCCACCCTCGTTCCATTTGAAAAAAATTGAGATATGATCAAAAATACGATTTGGGCATCTTTTAACCGCTCGAGTTATCCCATCACTACTAAATATTAGTATTCTGAATGTTAATGAATTATTGTTTTAATTTATGCTACAGGGTGATGTTTAAGTACCAAGCCAAACTTTAAGGAATTTTGCTTTTAAGTGATTTTAAGATTTTATAAATATAGGTCCCAAAATGCTTCTTTTTCAATATACAGTTATTATGCCCGATGGTTCAACAGACGTCAATGACGACATCCAAAAATGACAGAAAATTGAATTTACCTCTGAATTCAAATGACAGAAACAAGTGTAGCTGTTAGTGATGTAAACTTTAGTTACTTATATGGACTCGTTACTACTAGTTACTTTTGGTAATAGGACTCGTTACTTTGGACTCGTTACTTTAGTTGCTCGTCACTTTGGTACTTAGTATCGTTACTTTATAATCGTTGTCTTGTGTACAGGTTGGAAGACTTGGGCTTGACTAGGAACTTTGTTACTTATTGTGCGCGGCGATCTTCGTTGCGTGCTCGGTTTAGCCTATAAGGGGTTTCTACTTTCTTCTAGTGTAAGGGCTTAATACTACTTGATAATACTCGGTATTATCAAGTACTGAATAATATGTTTTCAATAATAGGTATAATAAAAAGAAAAGAAAACCAAATCAAACAAAGTAAATAGAAAATATGTGTATAATATAAAGTATTTTTTTTATTTTTTTTTCTCTCTATCTCTTTCTCTCTCTTTGTATTTTACATTAATAATTATGCAAACATTAAAGAGCAAAAATAAAAAAAAATGTATATATTTTTGTTAAAATAAAAAAAATATTTCAAAATGTCTATTCCTCTGTGACGGATTCATCTCTTCAAAAAAGTTCTTTGGATATTATATTATTTTGTAGATTTTCTTACAGTGTAAGCCGCGAAATATCTATTCTTTTTTAAAGAGGAAAAATATTTGCTCTGCTTTTTCAGATGTTAACAATTTTTGTGAATAACGTGAGTCCATTTTTAATTAACATCTAAGTCATGTTAATCTAAATAAACAATTCTATTCTTCGCCCATCGAGCAACTATAAATCAAAAAATAAAACACACTCTACCCCTAAATAATATCTTATATTAATTATTATTATGTCAACTAAAATTGAAAAAACGTTCGGAATTACCTAAATAAAAAGCGACAACAAACGGCAAAGGGACAGACCGCCGCCGGGTCGTCATGAGCCAATCATAATAATTGTAATAAAAATATCAACATTTGCCATCCAAAACACCTGAAGGCGCCAAGTCAACACTTTAAACATAAATATACTGATAACAACTAGACCTACGTTTCGAGTCCTCGGTTCGTGTATTTCCAGGGATTACGATTACTGCCAGCGCAAAAGCAAAGCAAAAGTAACGAATTAGCTTAGTAACGAGTAACGAGTCCTAAAGCCAAATGATAAGCGTTACTTCAAGTCCTTGTAAAGTAACTGTTACTTTGTAACGATTACTTAGAATTTTTACATCACTAGTAGCTGTCACAAATCCACACTAGTTGGACAGGCTATAGTTTATTTTTTTATTGTGGAACATACAATAAAGTAAAAACAATTACATATGTGGCGGATTCATCTCTCCAAAAAAATCCTATATGGGTATTTCGCCACTGCGAGAAAATCTACAAAATAAAGTGACCAAAAATAAATACAACCTTAAAAGACAATGGCGCACAATTTTTTCTTGTTGTTAATATAAGGGACTTAATTCACTTTATCATATTAGGGTTCATTCACACAAAGTCAACTAAAAGATTATTAAAAAAAAAGACAACTAATTTTCTTATCTAATACCCTGTATATTGAAAAATAAGCATTTCTGGACAATAGTGCGTCGGGCATCTGTAGCTCCCAGGATAAAAAAACTTGAGAATTTTGTTTAAGTGCAAACCTAAGGTATGTACCAGGATTTATTTCAGGAAAAGATTTTAACTTCTATAGGGTGGCTCAAAAAAGTAAGTGGATCTGGATGATTTTTTTTAAATGGAACACCCTGTATATTATTGCATTTTTGGTTTCCTTTCGGATCACTTTACATAATCCTAAGACATGAGTAAATATTTTTCGATAATTTCAGAGATATTAATAAAAATAATATATACAGGGTGATTCCTGTAAGTCGGTCATGCTTTCAGGGAATTATAGGGGACGTCGAAATATTAATTTTGATATAGCACACTATGGGTCGGAAATGCTTCTTACGCAGGGTGTTAAAGTTTTAGAAAAATTAAAGATATTCTTTAATAGTTTTTTAACAGTTGAAGGTATCGTTATAAAATTTCATTATAGGAGTCTACCTAACAGAGACACTTTAAATGTAAAAAGAAGAGGTTTTAGTTTTAACCAGTGGCGTAGATGTGATACGCATCGGGTAATTTTTGCAAAAAAAATAGTACGCCACTGATAAAAATAAAAATTTCGTATTTTTTTTATTTACTTGGTTTATTTCCAAGAAAAATGTCTCTTGCAACTTTCTCCTGTCTAACACCATTTTGTCACAATTTAAAAATAAATAAATTTTTTAATGAGAATCTTAAATACAGCGAATTATTATAACTAGAGGGCAGAAACACATGTGCATCGCTAGCTCCCTTCATCTTGGGTAACTTTGGTTCTTTTTACTATTAGCTCTAAATAAATTTTTAAAAAATTATAAATTTAAACTAGAATATTTTTTATTGTAAATAATAAAATTCTTAGTTTTAAGGTAGTTATAATAATTTGCATATTTAAGGTTCTCATTAAAAAAATACTTATTTTTAAATTGTGACAAAATGGTGTTAGATAGAAGAAAGTTGCAAGAGACATTTTTTCTTGGAAATTAACCGAGTAAATAAAAAAACTCCGAAATTTTTATTTTTATCAGTGGCGTACTATTTTTTTTGAAAATATTACCTGATGCGTATCACAGCTACGCCACTGGTTGAAACTAAAACCTCTTCTTTATACACTTAAAGTGTCTCTGTTAGGTAGACTCCTATAATAAAATTTTATAACGATACCTTCAACTGTTAAAAAACTATTAAAGAATATCATTAATTTTTCACAAACTTTAACACCCTGTATCCTGCGTAAGAGGCATTTCCGATCCATAGTGTGCTATATCAAAATTAATATTTCGATGTCCCCCGTCATTCCCCGAAAGCATGACCGATTTAAAAAAATATTACAAATACAAGAACTGTTTTAAAATCAAAACTATACTAGGTATTTACTTTAGATGGTCTATACTTAACTTTGCTATAAATATCGTAACCTTAAATCATACAGGGTGTTCAAAATTCTACGTCAAACTTTCTAAGGTATAAAATAATTTTAATTGTTTTTTTTTAAGTGGAACACCCTATATATTATTTTTTATTAGATGGAAAGTTAAAAAATGAATATTTTTTGTATTTAAAGTATTTCAAAATTTTTAATGATTTCGCAGATACACGCAGTATTATTTCATATGGCTCTTTCAATGGTAAAATTCGAGAAAAAAATCATTGGATGGCTTTAATAAAAATTTACTGTGGAAAATGCCATATGAAATATAAACCGCGAATATTTGCGAAACCGTTAAAAATTTTGAAGTACTCTACAAAAAATTGTTACTACAATAATTAATTCTATTGATAAAATAATGTACGGGGTGTTCCATTAAAAAATGAAATGAAGACAAATTATTTTATATGTATTTTAGAAAGTTTGGCGTAGAATTTTGAACATTGTATTTTTAATAATTGTTTTAAGAATGGCTGAAAAAAAATATTTTTTATTTATGTATTTATTAATATCTCTGAAACTATCGAAATATATTTACTCATATCTTAGGACTATGTGAAGTGATCTGAAAGGAAGCCAAAACTGCAATAATATGCAGGGTGTTTCCATTTAAAAGAAATCATCCCAAACCATTCACACTTTTTGAGCCACCCTATAAAAGTTAAAATATTTTCCTGAAATACATCCTAGTACATACTTTAGGTTTGCCCTTAAACAAAATTCCCGAGTTTTTTATTCGAGGAACTATAGATGCCCGACGCACTATTGCCGTACCCTGTATTTTAAACTTTTTGTTTTAAAACGATTCAAATAATGATTCGCTGAAGTTTGGCTACATATTCTGCACGCTCTGTAATTTTTAGCAGACACAGCTAGAGAAATTTTATCTGGTCATAACATTTTAAGTGAACTTTTGGATAATGATACAGGAATGGAAAGTCCTAATCCAAGTACAGCATATCAATTAAAAAAACTTGGATTGGGGTCATTTCAAACACTTGTTCCTGATATTGGTTATGCTTATGGATGGGCCCAATCTATTTGCGGTATAGATTTTTTAACACCAAAGGTATTTATGACTCTAAGGTCGATTTATAAATTGAAAACGGTGCGGTTCGACGTTGCGGTTGCGATTATTTCTGTTGGCTATTACTAACGTTTCAAGGTCAACGTTCCTGTCGAAGTTAAAAATTGGTCAATTTTTGACGTAAAACGTCAACCGCAACAACAACCGAAAAATTTATAATCAACAAAACATCCTGCGTATAAACAAACTTTTTACCGACCGTAACGTCGGGCGTCGACCCGCAACGTTTTCAGTTTATAAATCGACCTTTAGGGGAAAGTGTTATTTTGAAATTTTATATTTTCATTTTGACAGAGATACTGTGATAAATTGAGCCAACAAAGTGTTGAAACAATATTAAAAATCACAAAGAAAAGATTGAACACTAGAACACACCTTGCAAAACAAATGCAACAGCTGGGTAAAAAACGTACATATTAAGGTATTCTAAACTATATTACATAGGTATTTTTTAGAAAAAAACATTTTATCTGAAATCCCAGAAGAACTACAGATACCAACCACTGCTATATCATCCTTAAATAAATGGTCTTCAACCACTTATCAAGATTTTTGTCTTGCAGAATACACACAACATTTGCTAGATGAAAATCTGGTGTCTCAGTCTGACCTATTCTATTCTGCAAAAATATCCAGGGATGAAGGTTTGTATATTAAATAATCTTTTAAAGAAATTATTATATTGAATGTTCTATAAGAATATTTCATTTCTAAATTCAATTTTAAATATATTAACTTGTAGCAACTTTGAACCTTTATATTGTAATAAGAAATACTTATCCCATTCCTGCCCCAATAGTTGCCTTATGTCTGGATTATAAAGGCAAATATACGTCAACGAATTGTGACGAGATTCGGGTAAATATATATTTTCTAATTTGTTTTTTCGATTATTTAGGTTTTAACATTTGCAGGATCTAGAAAGAACTATAAATATAGACTGGAATTATGGAATTCGCAGTTCATCATGGTTACTCTCAGCCCAAATAACACACCTTTGTTCATATCTGGACGTGTATCTGGAAACTCTTGATTCAAACGTTTTTCAACCCAATGCTAAATTTATCAGAAGCGTTAGGTTAGTATGGCATTTCATAAATTACGTGGTATTGCATTATTTTGCCTATATTGTTTTAATATACTAAATTATATCGAATAAAAAGACCAAGGAAGGAATAGAGGAACAAATTTGGCGAAATTACGATGGATTTTATGGCTTACAACTTTTGAGATTTTCGCTTAAAACAAATTTGTATTTTAAATTTCAATCTAGAGTGCCACGACTGTGTTCAAAACACTAATTTTTAATGAAGGAGTCTTGGAAAAATAGATTTGATCGTGTAATGTTTTTAGTGTCTTATCCTGGCCGGTTAAAAGATGCCCAAATCGTATTTTTAATCATATCTCAATTTTTTCAAAGGGAACGAGGGTGGCTCATTAGCATATTTATAAAAAGCATTTTTTTAGGAATAATTTGGTACCACACACTTGGTATTTCGAGTCAAATTGTCGTTATGAATCGCATGTTGCAATTTCAAATAAACTATGCGAAAATGTCAAAAGTTGACGTACGATATGTCATTCTATTCATAGTGTCATTTTCTATCGAGTAAAGTAACAAAATACCGAGTGTGCCATTTAAAAACCAAAAGTTGTAGTCATTCTTTATACATATACATATACCGGGTGCGTCTCAAAAGTGGCTCACTCCTATAACTTTTTTTATTTTTTTCAGATAAAAAAAAAACGAGATTTGGTATGCTAGTATATAACATAAATTAGGATTGATTGACATACCCAATTGTTTTTGGTCACTTCCTGTTTCACCGGAAATGACTACAAATTTTGATTTTTTTATGGCACCCTTGTTATTTTTCTACTTTATTCGATAGAAAACCCCTCGAAAAAAATTGATAAACACCCTGAATAGAATGACATATCATATGTCAACTTTTGACATTTTCGGTTTAAAAACAATCGTATTTTAAATTTCAAGCTAGAGTGCTATGGCTGTGTTAAAAACACTAATTTTTAATCAAGGAGCCTTGGAAGAATAGATTTGATTGTCGAATGTTTTTCGTGTCTTGTCCTGGCTAGTTAAGAGATACCTAAATTGTATTATTAATCATATCTCAATTTTTCCAAATGGAATGAGGGTGGCTCATTAGCATATTTGGAAAAAGCATTTTTTTACGAATAATTTGGTACCATACACTTGGTATTTTGAGTCAAATTGCCGTTATGAACCGCATGTTATAATTTCAAATAAACCATATGACAAAATGTCAAAAGTTGACATATGATTTTATTTCTTATGAAGGTGTCATTTTCTATTGAATAAAGTAAAAAAATATGAAGGGTGTCATTTAAAAATCAAAAGTTGTAGTCATTTCCGGTGTAACAGAAACAGAAACTACAATCATTCCTAATTTATGTCATATAATAACATACCAAATCTCGTTTCTTCTCTGAAAAAATAAAAAAGTTATAGAGGTGAGCCACTTTTGAGACGCACCCGGTATATATTTGTAGTTACGTTATGCTTAAATGAAAAATCAAATGTATTAAAAAGAGATAAAAGTTAGGGTGATGCGTATCTTCTATGCGGTATTGCCGGATTTTGCATCAAAATTTCAAACTGCGCAAGTAGCTGTTTTTAACATTTTAATAGAGCTATAATAGATTCTTAAACAACTGTCTAACAGAAATTAGTATTATTGAATAGCTTAGATATATTATCTTCCTTTATTATTTTATTTCTCGTACGAACCGGCAACACTGTACGCCGCTTTTTATTTTGTCTCTCTGTTTGTCAACTGGTCGTATTATATCTCTGTCTTATGCATTAAAGTACAGACCATGGAAATAAATGGTATTCTGTAAGCTCCGTAGCCAAAAAATTCTTGTCCAAAGTTTAGCTATTTTTATATGATTGATGAGTCACTAGAAAGGAAATATGTTTACAGAATCGCACTGCAGGGCTAGTATAATTACTTACTAGTGAAAAGTTGTTCTATTATTTTCTATTTTTTAAATCTTTTACCGACTGAACGAAAACAAGTAACAATTTCTAAAGCTTTTTTTTTAAATACAATAATCTCATTCTCACTGTAATTGAAACTTTTGTCTTTTCAGATTTATAGACTTTGACTAAAACTAATATTAAACAAGAAGTAATACAGATAAGCGCAACAAACTCTAGGAATTCAATTAAATCAACAACAAAAACAATCATAACTGTTCCTTCATTTACACACCTTACCTTCATTAAACTTTTTATTCAATTCACAGATTCAATTCTAAATTACATTAAAGTCAAAAGGACTGGACAATTTACTTTTGAATTTAAATTGATAAACAGCTGTGATGTATTCCATCATGATTCATTATTCCCTAGTTGGATGGAATATACATTGATAGAGAGCTTTATTTATTAAATAAAATTAACACAATATAGTTTTTTGAACTTCATAAACTACAGTATTTTTAATCTGTTTTTTGTCTTTCAGTGGACGAAATAAAAAGAGGCCATTTAAATTTAGGAAAATTGGAACAGGACTCTTCACTCAATATTAATGTTTATTTTTCATTATTTTATATTTACATACAAAGTAAACAATAAAGTTTGTTGGATAAATTAGTGTTTTATTAAAAAATAACTTAATTAGTTTGAAACGAAATAGATTTACAACTGAGATCTTTTAAATTTAACAAAACACCTTGGAATGTCTTTGAAAAATCTGGAATACTAATGAGGCATATTTTTTGTCCATCCTCGCCTGTAACAAATTTTGTACCAAATTGCTCTTGGTTTCCAGCAAAAAGTACATGTGGACATTGTGTTAAAATAAATGGGTCTTTATTATAAAAGGGAAAACATCCTAAAGTATCTGGTGCCGTGGGTGCTAGATGATTCCAAATGAGACAACTTTCCATTGCTTCCAGGTTAGATGTAATGTCTGAGTACCTTAGAATGTCATTAATAGGCTGACCTGAGGTTCCAATAATTTTTATTCCTTCTACTTCACAAAAATATGGATTTGATACTTGATTAAATGATTTATATAAAGATGATTCGGGAAACATACAGAAGTGAATTGGTCTCTGGGGTAGTATATGATTTGATGGATCATGTTCCCCAGGCATGATATCAATATCAATTACTTGACACATTTTAAGTAAGAAACTATCAAAATTCTTAACAGCTTCGATAGTTTCTGGAGATTCGGTGGTTCGCGACACTAAAGAAATTGTCGGTTTAGCTTTAGGTGGCTTGTTTCTTATGCTATTACCAGCAATAACTACACGACATACTCTCGATATGAGGTCAGTATTTCCTAATAGACCGCTTATCCAATATGTCAGTAATTGCAAATGAAGAGCAATCTTTTCGTGTTCTACAAAATTTATACCACTTAGAAATAAAACATAAAGAGATTCAGTCAGCACTGGCCTTTCGATTTGATCTCTCATATTTGCAAATATAAACTCATCTACTTTAAATTTTCCTTTTCCTTCGTCCTTTCCCAATAAAGCACAGGAAATACCCGTGACCAATTTTTTAATATCAATATTTCCTAAAAATAAATAATATTTGCATAGAAAAATCAAATTGAAAAAATATCTGGAATGTACATTGTAATGAATGTTATTACCTATACCTGATAATTGGTATCTTTGAACCTCATCTTCCATAAATAGTACATCTGATTCGTCTGTAAAATGCGTTAAAATAGGTTGTGGAACCAACTGGTTACCTTCAGCAATTCGCTTTAGAACTGACGGTTTTAATTTTTGATCTTTAAACAAAGTTCCAATAACAATGCATTTGGTATATTGCTCTTCGGATAGCTTGTGTAATTTGCATACTGGATACTTGTTACCCCATTTTTGCTTTATTCTATCCATAAGTAATACTTCCATTTGTTCTAATCTCGCCAAATAAATACTGCAATACTGTTTAGTAAAATCCGTCGATGGGCAAGTAAATTTATCTGAACAGTTTTTGTAATTGGTGCATTTTCTTTCTACTTTTAATGGCATTTTGACGAAATTCAAATTATTAGTTACAAAAGGGTCACTAACATAGAGTATTCGATGTTTTATTTATATAACAATTAACGATCATATAACGATATAACAACACAGAACATAAACTTCTGATGATCACAGCTGATGATTTTTTTAACAATAATTTGAGGTTATATATATTTCCCGCCATCATTCATAAAACTGTATTTTTGGTTGTCTACCCACTACATTATGTGCAGTATAAAATCTTTATTAGTTCTTCTTCTTTCTCATATGATAATAAAGTGGAAAAATTAAAACGTTTCTCTGTTCTTCAATCACCGCAATATTTACTTTTTTCAGATTCAAAATTTCAAATATTAATTGATTGACCTGTTTTTAAGAATACATAAGAAATGCAAATAATTTAAAGCCAAAATATAAAATGAAAGTTTTATTTTAGTCCGTTTGTTAGAATTTAATTATAGAGAATATTAACTTTCACTGCTTTTAATTGCATATCATTAAAGTTGAAAAACTCCAGAAAATAGCAACTGAAAATCATTAAATGTAAATCAATTCAATCGTCAATATATGTTTTATTGAGTGTTTTAACGTATAACCTTGTACTTAAATTTACCTTTTCTAACTAGTTAAGTATAGATTCTTGCTTAAACAATAGTAGGAGTACCTATTTTCAAGCTGAATAATTGTCAACATAAGTAATAGTGTAATATGAATTTCAACGGCACAAAAAAACATGCGGCGCTTAGTGGAGGTGGATGAACACACAATAGCGCTTTCTCTTTAAAAAAAAGTCAAATTTTTGCCACTACAAATTAATGTAATTTATCTTCGACAGCGAGTGTGTTGCTAAAAGAATATCATTTGGTAGCTGGTAAGTGTAACTTTATAAATAAATCAAAATATATTTAATAATAAATAATTAGTAGGTATATTTTTAAAGAATGAATTTGAAGATGCCGCTATATGTTGGACGTGAAATTTATGATAGAACAATTCAAACTTTATCAAATGAAAAAGTAGATGATGCAGAAAAGCGCATACCGTTTCCATACGAAATACGCAATCTCGAAGCAGAATTAAACTCACAAATTCTTAAGGATTTTGCAGGTTTTTGCTTATTACCTACAAATTATACTTAATGCAATAAATTTATATTTAAATCATGCAAATTTTCGTAGGAGAAAGGACAGGGTATGTTCAAGTTAGCAACGAAAAGTGGTTCTTTCCAAGTGGATACGCCAAAGAAGCCGAAAATATATACAATTTTAAACTAAGAAAAGACGATGTGTTTGTTATAACGTTTCCTCGATCAGGTTAAGGGAGCAACATTAAAACTGATTTAATTATTTAATTAATTGTCATTATTAGGAACTACTTGGACGCAGGAGATGGTATGGTTATTATGCAATAACTTGGATTATGAGAAGGCTTCTAAGAAACCGTTGATGGACAGATTTCCCTTTTTAGAGTAAGCAATAAATTATTAATATTTCAAAAATACCGTTGTCTAAAGAGAGAGTCGTTTAATTAAGCAAACAATACATTAAATAATGGTATGTACAGGGTGGTCGAAAATAGTCTGTTTTAACAGAGAAAACCTATTTCCTGACTAGATAGAGCAAAACCGACATAGATGTCATGGACTCGATTTCTGAAATAGGTGTAATGGCGTAAACCGCCTGTTGATATTTTCACGGCCAACAGAGATACGGGGTCTTTTTGATTTTTTTACTATTTTGAAAATTGCCCATAACTTTTTTATTTCGAGGAATAATAAAATTCTATAAAAATGTTCTTAAGGTACTTTTTTAACCACAATTCAGTGGCGTAGTCAGTTTTTTTCTATGCTTGCTCTTTTTGTCAGAAATAATAAAAAAAAATTAAATGGAAATCGTAGTTGGCTATAATCTTAAAAAAATGCTGGCATTTAACCCTTTCCAACGATATAAAGTTATGGGTATCTATTTCTAAGAATGAGAGAAATATTAGGGTTTTTATCTTTATATCGAAGCGGGCTTTGGATTTTGAGTTGACCTATTTGACTACTTATTTTTTATCACAATTTAATATTCTATATTATTATTTATCTGCATAATTAAAAACTTTTGAAAAGGTAAATTAACATTCTATTATTAGTAGTAATAGTAATTATTAATATTGGTAATTACCAAAGGTAATTACAACTGAAATCGATACAATAAACAAAGAACAAAACTATAAAAAACGTATTTTTTGAGTGACGAATATAGTTTTCTAAAAAAATAAAAGATGTTCAAATTTGGCACCTCCTTGTTGAATACACAATAAAAATCTTTTGCGTACAGAGTTAATACGATTTATTAGGCGAACTGGTTTAATAAGTCCAAAAGCTTTCCTAGTAGCCTTCTGCAATTCTGCTCTCGTCCTAATGATTCTTTCCTTATATACAGGGTTGTTCACCATATACGACACGGAGTATTGTAGCTAAATAAATAATAATAATAATTGTCCCAAATAAATAAAAAATATCAAAGTTGTATTTTTTTAAATGAAACACCCTGTATGTTATTACATTTTTAGTTTCTACGATTAAAATAAAGGTAAATTTGATTAAGGTTTATTATACTTAAACCTTACCGTTTTTGAAATATTTTCAATTTTGTGAAATTGCAGTAAAAATTTTAAAGCTTCATTTCTCCAAGGGTATCAATGTTTTTAATACTAAATATTTAATGAAGTTTATTTATTGATCAGTTATTGTGTTGCAATAATAAAAATAATACTACCTTATACAGAGTGTCTAAAAATTTATTTTAAATAATTATTAGCTTCAAACGGCAATAACTTCTTTAATTTAAATGGAATGCCCTGTATATTTTAGGAGAATCAGATGCACAATTAAATTGTCTATCAAATTGTATTATACCATTTTTTACCTATCCCTTCAAGTTTTCTCATTTATCAATATATCCATGGAATATTGACATTTTAGATTGTTTTTAAAGCAACAAATGTACAAAATGTACAGACTAGTAATATTATCGTTTTTAGCAAAACGATAATATTACTAGCCCATTTGTATGCAAAAAGAAAACTATTTAAATCTTTATAAAAGAGTATACCATTAATTAAATATAACACCATTATTTCCGCCCATATACTAATTAATTACATACTTAATTGTGTTCGTTAATAAATTATTATAAATAAATGTGGATTTGAGTCAGAAATCAATATAATAATAAGTTATCAAATTAAAGTCTCTGTTGTTATAAATAAGCATTTATTAAAAAATGAAATATCATTTTTGAGGTGTTACTTTTTATCACACTGTCTAATGCCCATACAAAATTCAGTTTTTTAGTATTTGGAGCAATTATTATTAATCAACGCAAACAGTCAGTTATAGTCTGTCCAACGAGAAGATCCTTGACAGTGATAGATGTGTCTGTCATTTTAATTTTAAAGTAGTTTATTTTATTTTACAAAGAAATAAGTTGGTACAACTGGAACGCATAGCAGGAAATATTTAAAATTTGATTGACAAGATGACAAGTGATTACTTCAAAATATTGTATATATATGAAAAAACTGTATAAAACTGAAAAAAATGTAATCGAGTTATTTTATTTAATAAAACCGGTATGTGTTAATACAAAACAAACAAGAACAAGACACTACATACCAAAAAAATATAAAAAAGAACTATTTTTTACTTTCAAGCTTTATGAAACTACCCGCATTTATGATTATATTTATCAATATAACTTATGTACAAATACAAATTATAATATAGTTTAATATATAATAATATAATAATTAATAATAATAATAATAATGTAGTTAATAATAATATAATAATGTAGTTTGAATACTGGAATCATATTAATTGATCCTCTTTAACAAATATTTAAACAGTTTTTTTTAATTTTTTAATGAAATAAACAAATTATATCGACAATATTAGTATCTGTACTCTTTAAAAATTTGGTACATCTTTAAAAATAATCTAAAATGTCAATAGTCCATGGGTATATTGATAAATAAGTTCTAAATTACAAGAAAATGCATTTTCTACGGAAACTTAAAGAGATGGGAAAAAAATGGTATAATATAATTTGTAGACAATTAAATTGTGCATCTGATTCTCGTAAAATATACAGGGTGTTCTATTTAAATTAAACAAGTTATTGCCGTTTGAAGCTAATAATTATTTAAAATAAATTTTTAGACACTCTGTATAAGGTAGTATTATTTTTATTATTGCAACACAATAACTGATCAGTAAATAAACTTCAGTAAATATTTAGTATTAAAAACTTTGATACCCTTGGAGAAATGAAGCCTTAAAATTTTTACTGCAATTTCACAAAATTGAAAATATTTCAAAAACGGTAAGGTTTAAGTATAAACCTTAATCAAATTTACCTTTATTTTAATCGTAGAAACTAAAAATGTAATAATATACAGGGTGTTCCATTTAAAAAAATACAACTTTGATATTTTTTACTTATTTGGGACACTCTGTATCTTGTAAAATTATTTTTAAATTGTACCTCTAATAGTCCTTCATCGAACCCAAAACTTACAATTTGTAAAAATCTCATCGTTTAGCTACAATACTCCGTGTCGTATGTGGTGAACAACCCTGTATAAGGTCTTTTAATTTCCCTCATAAAAAAGTCGAAAGTTGTTAAATCACAGGACCTAGCAGACCAAGATATATAGGCCCCTTGTTCCAACCCAATTCTCTCTAAATTCTCCATTTAATAGTTCAGTTGTAACCCTGGCGTTTTAATTGTAATTCGTAATACTAATATAGAATGTTGATTTACCTTTTCAAAAGTTTTTAATTATGCAGATAAATAATAATATAGAATATTACATTGTGATACAAAATTATTAGGCAACTAGGAACACCAAATCAAGTCCCGCTTCGATACAAAGATAATATCATATTAATCATTCAAAAAACCATTCAAAACCTAATATTTCTATCATTCTTAAAAATAAATACTAGCGATGGGAACTATCGAATGGTTACTGAATGAATGATTTCAACTATCGAATGGTTTTATTCGAATAAAATCATTCATTCATTTGTATACTAAAGCATATGTGACAACCTCGCCGTGCTACTAAATGGTTATCGTTGAGCCACGACTATCGAATGCTTTTGATAAATGAAAAATGAAATTTAGTATTCGTTTGATTTTTGTGTGCGTCAGTGCATTATTAGTTCTTCAAATTTTTATAACTTCACCTTATAAATACTGTGCTATTTTTGCGTTTATTAAAATATTTAAAATACTAATTCTAAATACTACAGATAACGCATCTATTCGATAATTTTTATTCGAATAGTTTTCAACGAATGTTTTTTTACTAGCTATCGAATTATTCGAATGAATTGCAACTATCGAATGTTTCGATAGTATTCATTCGATAGTTCCCACTACTAATAAATACACATAACTTTATATCGTTGAAAAGGGTTAAACTCCAGCATTTTTTTAAGTTCATAGCCAACTATGATTTCCATTTAAAAAAAATATATTTTTTATTATTTTTGACAAAAAGAGCATGTATAGAAAAATACTGACTACGCCACTGGATTGTGCTAAAAAAGTGCCTTAAGAACGCTTTTACAGAATTTTATTATACCGCGAAATACAAAAGTTATAGGCAATTTTCCAAATTGTCGCATTGTAAAAAGTTGAGGGAGGATATTAATAGGAAAAAAATAAGTTGAGGGAGGATAGCGAAATAAATAAAGACTGGTATAATTTTTTATTATAAGATGGCTTTTCACATAAGAATAACGATTAAAAAAATCAATAAGCGTTTTTTACTTTATTTTATTAAATAAAATATCTATATATTAAATAAAATATATATGTCTATAACTGTCGTTGATTTTTTTTTTTATTTTGAATGATATTTTCCATGTGACGGACAACTGAATATCACTTTAGTGCATTTTTCATCAAAGTGGGTACCTATTTTCAAGCTGAAATAAGGGCAATACCTAATAATTAAATTTTTGCTAAAACGCAACGTTTTGGAACTATACAGGATGGCGCCATATACGACGCCGAGGCTCCAAGTAGAACGGTAGTTTATATCGAAATAAATTTTTGGAAGCATATGTACGTTAACTGAAATAATAATAGCTCCCGTATATAGCGTTTAACGCCTTGGGAGTAGCAAGGTACAGCTTGCTATCCTAGAGCTGTTCGGTATACAAAGGTTTTATACGTTAACTGAAATCATTTTATAAAAATACTAGCGTGTACCAGCGCCTTCGTTCGCGTCGAATTAATCTTTGTAATGGTGATGATAAAGCAAGAATTTCCATTAACATACAAACTGGATAAAATTTTCTCACATTTATGTCAGCATGAGAAAAAACAATATGGCGATATTATTGTATAACTTGGTAATATTTGAGGGGTAGTTTCATCTCGTTGGAATTTGACTTTCGAAAAATCTGTTTGCCAAAAATAAGCTCTTTACGTCAAGCAGTTTAAGCAGAATCGTGGTTAAGAAATTACCCAACTTTTTGGAACACCCTGTATGTTTTTTTAAAAAATTTCAAAATATGTAAAAAAACCAAATAAATTATGCTCATCCAAGCGTTTTCCCGAAAGACTAACGATTTTTTAAATAACAAATATTGTAATATTTGAGGGGCGTTTTCACCCTCTTGGAATTTGAGATTCGAGAAACCCCTCCTTATCGAACCTCTACACCCCACAGTCAATCCGTTTGCCAAAAATCAGCTTTAAACGTCAAGCAGTTTAAGCAGAATCGTGATTACTCAATGGTCATATTTTATGAAACCTGTATAAATTTATAAAGAATCTTAAAATATATAAAACAACAAAATGAAATATACGTGTTTAAGAGTTTTTTCCGAAAAACTAACCGTTTTTTAAATAAAAAAATATTTTAATATTTGAGGGATAGTTTCACCCCCTTAGAATTCGAGTTTCGAAAAATCCCTTCCTATCGAACCTCTACACCCTAAAGTCAATCTGTTTTCCAAAAATCAGCTTTTTACGTCAAGCGCTTTGAGCAGGATCGTGATTAATCAATGACCAGATTTTTCGAAACACCCTGTATACATTTTTAAAAAATCTTAAAATATGTAAAAAAACAAAATAAAATATACGTGTTTAAGCGTTTTTTCGGAAACTTAACCGTTTTTTAAATAAAAAATACTGTAATATTTGAGGGGTAGTTTCACCCCCTTGGAACTGGAATTTCGAAAAATCCCTTCTTATCGAACCTTAACACCCTAGAATCAACCTGTATGCCAAAGTTGAGCTTCTTACGTTGAGTGGTTTGAGCAGGATCGTGATTAATCAGTATGTCAGTCACTTAAGGATTTTATATATTAGTATAGATATAGAGTTATACAGGGTGTCCCAAAAAAGAGTTATACATCAAAGTTGTGTTTTTTGTAATGTGGTGGTAATGTAACACCAAGGTAACACCCGAATTAATTGATTTTCGGATTCTAGGAAAAAAATAAAGGTGAGAACAAATAAAGAATTATATGCCTAAAATGTAAGGATTTTGACATATTTCACATTTTGTGAAAATGAGGAGTAAATTTTAAATTTCAATAACACCTATTTAAATTTTAATTTACCCTGTATCGCCTGATATTTAATTACAAGAACCATTGTTTGTTAAACCAAATTAAAATTTGGCCCGAAAACTTGTACAGTGTGAGACAAAATTAATATTGAACATTGGTCACCTTCAAAAGCAAGTTATTCTTTTTTATTTTAAGTCCTTCTCTTTTATTTTAAGTGGAACACCCTGTATATTTTCTGGTGTTCAATGGTGAATTCACTTATCTTTAAATATTATTAAGGTTGCCTACCTCTCAGGCAAAGATTTTCGTAGATATTTTAATTTTTATGATTTTGCGTCAGTAGATCTTTATTATTTGAAAAAATCTAGGATGGCTGTGACATACCAATTGTTAATTTAACAAAAGTTAACGTATGTAGAGTAAAATATTCAACGGTAATAAAAAGATACACGTTTAAAACATATTTTAATTATTAAAATTAGATATAAACATACCTGTGAGATATAAACATACCATGTGACCAATGTTAGCTAGATGACATCAAATGCTATAATGCTTTTCTGTTCACTGCATAAAATGATTGTCTTTTCATAAGATCTTTTTATTTTAAAATCATGATATGTGGAGTTCTACATTTAAAAGCAGCTACAATCATTTCTCTCATGTTGTCGACAATAGTTGGTCGAGTTTTTTAAACACTGTCTTTAACATATCCCCATAAAAAGCCCAGACTAGATAAAAGCAGGAGCATTTAAGTACTCTATTAATTGGTGACCGCACACTGCATTCACTAACTAATAGAATCATATCAATTCTCTCTGATGTAGGATAAGTTTCCATTTCGGCAAATTTCTGAGCCTCCGCGTCGTATGAGAGGCGCCACCCTGTATAGACAAAAATCTGAAAAAAGTCCAAGAATTTTACCATCTTCTGGGCGTTCTGAGGGTTGAGCGGTGGTCGAGGAACCATGCAAACCAAGGAAACTTCTGTTTCACGTCAAACGAACCAATCAAATCAATAATTAGCTTTCCAACACTTTTTTCCAAGTGACCCCTCTCCCCTCTAATAAACCTTATTTAACTGGCTTACGCTTCTTTCTATATATTCGTCCTACGTGGAATGGTGGGTTCAGACAGCCAAATAAAATAAAATAAGAATAAAATAAAATAAGAAATAAGGAATTCTTATTTGTGTGCATTCATACAGTCAAATAAAATAAAATAAGAAATATATATTTGCTCATGCGCAGTACGATGAGGCTGGATAAAAGTTAACTTTTACGATTGTTTATAGTAATTTTACTATTTATAGTATATTTATTTATTCGTTGCCTACTATATTATACATTTTACTTATGTGAAATTATAAAATAAATTAAATCCAAACTGAAAATATTTGTAGGTTAGAATTAAGCGTGCGCAAAGCCGTTTTCACATAAAATAAAACAAGAAGTTAAAAGATAAAGACTTCTTATTTTATTTGTTATTTTATTTGGCTGTATGAACGCATGTACGGTATCCCATATAACCAACTTTCTTATTTTATTTTATTTTATTCTTATTTTATTTTATTTGGCTGTATGAACCCACCAGAAGACAAAAGCGCACGATTCGGGCGGTGCGAGCGACGCGTATTTATTAAACAACGTTTTCTTACGAAGTTGTCCTAGGTAGGAGATCGCGCGACTGAAGCGGCATCGGAGGCGATTGAAATATTTCGCGCGCGTCGAGCTCATCGCCCTCCGTTGTCGCACGCGTCGACCGCACGCTTTTGTCGCCCACGTAGGTCGAAGCGTTAATTGTAGTCTTAATACAAAGACCAATAAAACTTTTTAATCATACTGTATAATCACTGTCGATGGATTACACTGTTCTCTGTTCTAGGTATAACTGTTTTGTACACGAAGATATAAAACAAGAATTATTAAATAAAAATAGACATGATCCAACGCTTTATCAAATGGTCGAGGAGTTGGATTATCCAGCTTGGAAACTACTTTCCCAATGGCGAGGGAGAAGATTTATAAAGACACATTTGCCATTTAGTTTATTGCCACCCAATTTAACTAAGGAGGGTTGTAAAGTAAGCTAATATAAGAAAGAGTTAGATATTAAATATACAGGGTCCGGCAATAGTGCGTGTGCCATCTGTAGCTTCTAGAATAAAAAAACTTGGGAATTTTGTTTAAATGCAAACCTAAGTATGTATTAGGATGTATTTCAGAAAAATATTTTAACTTCTATAGGGTGTTTCAAAAAAGTGTGAGTGGATCACGATGATTTTTTTAAAATGGAACGCCGTGTATTTTATTGCAATTTTGGCTTCCTTTCAGATTACTTTACATTATCCTAAGATATGAGTAAATATATTTCGATAGTTTCAGAGATATTAATAAATAAATAAAAAATATATATTTCTCTGCCTTTCTTAAAAAAGTTTTAAAACTACAAGAAGTTAAAAATATCAGTTTAACTTTGAAACATGACCTTATTCAGCAAAGCGTTACTTTTCACTAACTCAATCGACTATAGCTGTATTCTTTTTACCTACATGAAATCTTAGTAAATATTAGTGATGGGATAACTCGAGCGAAAATTCGCTCGAGTACTCGATTATGAACGAACGATGCAAGTGACGAGTACCAAGCGATCCTGGAATGAAATAAATTGAAATCCGATTTTAATGTGACATACTCGATAAAAAGCCGAGCGAATTTTCTACATACATTGCAAGTAGCAAATTTATACGACGCCGTATATACCGGGTGCGTCTCAAAAGTGGCTCACCCCTATTACTTTTTTATTTTTTTAGATAAAAAAATTAGATTTGGTATGTTAGTATATGACATAAATTAGGATTGATTGACGTATCCAATTGTTTTCTGTCACTTCCTGTTTCACCGGAAATTACTACAATTTTTGATTTTTAAATGGCACCCTCGGTATTTTTTTTTACTTTATTCCATAGAAAATGACATTCTAAATAGAATGACGTATCATATGTCAACTTTTGACATATTCGCTTAAAACCAAATTGTATTTTAAATTTCAATCTAGAGTGCCATGGTTAAAAACATTAATTTTTAATCAAGGAGCCTTGGAAAAATAGATTTGATCGTCTAATGTTTTTAGTGTCTTACCCTGACCGGTTAAAAGATTCCCAAATCGTATTTTTGATCATATCTCAATTTTTTTCAAATGGAACGAGGGTGGTTCATTAGCATATTTCGAAAAAGATTTTTTTTACGAATAATTGGTACCACACACTTGGTACTTCGAGTCAAATTGTCGTTAAGAACCGCATGTTACAATTTCAAATAAACCATATGCGAAAATGTCAAAAGTTGACATGTGATACGTCATTCAAGAGTGTTATTTTCTACCGAATAAAGTAAAAGAAATACCGAGGGTGCGATTTAAAAATCAAAAGTTGTAGTCATTTCAGGTGAAACCGGAAGTCACCGAAAACAGTTGAATATGTCAATCAATCCTAATTTATGTCATATACTAACATATCAAATCTCGTTGTTTTATCTGAAAAAATAAAAAAGTTATAGGGGGTGAGCCACTTTTGAGACGCACCCGGTGTATTTATCCATTGCGTATCTGAGGGACAAAATTTTTCGACCTACATCGACAATACTTCGAAATAAACTAAATCAAGCGATCAAGCGAATCGCTCGTCGCTTACTACTCGTTCATTACCGAAAGAATATGTGCCCTGCGCACGCAGTTTACTGCTTGGCGTTAACGAGTACTTACAACATGCGACGGACAGAAAACCGTATTTTTAAATACGAGCGATATTTCGCTCGAGTGATCACTCGGTTATTGCAATCGCTTGGTACTTGAGTACTCGATTATTGAAATTAATCGGTTTTTCTCATCACTAGTAAATATCATTACTTAGATATAATAAGATAAGATACAATGGAGATAAGTTAAGATGTATGAAAAGTAAAAAAGAACAGTTCGGTTCGCGCTAGCAGCGATTTATAACCTTGTTTATATTTCGTCTCACTTACAATTTTCAACTAAGCCAGCTGACAAGCAAGCTCAGTTGGGGCAAGGGGGAGATTTTATCTCACTTTAAACTCAATTTATGACAAGTAAATAGAACATGCTAAATTTACTGAGACAGTTAAGATTAAGTTTCTTAGTTGAACCCAATTTAACTCACTTAAAAAGGGTAAAAAGAATACACTTTATATATCTCTTACTGTTTCTGAGATTCTTATATGACATTCGTTCGTATCTTGGACGCACTGTATATAAATTAAATGTTTGATTAAAACCAACTCTTTAATTATGAAACTTTTAAGAACGATTGTGAAATGCGAATGTAAAAAAATAAACTTAATCGAGTAACGGTAATTGCTGGCCTTGATACAAGAAAGGGATAATAATAAAAGATGTAATAGTGTACTTTTAATGTACAGGGATGGTATATCTTGAAATTTCAATACGGAATGTGGACTTTTATTCAAATTAAACACTCCTATAATACAAAAGCTGCACGAAAAATCTAATGCAAAATAAGACAATATAAAAAGTAAAAAGAAAAATTTGTAAATTAATGTGAGTTGGCTTCAATTTCAATATTTACTGAATTTTTATCAAGAAATAGTCATTATATTATCCTTGTATGTAGGAAGGATATTATACAATATGATCGAAAAAAAAAAACGGTGTCGGCATTGTGTCAGCGATGGCTATGAAACGAAGATCACTGTATAAGTAAATAAATGTTTAGGGAAACGCTAAATCGTAAAATTTTATATGAAAAACCAATTATTTTTAATAAACAATCATCGGAATTTCTTCGCACTTATTCATTGACCCTGTATATTCACTAAATATTATTATTCTCTAGGTGATTTACGTGGCAAGAAATCCAAAAGATGTTGCTGTGTCATTTTATTATTTAAACAGGACTATGATAACTCAAGGCTACCACGGAGATTTTCCTAAGTATTGGGATTACTTTGAAAGAAACCTACGTAAGTTTGCCACATAAAATACGCTTTCAAAAACGTCCTATGGGTATTTCGTCACTTATACTGAAGTGTTTGATTTTCTTAGAGTGCAAGTGTCTTGAGAGACCAAGTTACTATGAGTGCCGACATATTTTAATGCTAAAATGTGTCGACACTGTGTTATTACTGGAAGATTTTTCTAAAAAAAAACCTACGCTCCATTGACTTTTTTCTCTTGTTATCACAGTTATGTAGGCCGTTTAATGCCGATTAAAAGTTGTCTTTTGATATTATGTCGATTTCAATCTCCTTGAGATAAACACAATTTTATTAATTTGAAGTTCTTTGAAGCATGTGTGCGAAAAAAAGAATTGTTTTAAAGTTACAGGATGTTAAAACTTAAAAAATAGGTCTTTTTTAATTATCATAAATACCATTATTTTTTATTCGAATTTGCTTTAGATAGCAGTGAACATCAGTGATTAATAATGTTGCGTTTTTCGTCGGTTCCGTGTGGATAGAAAGTCATAATTTATTTAAACACTATTTATTTAACACTAATTAACAAAAAAAAAACAATAACGATAAAAGACTTATAGAACTATTTACAAACGATTTCTAACTAAGAATTTATTTTGAATTTTAGCGCGTTAACTGTACTGGTCTATTTATAACTGCCCTCTCTCGGCCACAGCCGCCGGCTTTTATACCTACAGCTAAAGATTTCTAGAATAGTCCATGGATGGTTAGGTGCATAGAGAAGGTTTCGAATGTTCTCGTATGTACTACTCCATTCCAGTGGGACTCGATTCTTCTCGAATGAATGAATCATTACGGTGTCTATTCTTTAATGCGATGTTAAGGTCATCTGAGGGCGGGACATATAGTTAGGTTAGGTCGAGTCCACACGGGTCCGCAACACTGTCCCCTTCTTAGGTACATGCTCGTCCCGAGATGTACACGGTGAATGAAGGTATTTGCAAAGCTGGCCCCTGGTACATTGAGAAGTCTGGTAGAAATAGCAGTCTACAGTTTTCTCTCCCGATCTCAGCTTTGGGTTGTAGCAGCAAACGAGGATCTCGATTCCCGTAAATCTGAACAAGACTTCAATCATGTTCCGGATTGTACGCCAACTCAAACCATCGAGTCCACACGCCAGCTTCGGAATGGCTAATCGTGCAATGTTGTTGTTTAGCAGGGCTTCTCTCAGTTCAATCAGGGTCTTCCATAGATTGAGATAAGTCGGCTTACTCGGGGACCATTCCTTGGTGACCAGGTAGAAGATGTGCCTTGCTTGACCATGTGCATTGTCGGTTAGCCTCAAGACGCTTCCAACCTCTGGATCCTGTCGGCGTAGTTCTCCGACACGCCCAAACTTCTCATTGAACGTCGCAGCGATTCCTCTGGACATCCGCAAATCTCGAGCCACACAATGAGCGAGCGAATAATCAGGAGGCACGGAAAAGAGGTCTCGTTGATCTTCTTTGGTTACACCATAGCGAGCCTTCTCACTGCTGTTGTATCGGGCCATGAAATCGTCAAAGGACATCTCCGAATCAGGGGGATCAAAGCTGCAGGTTCTCACGGTCCCAGCACGATCTTCTATTTCGCCTTGGTAGGGGCTCAAACGGTTGAAATGGACTACCCTCGGTTTTCCTTTTGGCAATTTTCTGATACGGTATACGACGTCATTAATTCTATCCATGACTTCGTATGGCCCTTCCCACGAGGATTGTAGCTTCGGAGATAACCCACGACGTCTCTGCGGGTTATATAGCCACACCAACTTCCCTGGTTGGTATCCTCCATGCTCAGCTTGAATGTCGTAGTGTTCCTTCATTCGGTCACTAGCACTTTGAATATTTAGGCGGACTCTCTGATGAATGTCGTCCATCCTTTGACGTAGTGTGTGGACATAATCTTCTCCGGCGACTTCTTCTCCCGGTCGGCAACCAAATTTCAGATCACAGGGTAGGCGCACTTCCCGTCCCATAACGATGCTGGCTGGAGTTTGCCCTGTAGATTCTTGGACGGATGAACGGTAGGCCAACAGGAACAGGTGAAGAAATTTGTCCCAGTCTCTTTGGTGGTCAGAGACTACTTTGGCCAGATAACGGTTGATAGTTCTGTTCATGCGTTCAACCATCCCATCGGATTGTGGATGTAGAGCAGTCGTCCTGGTCTTGCGGATGTTCAGGACTTCACAGACGCCTTGGAACAGATTGAACTCAAAGTTTCTTCCCTGATCTGAATGAAGCTCCATGGGAACACCAAACCTGCAGATTCATTCTTTAACAAGGGCATCAGCAATGGTGGACGCTTCTTGATTTGGTAACGCGTAGGCCTCGACCCATTTGCTGAAGTAATCCATTACTACCACAATGTATTTGTTGCCATGGTTCGTCTCCGGGAAAGGACCAGCCACGTCGATCGCTATTCGTTCGAAGGGACTGCCAACATTGTACTGGCGCATAGGGGCTTTACCACGCTTTTGTGGTCCATTGATGGCTGCGCAAATGTCACATTTCTTACACCAGGCCCTCACATCTTCTTTGCAGTTCACCCAGTAGAACTATTCACGCAGCTTGCCAAGTGTCTTGGTAAAACCAAGATGTCCACCGCTGGTTCCATTGTGAACTTCCTCCAAGACTTCTGGGACCCTCTTCTTTGGAATGACAATCTGCCTTCTCTATCATTAACCACAGTTGTTCTTAGGAATATCGCCTCTTTCTCTTCTGCTCGTGAACGATGCTTACAGTCCTTAGCGCAAGGTCTTCTGGAAAGTGCGTCGGCATTTCGATGAATTGCCCCAGCTCGATGTTCTGTGTCGAAGTCAAATTCTTGTAATCGTTCAATCCATCTAGCTACCTGCCCTTCAGTTTCTTAAACTGCAGCAGCCATTTCAAAGCAGCATGGTCTGTTCTTAACAAGAACTTTCTTCCATAGAGATACTTGTAGAAGTGTTCCACTGCTTTAACTACTGCTAGTAATTCTCGTCTGGTTACACAGTAGTTCTTTTTCGGTTTTGACAAGGTCTTACTAAAATAACTTCTAACTAGTCTTCTCTCTGTCTTTAGGCGCCACGTCGACTTGCCAATATCCATTCTTCAGATCCAAGGTAGAGAATATCGTTGACACCGCCAGCGTGTCTAGAGTATCGTCTATCCTCGGCAGAGGATAGCTATCCTTCTTGGTAACATTATTGAGCTGCCGATAATCAACACAGAACCTGGTGGTACCGTCTTTCTTCTTTACTAGTACTACCGGCGATGTCCACGGACTGTTAGATGGTTCGATGACACCCTCTTCTTTCATTTCTCGAAGGATTTTGTCAGCTTCTTCACGTTTGGCGAGCGGAAGTCTTCTCGAATTTTGTTTGATTGGTCGCGCATCTCCGGTATCAATTTTATGTTGTACTAAATTGGTACGACCTCTCTGCCCTGCTTCTCCTTTATCAAACACATCTTGATACTTGATTATCAGGTTTCTCAATTTTCTACTATTTTCGGGAGATAATCCCTTAACGTTTAAAAACTCCTTCACCATTTTGTCCGGAATTTTTGAAGTCGAAACTTTGGAGGCTTCCACGCTTCGAATGACTGAGGACACCGAACAGCAGTACCCTAACAGGGTTCCCTTCTTTAAGGATACAGAATAATAATTCGTGTTCATTACTCTCACCGGTACAGTCTTCTTCGCTCGTAGCAGGGCTTTTCCAACAGCGACCCCTCGTCCTATTTCGCTGTCATGGTTCCTTGGCTCCAACAGAATAATACTCCCATTATTCATTTTACCTTCCAGGCAACCATCCAAAAATAACTCACAGCGCTCAGGGATCGAAACATCTTCTGTTACTACCACGCGAAGCGTCTCCTCACATCTTCGATGTAGAACCACTTCTTCTTCATTTATTTTCAAAATTCCTTGTTTGGGGTTTAGTTCAAAATCTCTAGTGGTCATGATGTCCATTCCGAGAATAAGTTCATCTTCGATGTCTGCTACTAACACTCGATGATTAAAACAGGTGCTTCCGATAACAAAATTAAGATCTACCTCTCCATGGATGAGAGCGGAGAACGAAGCAGAATCGAGGAATTTCCCGTCGAGAGAGGGCACATGTTTTTTGAAACATCCTGTATACAGTGTATAATTAGTACATGTTGTTTTGTATACCGGGTGCTTCTCAAAAGTGGCTCACCCCCTATAACTTTTTTATTTTTTCAGATAAAAAACGAGATTTGGTATATTTAGTATATGACATAAATTAAGATTAATTGACGTATTCAATTGTTTTTGGTCACTTCCTGTTACACAGGAAATGACTACAACTTTTGATTTTTAAATGGCACCTTTGGTATCTTTTTACTTTATTCGATATAAAATGACATGCTGAATAGAATGACATATCACATGTCAACTTTTGACATTCTCGCTTAATAAAAAATCTTATTTTAATTTTCAATCTAGAGTGCGATGGCTATGTTAAAAACACTAATTCTTAATCATGAAGCCTTGGAAAAATAGATTTGATCATCTAATGGTTTTAATGTCTTGCCCTGGCCGGTTAAAAATATTCAAATCATATTTTTAATCACATCTCAATTTTTTCAAATGTAACAAGAGTTACAGTTTTTTAGTGGCTCATTAACATATTTGGAAAAAGCATTTTTTTACGAATAATTTGATACCACACAATACCAAGTGTGTTCAAGTCAAATTTTCGTTACGAATCACAAGTTATAATTTCAAATAAACCATATGCGAAAATGTCAACAGAAGACATATAATATGTCATTCTATTCTGAGTGTTATTATCTATCAAATAAAGTATATATATGTATATAAAAAAAAATACCGACGGTGCCATTAATAATCAAAAGTTGTAGTCATTTCCAACAGAAAGTGACCGAAAACAATTGAATACGTCAGTCAATCCTAATTTATGTCATATACTAACATACCAAATCTCGTTTTTTTAACTAAAAAAATAACAAAATTATAGGGGTGAACCACTTTTGAGACGCACCCGGTAGAGTATTTAGTACTGTTTACAATATCTAAAAATAGGTACATATTGTATTTTGTCAATTAATACCTATAAGTATAGTCCTCTAACGGACAAAGGAAGCACTTTTGTATAGAGGTAAATTCTGCCCAATGAACTTATTTCGATTCCAAAAATACGCAGTAGTCTCAAATAACGGAATACCTAGTTTTATACAATTCTTTATTAAGTATATGCGTAAAATGATATGGGAACGATCGTCGTTTCCAAGTCAACTTGATGCCGTTTTTTATCATATGCTAAATAGGTACAAGTTTTTATCATATGCTAAAAAGGTCCAACAATTTGTATAAGATGACTTTCCACTTACATAAGTGTGGTGTTAATAATGCAATATGTTGGAATAGTACCATAACACATTGCTTTTCTGCTTGAAATATTCTATACACTGCCACTCTCTCTTCCGTAGAACAATAAAACTGTTTATGATTTATCCGTGTTTCTTTTGTTAATTAATAATTAAATAACATCCTTTCATTTAGCCATTCAATAATATCTTGTTTACATTTTTAGAGCCATGGACTCCATATTGGAGTCATTTAAAAGAAGGATGGGGTCATCGACACGATCCCAATGTCCTATTCATTTTCTACGAGGATATGAACAAGGTATCTACTTAAATTTACTACTATACATTTCTATACAGGGTGCTACAAATTCGAGGTACGAGCATTGGTATCTCGGAAACCGTAATAGATACGAAGATGGTTAAATTAGGGCAAAGTTGCGGTTTAGGATGTTCACAAAGATGCCATCAAAAAAGTAATAAAAATGTCAAGGATTGCTGAGTTTTTTGGAAAAAACGGATTTTTTTGAAAATCAATTTTATTTTTTCCTGTCGCTAATTTTTTGAAAATCAAAAAAATAATTGCACATTTTCATAGCCACTTTATTAAGGCTATCTGATAGTATTTTTAGATTTTCAAATTAGCTTATAATTTGTGAGATACAGAGGCCAACTTAATTTTTTTAAATACGGACCTGCATTTTTTATTTCAAGTTTTGAAAGAACTCGGTTTCCTGAGTACAATGATATTCCACACTTGATACTTTTTTTTTGTTTTGGGTACCTTAATAATAACAAAACAATTTAATTATTATTTAAAATAATTTCAAGTCCCACTCTGGTTTTTTAAATTATTTAATCTGATTATATTCATTGGCAACAATATTGATCAGTGCTAATTAACAATGAATAAGAAAAATCGAGCCAATTGAAAGATTCAAATAAATAATATCCAGATCAGAAATTTAAAGATATCATTTTTAACATTTTTTTATTGTGAATTTGAGATTTCAGTGTACGATTTAATAATATGCATAATATTAATCTTAGTTATTATAAATAAATCAACTTCTACAAACTAGTTTCTAATACTCTATATGTTCGAAAGGGTTACCACCCTCCCTATTACACAAATTTATTTTTCGTTCAATTTTATTTATAGCTCTTTGAACTTTATTCTTATACTTCCGAATGCATTTTGTACTCTTTATTGTAAATGTTGAGATGTATTAATTTCACTTTTATAAATGACGTGAAGTAATGTATTCATTTGTATATTATTTTTTATTATTTTATTGCATTTGATTTTTCATATTCAATGTTTTACCCCACGTCATTGTTAAGTTTGAAAGCTTATCAATATTGTAACGATGAATAGATTAAATATATAAAAAAACGGAGCCGGACATGAAATTAGTTTAAATAAATTGTGTTCAAATGTCTGAAACAAAAAACATATTAAGTGTGGCATATCATTGTACCCTGGAGACCGAGTTCTTTCAAAACCGGAAATAAAAAATGCAGGTCCGTATTTAAAAAATCAAGTTGGTCTCTGTATCTCACAAATTATCAGCTAATTTGAAAATTTAAAAATACTATAAGATAGCCCTTATAAAGTGGCTATGAAAATGTGCAATTAGTTTTTTGATTTTCTTAAAAGTAACGATAGGAAAAAATAAAATTAATTTTCAAAAAACTCAGCAGCCCTTGAAATTATTAAAACTTTTTTGTTGGCATCTTGGTGAACATCCCAAAGGCAACTTTACCCCAATTTAACCATGTTCGTATCTATTACGGTTACCGAGATACCAATGCTCGTACCTCGAATTTGTAGCACCCTGTATAGTCTGTCCTGCGACAGAGGAGATGATTTTTTTGACAGAGGACATCAAAAAATTTCGAAAAAAATATTTTCCAATTAAAAAGACAGATAACAGCTGATCTACTGTTTATTGTTTCAGAATTCGAGGACTTCTATAGAAAAAATCGCTCAATTTCTTGAAAAATCTTACTCGGCGGCCGAGTTCGATACTTTGGAAAATCATTTGAAATTCTCAAATTTTAAAAACAACAAATCCGTTAACTTCGACAATTTAGAACAAATAGGAGTTTGTCTTAAAAGTGAGCAGAGTTTTGTACGAAAAGGAGAAAATAACGGATGGAAGGAGTGTTTTGAAGAAGAATTGGAAAAGCGAGCGGACAAGTGGATCGAAGATAATATGAAGGATACAGATTTAAAATTTCCTTCTTAACAAAAGAGACATTTTAAAATATTTCGAACGAGTTATATATTTATGACAATGAGAGTTATAGGCTTGCAGCATTCTCCGACGGTGCTGCCACCATCCTATAAAATCCTATAAAACACCGACTTACACAAATATAAGAGCTTAAATAGTGAGTACACGAAAAATTTGTTGTAATATTATTTGTAAAGAATACTTATTTTTATTTGCAAAGAATACTAATAAGTACAATTTGTGAAAATCCAAAAAAAATAAAATAAATAAAATAAGGTCTAACGTGTATTATAATTTATTACTAAAGCTAATAAAACCAAGATAAAACTTTTTAGATATGTTCAACAATGTATGGTTTTTGTGCATCGGTTTTCCTAGTGAGACATAACTGGGACTATTTGTGCTGCAACGAACATTTTAAAAGTACATAATTATAATTTTAGATGTTCACAAAAAATTAAATATTGATCAAATTATATTTCATCCTCTTAGGGCTTGGTTTTTGGCTTGGTGCATTCTCCGCCGGTGCTGCCATCATCGGAGAATATCGTAAATACACGACTTTAAAAGCGAGTAGGCGAAAAATTTATTATATAATTATTATAAAAGTGTTAGGAAGTATAATTTATAACAGTGATAATCAGAAACAGTAAAAATTCTAAAAATAAAAAAGTAAATATTTTGATATCTTTAGAATTGTATTATAATTTATTATTCCAGCTAAAAAAACTTTTTAGATTAGTTCAAATACGCTAGCGAGCATAATTTTACGTACCGGTTTTGCTAGTGGTGTCATAATTATGGCTATTTCGGCTATAACGATTTTTTTAAAGGTACATAATTATAATTTTAGATGTAAATAAAACATTTAATCACTAGTTAATTAAAAAAATATACCATTAATATTGCAAATTATATTTTATCCTCTCATAGCACATGTCTATTTAATTTTTTGATTATGTAACGAGCACTTTGTTTATTTACTTGTTTCGTCGAACTGCTTGAATCTATTTTTGCTTTTGATCAAATCGGCGTGAGAAACTATGAAGCTATAAAATGCTGTTTCGGGAAAGCTGAATATCCGGGAAAGTTGAGTTATTGAATGTTATTGCACCCAACAATTTTGCGGCAATTTTATTAACATTTGAATTTGTCACAACACAACACCAAGCCTAGTTCGGATTCTTTTTCACTTATTTCTTACTACAACCTAACCGAAACACCATTACATCACACAAACCTCTTACCTGAGTGTTTTATAGTTTCAATAACTGCACTACCAAAAAACAAAAATTCTTAAATATTATGACAAAGCCACGATTTCAATATTATTTTAATGCGATCAGCATGAACTGTAACCGGGACGGCGTGAAATACATAGCGAAAATTTCTGATTTCTGCCGTATACAGCGCTGCTGTCGGAATTTTTTGAAATCAACTGAAATGTACCAAGCCTATATGCCTACTTAATTTTCGATTATGTAATGGGAACTTGTTTACTCATTTGTTTCGTCGAACTGCAGGAATCCGTTTTTGTTTTTGTTTTTGATCAAAGTTATAAACTGTTCTTTCGGAAGAGTTGTATTGAATGTTATTGTACCCTACAACCACGGAATTACGCCCTTCTTTTCCTGTTAACATGTCAACGCCACGTCCAGGTTCGGCTCTTTTTCACTTCATTTTTACTAACTGAAACGGCTTTACATCACACAAACTTCCTACCTGAGAAGTTTAGTTTCAAGAACTGCACTAGTGAAACCGAAAACATAGTCACAATTTTAATATTATTTGAATGCGATCAACATGAACGGTAACTGGGACCGCGTAAAATAAAGTAGCTGGACAGTTCCGATTTCTGCCGTACCAAGCGCTGCCCTCGGAATTTTAAAAAATGGTTTGAAGCTATATGCTTCGGGCTAAGAGGTTTATGCTTCTTTCTGTATTATAAAAAGCAACACACTCTACGATATTAAAAATATTCTTATTTATTTAAGTAAAATTCTCTTGAAACAATTTTAATTTTTAATACCTCTTTTTGAAAAATAAATAAAATTTAATAAACGGTAACAGTTAGGTTGAATAAAATAAGAAATGCCTGTATCTTGTACATCCCTTTTAATTAATTAAATACTTCTTATTAATATTTATTACAATAATACTTTTAAAATACAGATAATTTTTTCAGTTCATTTCTTAATTTTGGGCGAAGATATTTCGCCTATTGTGTTCTATATAAACCTACTTTTATATACAAACTATGATAAATGTATTTATGGTTAAGTAAAGCTATATAAATATTGCTTTAAATACGATTAAAATAATAAAAATATATTTATATAAAAATCCTTTGTACTTAAATCAGTATTGTCTTAGTATTTTACAGGGAAATATGATTGAGGCTTATGATTATAGGCCATACAGGAAATAAACAATCTTTCCTGATTTGTATACAGGGTGTCTCAGGCTGAGCGTGCATTAGAAGTTTCTAGAGAACTACAACATTTAGCTCGGAGATTTTTTGCACATCATACTTTCACAACGAGATCTATCGATTAAAAATATTTTCAATATGGCGGCACTTCCGGAAATACCGGAAGTTGGCAGCAACTTCCTTATTTTAAATGGGTGCCCCCATTTTTTATTATGTACTTAAATTCTCTGTAAAATTTTATGAACATTAACCCAAGTTTTTGAGAAAAAAAAATATTTAAAATTTTTGAACGAAAAAAACTGCCTGTCAAAAATATGTGTATAGGCTAAACGTCAAATTTAGTGATTATCACAGCCACTGTGCCATAAAGAGAAAACACCTATCTATTTCAAAAATTAAATTGTTAGAATGTCATATAATAATGGCCGCAACTGTCATAGAATTGAGCGACTAAAAAAATAATCATAAATCATTTTTTTCAAGTGGAAACCCCATTTTTTTATTTCGCTAGTGAAAAGGCTTTTCAATTCGTTACTTTTTAACTATACATGTTCCTATACCTATAATAAATCGTTTTTGAGTTATTTAAGATTTAGTTTTAAAGCGTATATTTTCCTTGATTTTAACCAGTAGCCTCTATGACTTTAAACGTCAGGTGATGTAAAACAATAGATCTGGCCATGTCATATTGTGACGCTTTGTTCAAAAAGCAGCATCATTTTCGAGTCAACTTTGCGTTGTTTTTTTTTTCGGTCATACGGAATATTATTAATAATATCAACTATTAGATATCACCACAGAATATCTAGCTACGCAACAGAAGCCTCGTTACATGTATAAAATTGTAGGTAGCAAAAGGAGACAGGCTTTAAAAGCCTGTCTCCAAATCAGATATTTTGATGTGGTAGTTTCGCTACTACATAATAGAGGGCAATAAATTTAAAAGAAAACAGTTTTCTACAAACAAAATTTAAAAGAATTTTGTGCAGTGTTGCCATTGTGTAATTCATATCGTAATACTTCGTGATAAAGCCTACCTTCAAATTTGCTACATCATTTAAACATATTAAAATAGATCAGAGCTGTTTTTTTCAGTTTGCCATGTTAGTTGGAATTAAATCTTATGAGCTAAATTACAAGCACTTCCTGACGTTTGATTGTATAATTGAATCCTGAATTTTCATTGTAATTCGGCGACAATATAATAAGTATTGTTCTACTATTATGATACCACTTCCTGACGTTCGATTGTGTTCATATCAAGTTCATATCGTATAATCGGGAAAAAACGGCGTTAGCGATAGCTATGAAATGAATATCGCTGTCATTTTATATGTAAATTTATATGGGAAACGTCATCGATCGTCCTTTTCCAGCCAACTGGACGCCGTTTTTTTCAGAAGCATATCAAGTGATACCATAATATAGTACTATATTACGATACATGGCGTTCGATTGGGCTTAAACTTGGTATACTATATCTTCAGTGACATTGTAATATCATGGTACCATGGAGCATATAAAGTGGTACCTTCTATAGTACCATATTTGATGACATAGCAATATTAGATACATGGCGGCAATAGGGCTTAAACTTGGTATACTACGTATTTTCGGTGACATTGTAATATGATGGTACTATGATGCATATCATCTGGTACCATAATATAGTACCATATTATGTACATGGCGTTCGATTGGGCTTAAATTTGGGATACTACGTATCTTCGGTGATATTGTAATATTATGGTACCATGGAGCATAATAAGAGGTACCATAATATAGTACCATATTACGATACCATTTCCTGGCGTTCGATTGGGCTTAAACTTGTTATACTACGTATCTTCGGTTACATTGTAATATGATGGTACTATGATGAACGGATCTTCGGTGACATTGCAATATTATGGTACCTTAAAGCATATCGAGTGGTACCATAATATAGTACACTATTATGATATCATTTCCTGGAGTTCGATTGGGCCCAAATTTGGTATACTTGCGTTTCTTTATAAAGATTTGTTTAATTCATAATTTTAATTTATTTTACGAATTTTAATTTATTGTTCGATGTCGTGACAGCAACTTTTATGCCGAACTAATATATTATTAATTGTACCTGTGTCACTTTTTAAAATCTACCTAGGTCTATATAAATAACGTGGCAAACGGAAGAAATTTGTTATTATAGTATTTTTTAGTCAGTTAACATTTTTTGAACTGCATTTTAATAAATTATTTCCATTATTATTAAACTTATATTTCATTACTAACGTTCCAGCATTAATAAATATCACTATCAATCGCCCTGTATATTATTAATTTTAAAGGTAATTAACGGTATTTTCTTAGTTAACATTATAAGGTAGTGTATATTAAAAATGTATATGTTTTGTAATAGTATACTTAAAACTATTTTAATAGCCAAAGGAATAATTAATATAAGTGTATCTGACAAGAAAAGAAGAATAGAAAAAAACACATACTGCATTATACACAATAAAAAGAATGGGATGCCAATTCAAGTCTTTTTGAATCTGGCAACTGTGCATATTTAGCCGAGCTATAAGGCCGTCGACGAGCCGTCGATCCAAAACCGAAAGTTCAAAATTTCTAATTATATTCTGATTATGATATTGTCGCGCCATCTAGTATTCTATTTGTGCAATTTTAGCTCTTTCATTTCGAGTATTTTTCTGTTGCGTAGCTAGATATTCTGTGATATCACTAAAGAGCGAAAAAATACGAGATATATTTTTATAAATACGCTTTTTAAACTCCTAAGGCAAGCAGTATTTATACTATAGGAAATTCAAATTTCGTTTTCTGACAGATGGAAATAAATTGTCTGACCGTTTGACACTTAATGTCAAAGGAAGCTAGATGAAATCAAAAAAAATATACGTTTTTAAACTCAATCTTAAATAACTTAAAAAAAGATTTATTTTAGGTATAGGAACATGGAACATGTATAGCTAAAAAGTAACAAATTGAAAAACCGTTTCATTAGTGAAATAAAAAAAGTGGGTTTCCCTTTGAAAAAAATAATTTATGATAATTTTTTAATCACTCAATTCCATGACAGCTATCGCCATTATTATATGACATTTGAACAATTTAATTTTTGAAATAGATGGCCACATGTCTTTATGTCACAGTGGCTGTGGTCATGACTAAATTTGACTTTTAGGCTATACAATTTTTTTTGACAGGTAGTTTTTTCGTCCAAAAATTTTAAATGCACGCTCTAATACACGCTCAGCCTGGGACACCCTGTACACTTAATAAGTTTATCCATATAAAATGCACCCATAAAGTCAGTATCAAATAGTTTTTGAAGGATTTTTTGAATGTCTCTGTATATTTATGGATCTTGGTACATAGAAAATTAAATTCTGAACAACTTTTCTATTTGACTTTTCGATATTGTCACCTAACCTTTTTAAGTTGTCACAACCTTTTTTATATGTAAAGAGGATATGTGTAATTTGCCGCCATGACATGAGGACGTGACTTATGTCGTCATTATTATTTTTTGTTATTGAGTATACTGAAAAAAATCGCATAAACTTTTTTCCCATAATTCAATAAACAAAACGTATTTGTTGCAAAATTTTTGGCAGTGTACCCTGCCTTAAAAATTCATTATCAAAATTACTTGGGATAATCATTGACCTGATAATCTATTACAGAAAATAAAAATTAGGTTAGATTAGAAGAAAAAAGTTTGATGCAGACTTTATGGATAACACTGTATATTAATAAAAAATATATTAGAATTATTTTACATATTACCTACTATTGTAACTAATGCGTTTTTGAAAAATACACTACAAATACTTTTTACAAAATAACCAATATATATTTGTAATTTTTTTTAATTTCCTCATAAAATTTGAAAATAAAATTTAATAGAAAATAATAACATTAAAGCTTTTAAAATAATAGTTGAGATAATATTGCAATAGAATTTATGCTACAAAACTAAAAGTTGAGGAATTATATTTAATAAAAATGATTCACTTTATTAAAATTAATTTCTACAGATAATTCGACCTTTTAAAGTATTTCTACCTTTTTTCCCTGTGTTCTTCCACAACGCCCAACGCTTCCAATTCTCTTAGAACGGTATTTAGATATCCATTATCTGGATAGCTATGTGTATTGTTACTTGGCCCAATTTCAGTCTTATGAGGAATGTTCCATGACACAACATCTTCACATCCAGTTGTATTAGAGCGAGTTATCTGCAATTAGAATAACTGTAAGTAACAATCAATTTAATTGGTTTGTTATAGACTTACAGTAAAAATCAATTTACGATGCCAGGCTTCATTCAACAACCTGAGTACTTTTCTTCCTTTTGGGTTATCTGGCAGATAAGCAACTCTAGGAAATCCTACTGCATAATATTCTCTTCCAGGATTTGGATGTTCTGATCCTTGGATTCCTGACTGAATGCTAAAAATATCGGTTTAAAATTTATTTAGCTATACAAAATAATGCAAACGACAAAAAAGTAATAATAAGCAAAAATGGGTATAAGATTTTGAGGTAGTATTTAGATAATAATCATCATAGATAGAGATAAATCTCATTATATCTAAAGTATGTCAGGGACTGGAAAGTACTTAACTTGTCAAGAGGGTTGGAAAAATATGTATTTTTTATTTTTAAACAAAACGTGTTTTTAATAGTGTAAAACAGTTTTTAATTTTTTAAACAGAATTTTAAATCTAAAGTCGGGATTATATTTAAAGTTGTTTAAAACCACTTAGTGTAGATGCCTTTTTTCGTTTGAGAGATGAGTTTGAAGTTGATGAGAAGCATACAAACTCTAAAAATTACTCTGATCACTCCAAAAACGCATATGTCTCTCAAACAAAAAACTAGAATAATTTTTTATAAATATTCATATACATTTGTTATAAATATGTTCATATAATATAGGGTGGTCCGAAAAATAAAAAAGTTCCGAGTTAAAGAAATATGTAGGTGGCGTCCTCTATAAGTAGAAGTCATATTGATATCAAAATCAAATTTCTCATGTTAAAAACTCTCAGATAACAATTTTCATCCCAATATTGACGTTACTTCAGAAATTATTTGGAAAAAAATCGAAATAAAAATGAAACTTCTACACCCTGTATCTCTGAAACTAAGCATTTTAGAACATAGTACATTTATATGAAATGTTTACTTATTTTTATCTGCAGAATATGCCGCCGAAGTTTCTTTAAAACAGTTTGGACCACCCTGTATACGACATATCCAATGAGTGACATATTAAGTAATTTTTATATTAATTTTGATTTTGTTTATTACTAAATAATAAATGTATTTTTTTTAGAGGATAAATCCATATACAGTATGTCCCTCGATTGTCTTTACAAGAGGAAAAACTTTTTTATTATTGACATTTTTAGAAAAATACATTCTATCAAAACCTATCTAACCATCTATCAAAGCATGAAATCGGAATTATTTTACCATAAAAACGCCTTTTGATTTTTAGCAAATTTTTAGCGATTTAACAATATTTTCATCTTTTTATTAATTTTCAAATTAATAATTAATTGTATTTATGTAATATTTTTTGTACTATTGTTGGGCTTTAAAAAGGTATTATTATTATTATTAGATATATATTGTGGAAGCATTTTAAATACCCAGAGTTAGGTATCATAAGGGAGCCATATTAAATTTAAAAATAATTATATATACATCTTACTTATATATAATTTGAATTGTTCGGAAATTTAAAAATCCTGGCAAGCTTCTTTCCAAAACACCCCATTCCATAGTTCCAGGAGGCTGATTTCCATGTTTCTCCCCATATATACATCCACACACTGCACACTGAATATGTAGCAGTGCACCAGCTTCTTGTAATTCAGTTAGCGAATAATTTAAACAATCCAAGTGCAATACATGGTTGCAAGGCAAAGCTATAACAACTATAGTGGGTTTTAAAGGTTGTCTACATAGAGGACAAGGTTGTCTAGGAGCCCACTCGCTAGGTTTTGAAATCCTTACAAATCTGGATATGGTTGCGCTTGCAGGATCTAAACCTAAAATCATCAATGTATCTCTTATTGGTAAATTAAAAAAAAATAATGATTAAAATTTTATACCTATTATAGAAGCCATATTGTCAACACCATCGAGGGCTCCATCATCACTTCCACTGCAATTAATTAAATCTGCAGTGGAGGCAGTAGCTTGACTCTCCCTACTTTCCTGGCTTAAGTAAGTGGACACTGTATCTAAACTAGGTCTTCTGCCAGATTTGGTACTGCTGCTATCAGCATCCAAAAGTGTACGATTATCAATTTGTTGAGTAGAAATATTATTTGAGTTACTTGATTTGTGCCCTACAAGAAAAAAAAATAAATACATAATTACTGTTAAGAAAAAAAGATAAAATACCAAATATATTTAAATTATTTAATATGACTCTGGCTAAGTTAGATGGTGTTGTATCATTATTCTTGCTACTTTTTGAAGACGTTTTCTTTTTGGATGCATTCTTTTTATGGTTTTCAGAAGTGGAATTTAAAGCCGCACTAGTACCAATCACTTTTGCAGACTGATTATTGGTAGCATTATTATTATTGTAAGCCTTTCTTATATCTGCATTTCTCCTTCCTACAGTGATATCATTTTTATAACAGTTTAATTCATTATGAAAATACTTACCTGTTATTGGAGCTAATTCCTCTAATCTAACTTTGACCAGAGGATATGGTGCTTGTTTAATTCGCCTTACACTTCTTACATAACCATTTGCCAACCACATTTGAGTAAGATTGCTAAAATTTATTACATATGGAAATCCCAGATGAGTTTTGCTCATATCAATTGTTTGATCCCCTCTAGCCCAAGCTTCTTCTATTAAACATTGAATATCCATATCAAACGCATGCCATTCATGGTCTGATCCAACACATTCCCATTTAGCCCCTTTACCAGCTGGTGATGAGGGCGGATAGCATTTTCTTCGTACAGGGACAGCCACATCTTAAAAAGGGTATTACTTCTTGTAAAATATATATACATATATATAGTATGTACGAATAGTACCTGAGTATTCCAATTCTTGAGTGAGAGTGCGTAAATTTACATAATAATTTTGCAAATTAGGATCAGCATCAGACAATATAACTCTAGTTAACTGTTTGGCATTAGCACGTTCCAGATGCTGGCTCACTGCTGGGCTATATGGTTTCCAATAACCTGATCTAATTTCATATTCCCACACAACTACCGCGTGTCCCGACATGGTTTTATACTTTTTGCCTGCAAGGCGATTTAATAGCCTGTAATTTATTTGTCTATCATTTTATGGTTTCATACGGTTTTTTTCGGATTTTATGGTTTCATACGAATGTTATGTAAAATTAATCACAAAATGCAGAATAGTTTAAATATGATTGATTAATTTGACCTAATCAAGGGTTAAATTAATTGATCATTGTTTATTCTTATGAAAACGTCCTCAAAAATAAAATACAAACAAAACTGACATTATTCTGACAACTGACGCTGTCATTGCTGTCAATGTCAATTGTCATTTCACCATAGAACATTTCACGCTTGCATTTCACGCCCCTCTTGACAATCCATTACCAACCGTATTCTTTAGTCATTGCTACCAACCAACCCACTACCAGGGTTCGGAAAACTACATGTTACTTTTAAAAACTACATAAACTACATTACATGTAGTTAATGTAGTTTATGTAGAGGGTGTAGTTTATGTAACCTATGTATGTAACTTTCAAATATCAAAGGTTTGAGGTGAGGTTATAATAAGTTGAAGCTTTAGAAAACACAATATATTTAAGAAAACAGAAGAAATATGGCTTTAAATATAATATTCACACATCATATTATTTAGACCCCTAATACAAAGCAAATTTATTCATAATATCAATACATGGTTTATTAACGTAGTTTTCATGTAGTTAATGAAAACTACTAAGCAGGATTCGGAAAACTACATGTTACTTTTAAAAACTACATAAACTACATTACATGTAGTTAACATAAACTACATTACATGTAGTTAATATAGTTTATGTAAAGGGTGTAGTTTATGTAACCTATGTATGTAACTTTCAAAGGTATACCCGGTATACCCTTTCAAATGTCAAAGGTTAGGTTTGAGGTGAGGTTAAGTTGAAGCTTTAAAAACACATAATGTATTTAAGAAAACAGGAGAAATATGGGTTTAAATATAATATTTACATTATATTATCTCTATTACACCTCATACAAAGGAAAATTATTCATAATATCAATACATAGTTTATTAACGTAGTTTTCATGTACTTAATGAACGGGAAAAGACGTAGTTTTTGAAGAAAAACTACACGTAGTTAATCAGGTAAATTACGTCTTAATTAACTACTTCCGAACCCTGCTACTAAGTTGATTAACTACGTGTAGTTTATCTTCAAAAACTACGTCTTTTCCCGTTCGTTAACTACATGAAAACTACGTTATTAAACTACCTACTGATATGAATAACTTTGCTTTGTACGAGGAGTCTAAATAATATGGAAATGGAATGGTTATATTTAAAGCCATATTTTATCTGTTTTCTTAAATACATTATGTGTTTTCTAAAGCTTTATCTTATTATAACCTCACCTCAAACCTTTGACATTTGAAAGTTACATACATATGTTACATATAAACTACACCCTCTACATAAACTGCATTAACTACATGTAATGTAGTTTATGTAGTTTTTAAAAGTAACATGTAGTTTTCAACCAAACCAACCCAAGAACGGTTAGGTTAACTGTTCTTGAACCAAACCTGCCCACTACCAACGGCATAAAATGTGTTTTTTACATGTATTTTATTATCAAAACGTAAAAATAAGAAATAACACTAAACGCCCATGTCTGTTGTGAACATTATAGCTTACTTCGGTTTTTTCTTATTACCGATTCTGAACCATGGTACAAAGAAAACAAGGTATGATCGATAGCGACTCCAATTTCGTTAAGTTTGCGCATACCACCTGTGACGTCATACGCCATACAAAAAAAATATTCAATTGCCACTTTTATTAGTGGACTTTTTTTATTAAAAGACCAAAAATAGGGAGAATTAGGACATAACCCCAAAAGTTATGTTTTGACATCGAGCTTGACATTTGAAAAATTATTTTCACATTTTGACACAATTATGACACAATCAAATTTCACAGATGATCACAATCTGTTTGACAATTTGAAATTTGCGCGCAGAGCTTGCCGACCAATGGTGCCGTTTATCACCTGTGACGTAGTGACCATCCTGCGCAATATCATACCTTGTATTCTTTGTATCATGATTCTGAACCGTTCTAGAACTGTGATGCGTATGCGCAGAAGGAAATATGAAGACATTATTTCATTTGCGCATGCGCTGCAGAGTTCTAGGACGGTCCAGAATCGGTAATATCAAGAACCCGAACAAAGCTATACACAACAGTTTCTTTTCTATAATATAAAAGAAATACAGCGTGATGCTGATTTTTATCTTTAGTTTGGAGTTCAGCTTTTTACACTTTGTCTATGGCTATCGCTATCTTCAAGCACTTGGAGTTTGGTCTTTGGTTTGGTTATGGTTATTTTGGTAAAGGTGTGGATCCGGTGGCTGACCTTGAAGCCCATATTTGCTGCTTTTGATCATTCAAAACAGTTAAAACACATGTAGGTGGCACCACCTACAAATTGGAGTCATATTGACATCAAAATCAAATTTCTCGTGTCAAAAAACATCCATCCACCAATTTTCATCCAAATATTCACGTTACTTTAGAGATTATTTGGAAAAAATTGAAATAAAAATGAAACTTCTACACCCGGTATCTCCGAAACTAAGCATTTTAGGACATACATTTATACGTTGTATTATATAACTTTTTTACTTATTTTTATCAGCAGAATATGCTGCCGAAATTTCCAGAATATAATTCGGACCACCCTGTATATTGTGCTCTAGTGGACCAATGTTGATGATTTTTTAAACAATTTGTAGCTAAATTATTTGGTTTTTTAATATCTCTTTCTAAATTAAAAATAAAAGTTTCTATGTGTCAATTATACGAGGGAAAACAAAATGTTGGTATTTTGGTGAAAGTTTCAAACACTTTGTGGAGTATGTAAAAACAAAGCAAACAATTTAAAAATCACTTTATACCTTTTATTATCTATTTGTACCTTTTCTCGATAGTTAATTTTTTGGTTTATTTCGATAGCTTTAATTTTTTAGAGATATTCGGTTTTGAAGAAGAGATAACATTTTTTTCGTAATTTTTGCATTAAAACAATGTTTTTGCTTATGGGCCCAGTTAACAGATCTATGGAATAGTGTTTATGATATATGTAGTGTCACTGTTATTGTAAAATCACATTATTATTCTCTGGTATCTGTTGGGTAGCTGCTTTAGCAGAGATGGTTTTAAATCCAGAAGTTATATCCGCAATATCTGGCACAAATCGAGCACAGCCGTACCATCCTTTTCTTGAAGGTATTAGCGGCACTTTTGACCCTGTAACTTCGTTGTGGATAAAGCAATAATATTAATTTTAACTAAACATGATGACATACTATAGCTAGGGTTGCCACCTTTTTGCAAAGTAAAAATGTAGAAAAAGGACATTGGACTATGAAAAATGACTGGAGGGGTGGGGTGGGGGGGGGGTAAGCTGTTGATTGTGAACCGCCGATTATAAATCGCCACTTTCAAATTTTGAAAAACTCTTTTTAAGATCAAAATGGTTAAATATAAAGCCTAAACTATCATTTGAGATTAAACGGAATAGAACATGCTTTTTTTTTCAAAAGTTACAAATAAATTTTTAAACAATTTCAAATGTTGCAATCACGTTGCAAAAATTAATACTTTTGTGGCGTTTGAAAAAAAACATTTATTTTTTATTTTTATAACGTGTCTAATAAAATTTGGACGAAAGGAATATTGTTGGTTGCTGTAGATAATTTTCTCAGGGAAAATTCGTAAATACGGCTTTTTCGTCGAAAAAGGGCAAGGACAATTTGTTACAAAAAAGGACTGTCCTTTTCAAAAAAGGACTGATGGCAACCCTAACTATAGCTGGCTAAATTAGGCAACCCTAGGCTAAATATGGCAACCCTAACTATACCTCATAGTTTATGAATTATCACTTATCAAATTTCTTTAATTTTGATATTGACACACACCATAATTAAAAAGGAATATTCTACCATTTCGATTACCAAGTAAATCCAAACAGTGCTCTTTTATCATATAGTGCAATTGCCAAGTCATTACAGAAATAAAGATGTTCAATATTGATACTGACAATTTGTAACAAAATAGTTGAATGAGTGCTTAAAGAGAAACTAAATAAAATAAATTGACTTGGTTTTGTGTGAGGTTCAAGTTAACGTCTCCTTTCTGCTGCAATGGCTAAACTGGACGGGACCTACTTTTCTACCGACTTAGGAAGTGTCTAAATTAACTCTTACTCACGAGATATCCGATCTCATCCGGCCTCGAACCGGCGTGAATGAGCAGTGTGCATCAATAGATTTTACACTTTTCCCTTGGACAACAGCACGATGCAAAGTTTCGAACCGGTCACCCGTTCATCAACTAGCATCGCCTTACGTCGCTTAACTTCGGTGTTCTAATGGGAACCGGTGTTTCGACGTAGCTGAGCCCGCTGAGCCTTCTTATAGGCCTGAGCAGAGACAACATGGAGACAACTACTAGACGATCAAGCCCATGGGGAAATTAGATCCAGGCCTGGGTAATGCGAAAAGAAGAAGCAACTTCTAACCACAAATTGTCAAATTTATATTTTTTCTTGTGATTTTTTTTTCTGTCCTTTTTATTCACGAAGGACACGAAGTTTATAAAACTAAGTTTATTCAGCATAATTTTTAATATTGTTTAAAATGACTAAATATGTTAAATATGCAGATTTAGTCAAACAAACTACAGAATACGCTCGTCGTATGAATCGCCTCAGTAATCGAATTTTTGGAGAAGTTGTTAGACCAACAAATAGTAAATCCATGAAAGTAGTTCAACTTTATAAGTAAAATTAGGGTAGAATAATTATTATTGCGTATTATAACATTTATATTGTAGAGAAGAACCAATAAATTTGAGAAAAGATGTTCATGCTTATTATCCAAGACATATTGAAACTGGCAAATTAATGATGAAATTGCGATACTACGGATTATACCGGGATGAGCACGAAGACTTTAAAGATGAAATGAAGCGCATGCGAGCACTAAGGGGGAAAGTAAAACCCGAGCGGAAATTAAAAAGTTGAGAGCTGGCTAACTTGATTTAAGTTCATATAGTCAATTGTGTTTTTGTATATTAGATGTCTTTAAATACATACTGAGTTATTTATGGTTTATTTATAAATATAAAATAAGAAATTACAAAATGCTTTTTAGAGGAGTTTTTTGGTAAAATTAAAATTATATCACTTGGACACTTCACATATTATAGTTCTTAATTATAGCTCTTCCTTTTTTACATTTTGTTTCCTGTCCTTTACTTTAGGTTTATTTGACTGGTTAGTTCTCACTTCTGTTTCACCTTTTGAATGTTCAGTTAAACATTGTATGTCATGACCCTTCAAAACAATTTTTTGACATAGAAATGTTTTAAGAGGTTCACCACCCTGATAATTAAAATACCACTCTTCAATGTTACCCTCATTTTCTTCTAATAATGTTTCACACTAAAATATCTATAAAAGTAAAAATGATGATGTATTATATTGGATTCAATATTAACCTGACTTTTCATATTAGTTATTTCAACACTTGGCTTATCCCAGAGTTCATAGGGAATTCCAAGTTCAACTTTGACTCCTTTATCAACTAAACCATGTAGGGTTTGAAATGTTTGACTCATCCCCTTGGCAAATCTGGTACTATCTTGCCGTTCTTTATGAATGTTATATTCTAATATTTTATCACACACTCCATCAAGCGATTCTATTAAGCGAAGTTCTGATTTCTTATATTCCTTTTTCTTCTTTGGTTTGACATCATCTACTGAGTATCCTGTTTCTATCACGTCATGAGATTTCCCTGTCTCTTCTAATCGATTTTGTAATTCGATAGCCAAAATTTTACAAACTGACAAAATAAATGGAGATTTATAAAGAAAACATATTCAGCTGAAATAGCATACCTTCACATCTGTTAGCATATTTAACACCTTCATCTTCTTCAGTTACCGATAATACACAGCTACAAATAGCTAACAAAATAAAAATGTTTATAAAATGTAACAATACCATGTTATAGAAAGTGTATTAAGTATATAAAATCTAAGTTAATTCCTACTTTGAGAGAAAAACTATCAAGGTAAAACTTTTTTCATAGAACAGCAATAAAATATAAAGTGAACATAAAATCTCTGATAAAAGTTTAAAAAAATTTGCAAAGATGCAAACAAAAAAACTGAGGTTAGTTTATAAAAATTTACTATAGTCAATCACTAGTCAATGGCTCCATAGTCAATGGTGAATGTAGGGAACTCTGGTATAGAATGTAGTATCGTAGTTAGAGTAGATCACAGGAGTAGATGTCCGGATCTGATCCTATTGATCCAGATTTTTGAATAAAAGAATTTTGTAGGGCGGATCTGGGCGGATCCATCTTGAGAAGACGGACAGCTTGACATTTGCCGAAATCCGAAATCAAGAAGAATTTATTCATGACATCTTGACACAAGACACATCTTGACATACATATGATTTGTGACATTTGATTTGTTATGTTTTAATTCTATTATAAAATTCATTTTTTGTATGCTAAGTTTAAATTATTGGGCTAAGAAAAACATAAAAACAACGAGAAAAAGTAAAGGTGTTGTTTTCGTGTTCCATGTGATACTCTTTGAATGATAAGAAACCCCGGAAACCCTAAAAATGGGTTCCAGAGATAAGGACAGCAAGGGTATCCAAGTTATATTTAAGGATTTCTTTAAAAAAAAGGGACAAATAGGTATGTAAATGTAACACATATGTAGGTTGTTTACTAATTATTAACAGTAATTAAAGATACTATAGTTATTTATATGTTCGTATAGGAAGTCATAGTGGCAGGAGTGATTTTTCTTTGTCACAAGAACTGATTAGAGATATTAGTAAGGAATCTCCTTTACAAATTCGATTGAAGACTTTAAAGGAATTGTGTGTAACTGTTGAGCGTGAAAAATTAGCTAATGTAGGTTAAAATACTGGCATATGAAATATACTCTACTATATACTTTACTAAGTACTTTTATTATTTGTTAGAATGTTGTTGAGAAACTCTATAGCTGTACGGAAGATCTCTTTGACAAGAGTAATCCAACAGAAGTGCGTCATATGATTTTTGCTTTTACACAGTCTTTAATAAAAGGACAAATTGAAAGACTAGAAATAATGAGAAGTCAGTATTTCAGATTAATCAAGCATCATGATCAACCAGAAGATATTGGTCAAAGATTAGATTTATTAATGACTCTTACTGAAAATGGTAATTGCACAAATAATTTATAGGTAATTACTGAAAATGTGAAATTTTTAGGTCGAAAAGTAAAGTTTTTTGAACAAGAAATAGGCACTTTCTTATTAAATTGGCTTCCAGAAATTTCTCAAGCTGGTCGTATAGAAGACTATTTAAATATGATTGATAATATAATTCATTTTAATGCAGCATATTTAGATGAGGATATTATTAATGGAATTATACAGTAAGGAGTTGTTTAGTCTTCCTTTAAATTTTTCATGCTCTATATTTTAGACATATATGCCGATTATGTGGACCCACAAATCAATCTACAACAATAAACCTATGTTTAAATATAATGTCCAGTATTGTGGCTTATAGCAATATGTCTCCTGATGCTTTACCAATATTTATTGGTGCATTATGTCAGACTGTGGTATCTGAAAAGTATCATCATGAAAGTTGGAGGGTATATGTTTTCTTATATTTTAATAAACAATTTATTTGTGCTGCATAGGATGTCCCACTTTTTTATATATTAATTTATTGAAATACTTTGAAAGTTGATTGCTAGTACCGCATTTACACAATGAGTGGAAAGTGAAGCCAAAGAAAAGAAATTGGAATATCGATCTTGCATAAGTCTATCCTTTTGGTTCAACAGGATTTTCGTGAGCTCGCGCCAAATAAAATGATCTGATTCCTCTACTTCATTGCTGAACGCTGTCATCTGCCCGCGCACTATTTTAAACTCTAAATATGAATAACGTATAATATTTTTTTAATTGGTAATCACATTATTTCAACCTGTTATTTTAGATAAACGTGTTTCACGGTAGTGGTGGGCAAAACCGTTATTTTTAAATAACAGTAGAAACTGTTACTGTTATTTTTATATAACGGCTTAAAATAACAGGTTTCTGTTATTTTTTTACTTTAATGTTAAACACCTAAAATATCATTCGCATTGTCCAAATTGTATTAAAATCATAAAAATCTTCATATTTATTTCTTAATAAAAAATAATGTACTTAAAATATAAAATTTATAAGCAAATTAAACTCCATTATAATTTTTAGAATATGTTGATTATATTATTAATAATTAAGAAAATAATTATTAAGAAAATCAATATTACTAATAAAAAAAAATGAGCTTAGACAGTCTTTATTTATTTAAGTAGTTAAAAAGCATGTGATATTTGTAATCACCAAAGTTCTAATTCATTTAATAACTAAATTTCTAATCATCATTCACTATTTCTTGATATCATTATTGGTGACAGGCAAGTAAAATTGTCTTTGAAAAGTTTTAAAACGTAGCAAAAACAATGAAAGTACATATTTAAAAATATTAATAAAAATAACTAAGTAACTGAAACATAATAACTTAGTTCTGAAACTTCCACTGAAACTTACAAAACAAAAACTTTAAAATGTAAATAAATATATAAAAATAAATTTGCAGAAAGCAAAATAGTAAAATAAACTTGCTCAAAACGATTCTAATAACATAAGCTTAATCAAGACAATTTTCTTCAATTCAGTTATAATTAATAATTAATTTTATTTACCAGGCATTATTAATGCCAAAAAATACCCAGAAATCCGACAAAATAAAACTACTTTCAAACTATTTTACGCAAAAAAATATGTATTAAAAATTAAATAATTGAATTCTAACGCCACCGTACACCGCGATCGACCCACACAGGCGAAAAAGCTATTATTTTCCAACTCTGCTTATCTCGGCCGCTGCGCCGCCCGTTACGCTCGTAACAGGTTAAAAATCAATGTATCTAAAACAACCGCTTATTTTCTATACGTTATTCCCAACCTGTTGCGGGCCCAGCATCGACAATCGACCGATGCAGTAGCGTTACTTTCCCACTCCGGTTATCTCGACCGTCAGGCGTTATGCCCGCAACAGTTGCAACTGTTTTAAAAAAGTTGTTTATTTTATATACTGTTATTTTTAAGCTGTTGCAAGCCCATCGACCGATGCAGCAACGTTCGCCGTGGCCCCACTTCGTTGTATCTCGACTGTCGGCGCGTCGCCCGTTATCGATGGTAGGCGAAATAACAGAGTTTTCATACTAGTTGTTTTTTGGAATGGGCTCTTTCACTATATTTTGGAATTCGCATAATTGAATAAAACAATTAATTCTGGAATTTTCTGCTATCTCACTTTCGAAAAATTTGAAGTCGTTCTTAAGAAAATAAATAAAAACAAGAAAGCCCAGAATAAAAATCCGCACTTTATTTTTAATACGTCACACCTGGCATATTGAAAAGCGGCAACACCGTCGGGCCACCATGCTGACCTCCATAACAAGGGGCCGTCCTCTGCCGGAAACACTGCGACCTGTGAGGCCTATTGTGTTTGTTCCCCTTCTATATCTGCACCCATTCTCCTATCCCTGTGCCTTGCATTAGCTTATGCAGGTCCTTGATAGGATGGGAGCATAGTTCCTCCGGTTCTAGCCAAGCTTTCCCAAATAAAAAGTGTCGCTTGCGATCCAGAGCCTCGGAATGACATATTATGTGCTCCGCTGTTTCAGGATCTTTATCGCAGAGTCTGCAGCAAAGACTTCTTTGATACAGGTTGAGCTTGTTCAGGTAACACTTGACAGCAATGTGTCCTGTCAAGAGGCCTGTTGTAATCCGCACTTTATTCCTGCTAAGCATTAGCAGTTCTTTTGCGGTTTTAGAGCTAGGTGCTTGGATAAAAGCCTTGCTGTGCCTGTGCCCCTGTCTGTTTCTCCAATGGACATTGTGCTTTTCCCTGATCCAGAGTTTTAGTGCACTACGGGCCATACATTTGGGTATTTCCAGTACTGGCTTTGGACCAAGATAGGATGCCGATGATCCCTGCCTAGCTAGCTCATCGGCTTTTTCGTTGCCTTGGAGGCCGCTGTGGCCCGGCACCCAGAATTTTCAATTCTGGGTGCCGGGATTTAATTCTGTTCCTTCGTGCCAGAGCTCCCAGTTCACCCAGGCATTCCCAGACGAGTCTCGACGATACCTTTGGGTTCATAAGCGCCCCAAGTGCCGCCTGACTGTCTGAACATATATTGATGAGCTTACCTGAATAAGCTCTTCTATTGTTTTCTCTTGCACATTGTAGAATGGCGAAGATTTCTGTCTGGAATACGGTTGAGTGTTTACCCAAGGAAAAGGATTAGCTTGCCCTTGGTCTTTCCCCAAATACTCCAGCTCCTGTTCCTTCAGTGGTCTTTGACCCGTCTGTAAACCAGGTTAGTCCATCTTGAAGGAATGTTATATCTGTCCCATTCCTCGATTCATTTTGTTCACCTCGAATGGTTTGTGGTAGTGATAAAGAGGGGTCATTTGGTCCGATCTCATTTGGAGTAGAGATCCTCCGATAGAATCTCCCATCTTTAAGTGTCCTGTTTCTGTCCTATTTCCCAGAGACAAGACACTTTGTTGTCGATGGAGTTCCATTCTTGCCTCCGCCTGGATCACTATGTGAAGAGGTTGATTTCATTGCCCCTGTTATGCTCAGACAAGCAAATCTTTGCATTTTACTAAGGCTGAGCATTGTTGTTTGTTGCGTTACCTTAGGCCACCATACCAAGGATGCATATGTTACTGAAAGCCTCACCACTATAGTGTACAGCCAGTGCACCATCTGTGTTCTGAGGTCCCAGATTTTTCCATGAAGTCGTCTTACTACCGCTAGTGTAGTCACCGCCCTCCTTGTGACATTTTCCAAATGTCGGTTCCAGGTACCTAACCTAACCTAACCATGCTGACCTGCGTAAGGTTATCAGATGACGCCTTTCCGAATCCAGGTTCTGGTACGACCATGATGGAACAAATTATCAAAAAATAACAATTTAAAACTTAAAATTTGATTACAAGCTTTTACAAACAGAGTAAACAAAAAATTTAACCTCAAATTTATTATTCAACATGCACGTCAGTCTTCTATTTCAGATTTTGTCCTTGAATTGGGTATTTTATTTTTTGTGAAAGAGCCCATTGCTTCGAGCCGCATAGGATTTCGTGGCGATGCAGAGCGCCGACTTCGTATCACGAGCAGTCAATCTCTACGTGTCGTTATTTGATATCTGTTATTTTTTAGAAGTTGCAACGGTTTCGTTATGTTATTTCCAAATAACTGTTGTAAAATAACAGATAGTTAAATAACAACCCATCTCTATTTCACGGCCATGTCGGATCGTGTGTCACGGCCTTCAATTTTTGCTCCCATCGCGCGTAAAGACGTTTCACAAGAAAGTTTCACTTGAAAAAATAGCATTTTAAATTTCAATTTAGAGTGCCATGACCATTTTTTTTTGAATATGGTTTATTTAAAAGTACAACGTGCGATTCATAACGACTACTTGACTCGATATACCAAATGTGTGGTACGAAATTATTCGTAAAAAAATGCTGTGTACAAATATGCTAATGAGCCACCCCCGTTCCGTTAAAAAAAATGAATTATGATTAAAAAATCGGTTTGGGCAACTTTTAACTTTAACTGACCAGGAAAATATACTACAGACCATCGAGATAATTTTCCAAAGCTCCTTGATTAAAAATTAATGGTTTTAACACAGTCATGGCATCATAGATTGAAGTTTAAAATGCCATTTTTAGTGTGACAGATTCATCTCTTGAAAATACCGAGGATTTTTTCATGAAATTTGAACGTTCTGCTCCAAAAAAGTGGGACAGGCCTAGATCATATAATAAATACTCTATAGTAATTTTTGTAACCATTTTTTAAGATAATGAAAAACCTGTTACGTACTCACATGGGTCATTCAACAGTATATACAATGTGTTGTATATTACAAGAACCATCTTTAAAATTTCAAATAGATCTCCTCAGAGGTGCTGTATTTTTTACGAGAATGGGGTTATGGAGTATTGAGCCACTTCCTTATGTAAAATGCCCACCTGCTTCAATTTTGCCATCGTTTTTGCACGTATGAAAATTGTGAAAATAAAACGAGATAACTTGTATTTATTTAGATTTTTCTAGGCGGTAAAATGTAATCACCCTGCTGTAGCTTACGAGGTAACTTTAGGCGTTCAGCAACTTGTTAATCGTTATGGCTTAGATTTACTGGATTCTTCTTGGTCAGTGATTCTACAGATTATATCTCATGTATATTTTATTACAAATGCTGGTAAGTTTGGTTGCTTTGGTTTGGTTGTATCAATGTTCACAAAAGTTAGAAATATTATCAGTTAGTTACGTTATTTGATACGGACGTGACGGCCAGGTCGCAGCGACCTGCCGTTGCGTTGGCTGGTCGGATATATTGCGTACATAGATGCGGCCAGATGAACGACCAGTTTCAGCAGAGTTGTCAAATCTAACGATTTTTTAGGTTTTACCAATTAGAAAATATTGTTTTCAGAAATGTTAAAATATCCGAGTCAACTCTGCCACCTGGTCGTCAGTGCGTTTGAGCCCTTAGAACTACTTTTTAAAATATTTTTAAATGGTATAAGGTATCTGAAATAATCAAATACTATTATTAAAGTCGTATTTTTGTAAAGGGACAACCTGTATCTATATTGCATTTTAAGTCTTTGCGATTAAAATAAAGTAAAATTTGGTAAACTGTTACCTCACTTAAATAACGGTTTATAAATAATACCAACTTATACAAGGCGTTTAAAATAAGTGTCAATAATTACTAGCTTTAAATAATAGCAATTACTTTTTTAACAATTTTAGCACGCTTATGACGTCGTATCTTTTTTAGTAATTTCTAATGTTTTCTAATAGAGAACCTTCCAGAACAAAGAAAAAATATATTCAACTTTATTACAGACATTGTGATATTTCTGTGGTATACTTACGCAGTGTCTCGTATTTTTTAGTTGTTTATTGAATTAGTCACAATCTGTTATTTGTTTTAAATAAATTTGAAATGGCATGATTCCAGGGGGCATATTGAAAAATAATTAAAAATTTGAATTATAAAAATATGCATCATTTTCTACTAAAATCTGAAGAATTAGTTAAAAGGAAGTATAATACAATTTTATAGATATACTGCAAAATATACAGAGCGTCCCAGTTAAAATAATCAAGTTAATGCCAATTTAAAGCTAGTAATTATATTTGGAATGTATTTTTAGACACCCTGTATAAGTTGGTATCAATATCATTATTGCCGCGCAATATTTCATCGATAAGCAAACTTTATTGCATACCTATTGGGTTTTAAAAACTTAAATAGGTTTCAAGATATGAAACATTAAAATCATTAGTGTATTTTAACAAAAATTAAAATATTTTTCAAAAACAGCTAGATTTAAGTGAGATAAACCTAGATTATATTTATATTTATTTTAATCTTAGAAAAATGTCATTACGCATTTAGTCAATATACAGTGCCTTATTTAAAAAAAAATATATTTTATTAGTCTATTTGGTACTGTATCATATGAAAATAATTTTAGATTATAGCTTGTAGCTCTAAAGGCGGCTGCATATACAGACGTTCTCACGCATTACTTGTACGCATGTACAGGGTGGGTCAAATTGGACGCTTTTAAAGGGAAACACCCTTTTCTATAGGAGATAGATGAAAACTAATATCGGTGTCTGGAGCTCAATTTTGATCAAAAACATGATGGTGAAAACTGCACATCGATATCTGTTACCGTTTCGGAGTTACGGGGTGTTTTTAAAATGTTCAAAAATGTTTATTTTTAACAAATCGCTGTAACTTTTTTGCTATGGAAAATTTTGTATTTCTATGAAAACATTTCCAAAGCACCTTTTTACGTAGAATTTAATGGTTTAAGTATAATTTTTTTAAAATTAATAATTTAGGAGTTATCAACAGAGAAATTGATTTTTTATTTGGGACACCCTGTATATTTTTAATTAACTGAAAAGAACTTAAAATTACCTTTCCAAAAATAACTTAATACTAGTAGGCTAGTTAGTTAAATAACTTTTAACTAGTAGGCTTTGGACCCCTTATTGATGATATGCCCCTAATGAAACTCGAAAACATATTTTTCCAGCAATACGAGGCACCGCCTCAGAACGCTGAAGTTGTCAGCAAATTTTTGCAGCCAATTTCAAGAATAATTGAATAGCTATCCAAGATCCCAGCCGTCTGCCGTCGAGGCCGCCGGACTTAATGCCTATGGTTCTAATCCTATGGACATCTTTGCAGAAAAATAAAGGTCCTTATTTCTAAATTGCCCGTATAATCTAGACAATAATTAGAAATACTTAGCAATTATGAGAGGGTATCTTTTACCCCTACTGAGTTAATAAATTCCGCGAGAAATGTTCAAAAACGACCCCGTCTGTCCATATAACAGAAAACGGTTGATATATCGAACACCTGTAGCAAAATCCCATGTCTTGGTTTGCTATTTATTTTTATTGATTAGATATAGTTTAAATGTGTTCATCTTGGTTAAATATAGTTCAAATTGTTATAAAATTCTGCATCTCTCAATGCAAATATTATTTTCGTTTTAATTGATGTTCACAGCTAGAATTTTTTTGCATTATAGCCGGCGCCGTTCAAAGCCTACTTATTTAAAGTGGACGAATTTTTATATACTCTATATCTCGAAGAGGAATCGAGCAAAATAACAAGTGTGCTATATTTTTGGAAAGGTAATTTTAAATGCTTTTCAATAAATTAAAAATATACAGGATGTCCCATATAAAAAATTAAATTTTCTGTTGATAACTCTTAAATTATTAACTTTAAAAAAATTATACTTAAACCATTAAATTCTACGTAAAAAAGTGATTTGGAAATGTTTTTATAAAAATACAAAATTTTCCATAGCAAAAAAGTTCAAGCGATTTGTTAAAAATGCACATTTTTAAAAACACCCCGTAACTCCGAAACGGTAACAGATATCGATATGCGGTTTTCACCATCATGTTTTTGACAAAAATTGAGCTCCAGACTCCGATATTGGTTTTCGCCTATCTCCTATAGAAAAGGGTGTTTCCATTTAAAAGCGTCGAATTTGACCCACCCTGTACAGGGTGCCCCATTTTGGTTGAAATTTTGAAGTCATACGGTATCTCCGTTATTCGTGAAGATAGAAGGGTGCGGTTTGCACAAACCTGTCCCACTTTTTTGTCAAACGGAAGATGCCGTAAACAAAATTTGCATAGGCCTGTTCTTTTCGGAGCTACAGGGTCTATTTGAAAATTTTGCAATTTGGGCCACCCCCTGTATCTCTGTTATTGTTAAAGGTATCAAGAAGGTGGAAACCGTATTGTAGAACTCTTTACGTAGAACACATAGTCTGTTATTCCAAGAAAATAATATTTTTAAAGATATGAACTAAAGTTATGCTTTCTTAAATGGAACACTCTGTATATTTATAAATTATATGATCTGGCTTGCCTAAAGTTTCTCAAAAATATATATCACGCTATATTTATTTTCACTATTTACGGCAATATTTAAAAAAAAATATATTAAAGATCATATTTATTAGTAGGCCATGATTGATAATAAAAGACTAAAGAATTATTAAAAGTATACTGCTATCTGTCTCCTGTTTTATTCTGAGACCAACTAATAAATTCTTTATATAAACTCACCGGCAAAAAAAACCGGCCACTAAAAACTAGACCCAATTTCAAAGTTGGATTTCTCACGAATCGCTCATTAGATTTTGATGATTTTTTTAAAATTGTAAATTAATTCCTTCTTAACGTATGCTACGTCAGCAATTTTTATTCCGAATTTATTTTGAGCATATACTGGGCACAACAATAAGACGAAGTTTTTTGCCCGAACTTTGTAACACCCTGTAGGGTGCAGCAGCGGTAGTAGCTATAGCTAAATTAAATCACATTGTAGCCTCATCTTTTGTGAGCATTTTGTTTTTTTAATCACCACATTATCTCTTTTTGTGTTGAAGATATGCCATTTTAAAACGAACGTCTCGGAAAAATGCTTCGCAGGCAGAAAGTTTTATGTATAAATAGTCAAGGCGACGCGACTTAGGTGAAAACGGATTTATGAGTATTTGCAATATGACAACAACGGTTGTCAAATTAAAAAATGCCATTATCTGTAACGGATGTTGCTCGTATTGTGGCTTTAATTGAGGATGGGCGAAGTCAACGTTATGTCTCCGATACCCAGAGTATATTTCGAACCACAGTTCAGGATGCTTGGAATCGGTATATCGAAACGGGAAATTTCACCAGGCGAGTGGACACTAGATATTAGTCCCTTAAAATTTATTTAACCTTTTCTTTTATTTTCATGTTTTAGTTAGTTTTCAGATTAAACTTACCTACGTTCTGATGTTTGATTTGTTTTTAAAGATTTTTTCGATGCGTTTGTTTTAAAGCAGCGCATCTCCAATACAAACAGAGATAATGTCGTGATTAAAAAAACAAAATGCTCACAAAAGATGAGGCTACAATGTGATTTGATTTAGCAATAGCTACTACAGCAGCTTAACCCCATCTGCACCCTACAGGGTGTTACAAAGTTCGGACAAAAAACTTCGTCTTATTGTTGTTTGCTGTATATGCTCAATATAAATTCGGAATAAAAATTGCTGACGTAGCATCCGTTAAGAAGGAATTAACTTACAATTTAAAAAAAAATCATCAAAATCTAATGAGTGGTTCGCGAGAAATCCAACTTTGAAATTGAGACTAGTTTTTATATAGTGGCCGGTTTTTTTTGCCGGTGGGTGTATTAGGGAAACTTAATTCTTTACTGCTATTTGTAAATCTTGGAAGCTATCGTTCAGGAACTTTTAAATATTCCTTTAGCTAATTTACGTGAAAAAATACTTTTAACAAGATGGGGCTCCCCCTCACAACTTTAAAAATATTAGAATTTTGTTAAATTATTATTTCTTTTTCTTAAATCAATGAATTGGAACCAATGGACCCATATGATGGCCGCCCTGATTCCTGGGATTTGTCCGTTCTCGATTTCTGATTTTGGGGATTCTTTAAATATGAAATATATCGTGGCAAGTACAACAATGCCGAACCCCTGGAAAATGCTTTAATAATGCAAGCTTTTAGATATTTGCAAATCCATTCCGGTATAATAAATTTCGCTATAAAAAAGAAAAATATATTCAGTGGTAACAATTCAAAAGTAAAATATATGACTCCCAAATAAAGTTTTAATATGTGTATGACTATTTTAATAAATACCATTTTGATTTTTTTGTTATTTATCACGGTCTACTATTAAGAAAATTATATTATTTAAATAGGCTGTACTTAAACTGCCGTTAAACGGTAGCTTACTAAAATGCCGTTAATAGGTATGACGTCGTTGATGTGACGCACTTGACGGCTTTATGAAATATAGAAATTTTATAAGGACTAACCAACGCTATCCACCCCATCAAATAACCGACTTAACCAACGCAACTAACCTCGACACTGATAAAAAATATAAAAAACAAATATAAATTAGTAAAAATCAACCAACCCCACCAAATAACCAACTAACCAATGAATTAACACCCTCCAAATAACCACGCTAACCAACCCGCCAAATAACTAAACCAATCCAACTAAAAAGAGTGAAACCAATGCAATAAGATCACGCTATAAGCAAAAAAAAATATAAAAAAGTCTTGAAAGTCGGCGTGAGAATTGAACCACTTGCAGAATGCTTAAGGCTAGGCATTACTTTCCGCCGACATGAACGACGTCACAATATCTATTAGCGGCATTTTAGTAGGCTACCGTTTAACGGCTGTTTAAGTACATCGTTTTAAATATTGCTGTAAATAGGGAAAATAAAATAGACTGACATGTATTTTTAAAAAGCTCATAGCGAGACGGATCACATGATTTATAAAAATAGAGGGTGTTCCATTTGAAAAAAACATACTTTAGTTCATATTTTCAAAAATATTTTTTTCTTAGAAAAACAGACTGCCACCGTATTCTACGTAAATCTTATTGTATTCTACGGGAGATACGGGGGCTGTCCCAAATTGCAAAATTTTCGTAAAGACTCTGTAGGTCAGAAACGAAGAGGACTATGAAAATTTTGTTTACGGCATCTTCCGTTTGACAAAAAAGTGGGACAAAGGTTTGTGCAAACCGCACCCTTCTAGCTTTACTAATAACGGAGATACCGTATGACCACTAAAATGGGACACCCTGTGGGACAGCTCAACGAATGTTTGTATGTCTGTAGCCGCCTTAATCGCTCTTAAATGAATCCAAAAGCCACATTTGTAAAAAAATCGAACGGTTTAACTATAATATTCCGTGACAAATTACATGAATAACCATGAGTAGGTACTTTTAAAATTTCTTAACTTGAACTTATGTGATAATATTACATTTAAAATTGTTCCTTATTTTAAGAACCAAATCCACATAAACTTGACATTAAACCAAGGATTATGGAGATTATGAGTGTAATGGAAAATTACATTGAAAAGTTACAGTACAATGGAAATTTAAAAAGTTATTATAAGTTAGTGGAGGAATGTGCGTCTGATAGACCTGATGATTCTGTTTTAAGACTGATAAATTACCTTGCAAGAAGTATAATGCCAACGCAACATTTATGGATGACCAATTTATATAATTTGCTACACAAATACTTTAAAAAGGATGTTAGAACTGAAATTAGGCTAAAAGTATTGAATGTATTAACTGATGTTTTTAAACTGTATAGGTGAGTGTGTAAAGTACCGAATGATCGAAAAAAAAACGTCGTCAAAGACGGTTGCGGAATGATAATTTTACCGAGGTCAGTCTCTAGATGTAATTTACTAAAAATTAACATAAAACTTGTCTAAAATTAAGACTAATTATACAGGGTCTGGCAATAATGTGTTAGGAATCTGTAGCTCCTAGACAGGGGTGGATGGGGAAAATTATCCCGTTTTCCCGATATGGGAAAACGGGAAAATTCCCGGTGGGCCGGTCCTGATCAGAGCTCAAAAAAGATTGGATTTGTAATTGTAAAATGTCTTTCTCTGGGACACTTATAATTTTAATAATCATCTGTTGTTTGTTCGGTTTAAACAATTTTATTATACAAGGTTAGTCTATAAGTGCAAATATTTTCAGGGCTGGTAGATCTCAATAAAATAAACATAACATATTCTCTTTATCGAGTTTCAAATAAGCCCAATCGAGTTATTAAAGTGTGGAAATTTAAAAAAAATATTTATTTTTAAAAAAATTTGGGCCACCTCAATTTTCCGGTATTTGTATCTCTTTTAGTGCCGTAATATCAGAGATTAAGAAACTATACCGTGGGGAAATTTGCGCTGAACAGGAAGTTCTAAAAAGTTTTCTAAAATATACAGGCAAATTTAAAAGAATGCTCGATTTTTAAAATCTTTTTGCAAAAAAAACCTCATAGACGTGTTCTTGGGATCGAAATATACCTTCCCTGAAAATATTTGCACTTATTTAAGACTCACCCTGTATAGTTTTACCCACTATTCTCTTATTAATAACTAATAAATATGACAAGCAAAAAAAAAGAATGAATAGCATTAGGTAAATTTAAATAGTCTCGATCTAAATGTATACTAAGAATACGGTAGCGCAGATTGACAAATGGGGGCCTCGGTGCAATATTTTTCGAGCTCTCCTTTGTAAAATGGTAGACGAATTTGACGCAAACTCTGCGGTTGACGGATAAAACATATCTATGCTTGGCTTGAATTGGGGACGGACTAAAAGTCAAGTCTGAGAACTAAAAGCCAAGTCTAAATTGTTGATTAAAATGTTGCTAAAATGAATTTGCTAAAAATTACTGAGACAGCAGAGAAGAGTTAAATAAGGTATAAACTAGATTAGATAGTAAAATATTAATATGTCTCGAAAATTTAAATATTCTTATTATGGACAAAATGGACTGTAACATAGCATTACATCAGAACACATTTATATCCACTGCTTAGGTATAGCCTAGGTTTTTTCGTTTGAGTGATGGCATTATCATAAGAGATGTCAAATGTAGAAAGATGTCAAATGTAGAAAAGTATAGAGGCAAAGTTTCGTGATAAATGCGAAAAAAATGCTGCAGTTTTAATGGCGACCGCGGTTCATTCAGTTAAAAATACGTATACACGACGAGGCTGCTGCTGTAGCAGAAAAGAGAGAATTTCTTTCTACAATGTGTAAGAAAGTATATACCCGAAAAGCTAAAAGTAATGTATTTCACAGAGGATTGGGTCAGCTGAACTAAATAAATCAGGAAGTCTTAAGTTTCTCAAAATCGTGATCAAAATCGTAGCCTAATCAAGATCAAATTACCATTATCGATAATAAAAATTAAAGCAGTAGAACCCTGTAAAACTGAGCCATTTTAGTAAAAATTCAGATGTCCGACCCAATATTGGTCTTTACGAAAATTTTGATCAAGGCAATTTAATTTGTTTTTAAAACCGGAGGCAAAAGAGCTTTTTCGCACGAGCGAAAAACACCCTCACTTATATGTATATTAATAAATAAAATATGTTTCTTCGTTATGGTCATTTTGTTCTTGTCGATTTGGGCCGGTTGCCTTTTTTTTTCCCGGGCCGGTTTCCACTTCCCCATCCACCCCTGCTCCTAGAATAAAAATATTTAAACTTTTATAGGGTGGCTCAAAACAGTGTGAGTGGATCGGAATGATTTTTTTAAATGGAACACCTTGTATATTATTGCACTTTTTGCTTCCTTTCAGATCACTTTACATAATCCTTAGATATGAGTAAATATATTTCGATAATTTCAGAGATATTAATAAATAAATAAAAAATACATATTTTTCCAACCCTCCTTGAACAAATTATTACAAATACAAGAACTGTCCTGAAATCAAACCTATATTAGGTATTTATATTAGATGGTTTATATTTACTTTGCTATAAATATTGAAATCTTAAATCATACAGGGTATTCAAAATTCTACGCCAAACTTTCTAAAATATAAAATAATTTTTCTTTGTTTTTTTTTTAAATGGAACACCTTTTATATTATCTTTTTATTAGATGAATAGTTAAAAAATTAACATTTTTTGTATTTAAAGTATTTCAAAATTTTCAACGGTAAAATATGACAGAAAAATCATTGGGTGGCTTTGATAAAAATTTACTGTGCCATATGAAATATAAAATTGCGAATATTAGCGATACCGTTAAAAATTTTGAAACAATCTAAGTACAAAAAATTTAAATTTTTTAATTATCCATGTATTGTAAAAATAATATACAAAGTGTTCCATTAAAAAAAACAAGAAAAATTATTTTATATTTTAGAAAGTTTGGCGTAGAATTTTGAACATCCTGTATGTTTTACGATTACCATTATTTATAGCAAAGTAAGTACAGACCAATTATAGCAAATACCTAGTATAGTTTTGATTTCAGTACATTTCTTGTATTTTTAATAATTTTTTTAAAAAAAGGTTGAAAAATATATATTTTTTATTTATTTGTTTTTTTTATATCTGGAACTATCGAAATATATTTACTCATATCTTAGGATTATGTGAAGTGATCCAAGGTGAAAGGAAGCCAAAACTGCAATATACAGGGTGTTCCATTAAAAAAAATCATCCCGATCCACTTACTTTTTTGAGCCAATCTATAGAAGTTGAAATATTTTCCTGAAATACATCCTCGTACATACTTTAGGTTTGCCTTTAAACAAAATTCGTTAAAAGGATAGACCGATTTTCTCGAATTTTAAATTACACCATTTAAAAATAATTTATACTCAATGTAAAAATAAATTACAACCTTCTTAAGGCCAACTGGCAATAAGCGCCATTAAGGAATAAAGAAGAGTACAGGCTAAGTAAATGACGTCTAGGGCTCGACCTCGCTAAAATTATTATCGATTGTCATTCCCCAGCCCTCTTTGAGGCCGTTTTTTTTTTCGGATCGTATGGTATGTATTTATGCATATTATATTAAGGTTCAATTAATATCTATTAGGGATCAGTATGAAGATGAACTAATTGAACGTATTATTATACCGCACATGACGCCGGTAGTTACTGATAGTAATGTTATTGTACGTACTGCGGTGATAAAAATGTTAACAGACATGTGTAGACTATGTGAAACTAAGCGCTGCTTAGAACTTTTAGATATTTTAGAGAAGGTATGTTAGTTTTTTTCTTAATTACAATTTTATAATAGTTACCATAAACTTTATTTTAGTTCTTAATTAGACCATTTGATCATCATCAACCCGATTTAGATTATCAAGATATTCAAGCTCTAATGACAGGTTTGACAGGAATATTTGTCCAAAAAATACACAAGCAGCCATCGTCTCACGCTATTAGAATATATGATATGCTTGTAATATTCTTAGAGAAGCATTATGAATATCCTCTGGTGTTTCAAAACAACTCAAAAATAAGATATATTGTATGTACGATTTTTTAAAGACGTTTGAAATTTCTTTTAATTTTGACTTCTAGGTTTTTGATTGCTTTTTGAAAATGAGAGCGGATTCATTATATCACCTTGGCTATCCTGAAGGAAATCGTCTTAAATTTAGTCAATATTTGTGTGTTGTGTATCATAATTCAATGATTAATTCGGCACCGCCGCAATCACCAGCAATTAATGCTCAACCAAACTGTTCAGTTTCATATGTATCACTTCGAAAGGCTTTTAAAATCATTATTAGTTGTCTTAAAAATGAAAAAGGTACATTATTATTTTAATATTCAAATACAATACTTATGTATGTTTAAATTTCGTAGACTGGGACGTTTTGAATTTAGTTTTAACGGGTATTACAAAAGGACTTCAAAATAAGTCACTCATTCTTGGAAAAGGCAACAATGAATTAGATTTATTGGTTAATGTTTTATGTTTGATGGTAAGTAATATATAAAAGTTACTTAAATATTGTAAAGAACAACTTTATAGTCAATATTTAGGTTCAGTCCAAGGTTCATTTATTTCAGTTCCTTTTTGATTGGACACCAATTAAATATACAGTGGGGTCCGAACAGTGGCGTGCATTACATATAGGCAAAAAAGCTTTGCCTACCCTTCCATTTAATCAAGACAGACGCAAAATAAAAATATACTTATCTGATCAATTTTCATTATATATCTACCTACAAATCCTACAATGCGACCTACATTGTTTTATTTTTCTAAATAGTAAGTTAATATTGTGTTTATTACGGTTGCAAAGCCGGAAACATCATACAAAACAAACGCCACCTGTTCAGTGTCTTATTATTACCTAAAAAACGCATCCCATTATTCGAAATCGAACGCACGGCCGCAACTTAACATTACATGGATATGGACGAGCAAAAGCAGTGCGTTACCGCAGCAGGCAGCACGGATGCACCCGATGTCTCGATGCCGCCGATACGGTATTGCCAGTTCCGATGTTATTACAGAACTATGTAAGAAACAGTCCATGTTATTTCATACGATAAATTTTAAATAACTGTGTTTTAGAAAGATTTGTATTATGCAGCAAATTAGAAATTTGCTTGTCTGTCATCTGTATTTGTTTCCAAATGATTTCATTTATTATTTTGTTTGACTGTAAAATCATTTTGGCTGTAAAATCATTTTTTAGGCAGTGACAATTGGCAATCTGGCAATATTGTATACGGTTATTGTTTTAGCTAATTCGCCAGTCGTTGAGTCGCCTATCGAGAAGAAATAATGATTGAATGATAGACAGATTATTCGTTTTGCATCTATAAATAATTAAATTTATTTGCTGTTATTTGAATTTTCTTTTGTTTGAGTTTAAAGTTAAAATACGTTAGACAGTAAATTTTATATACGTACATTGTATATATATATATTATGTAATACATAGTTTTTTTTAGTGTTTTCATATTTTTGATTCTGTTGCATACCCTACTGTAAATGGTACTGCACGCCACTGGGTTCGAATTGTATTCGCAGCATATTCTGCAGATAAAAATAAGTATAAAAGTTCTTATAAATGTATGTCGGAAAATACTTACTTTCGGAGATACAGGGTGTAGAAATTTCATTTTTATTTCTCTTTTTTTCCAAATAATTTCTGCATTAACGTAGCTATTTCTATGAAAACCTGATGGCGTCTGGGAGTTTTTTGACATGAGAAATTTGATTTTGATGTTAATATGACTTGTAGAAGGCGCCACATACATATTTTTTAACTGGTTTGAAGAGTAATAACTTTTTGTCCGTACCTGTATAAAACTACTGAGTAAGAAAATATACATCTCTGCCGTTTTTTACATAAAAACGGTTCTTTGGTAAAAATCACAAAGAGTAACGATTCTCGAGATATTTGGAATCGAAATAATCAATAACATGTCATCATTGAGATAAATTAAACATGTTGACTAGATAGGCATTAAGCCCCGTTCTCAGAACAACGTCGTGTCGCGGGCGACACAGTTTGACATTTTAAACAACCAATGGGAGCTGTACTAAATTTAAAATTGACAGCTGTTTGAATTTTGTACAAATCTTATTGGTTCTTTTGTCGTGTCGCTGGCGACAGTCGCAGTTCTGAGAACGAGGCTTTAGACTGAAATAATAAATTTGAAATGTTTTCAAATTTCTTATTTCAGTCTAATAATAATAAATTTGAAATGTTTTCAAATTTATTATTTAAAAAGAGTTTTTAAAAATTTTAAAAGGTTCAACAAATTTTTTTCGAAGAAGAATTTTTGATTAATTTAAAAAATAAAAAGTTAATTTATCATTTCAGTCAATACCCAACATGTTTATTTTTTGTCAATAATGACATGTATTGACAATTTCCATTCTAAATATTATCTTGAGAAAGGTTGCTCGTAGCGATTTTTACCAAGATACCTTTTTTAAGAAAAAAATTACTGTAATGTATATTTTTTCATCCAGTAGTTTTATACAGGTACGGACGAAAAATTATTACTCTTCAAAACAGTTAAAAAACATGTAAGTGGCGCACAGTGCTTTGAAGGATAGGGTTTGCGGACATAAATTAAATAAAGCATAAAAACGGATTTTTAAAAACATGTTTAATTAAGAAAAAATTTTGATTGTAAATAATAAATCAAATGAATTCAATCGTGAACGTAAACTAAATACGCACACTTACTCCATACCTAATGGAAAAAGAAAAAGGAAAAAGAAAAAGATGTCTTACCCAGCACACAGCATGGATTTCTTCCTGGTCGATCCATAATAACGAACATGACATTTTGTCTTAGCGACTGGACAGCAGCCTTTGATAGAAACCAACAAACAGACGTCATCTATCTTGACTTTGAAAAGGCATTTGATAAAGTACCCCCACAAGATGCTTCTTTATAAACTAAACCACTACGGCATAAGAGGGAATTTATTCTAGTGACCAGCGGTGTTCCTCAAGGCTCTGTGTTGGGCCCACTGTTGTTCCTCCTGTATATCAGCGATCTGGCAAGAGGCATAAAAACGAATATCATATTTTTTGCGGATGATACAAAGTTATATGCAAATCCCGAAACGAGCTACGTCAATCTTCAGCATGTTCTAAAGTTGGTGGAATCCTGGGCCAAACAATGGAGAATGAAACTGAATGAGGACAAATGCACTGTTCTTAGCATTGGAATGAATTGTACGCACAAAACCTACACCCTAAATGAATTAAGTCTAAGACATGTAGAACAACAGGATGATCTAGGGATTACAGTTACTGGAAACCTAAAATGGTATATGCATATATCAAAGATTACTAAAAAAGCAAATTCTCTTTATTTCATTCAAAGAGCATTTCAAGACCGCTCTATTGATCTTATTTTAAAGATATACAAGTCCTATATTAGACCCAAAATAGAATATGGTCAAATAATATGGAGTCCCTATTTTCAGAAGGATATTGATCTCATCGAGAAAATTCAACGCAAGGTGACAAAAATGCCCCATGAACTTAAGGATCTGGATGAAGATCGTCTTGCGATGTTAAATCTCACCACATTAAAACAGAGGCGTTTGCGGGGGGACTTGATAGAGACTTACAAAATTCTAAATTGTTTCTACACTTGCCCATTAAATATATACCATCCTTGCCAAACTCCACAACTTAGAGGCCACAGCAGACGCCTGGAAAAGGAAAGATCGTCCAAATTCCAGCGAAAATTTTTTTTGACTAACCGCATAGTGTACCCGTGGAACTCGCTGTCAGAAGAAAGTGTTTCAGTACCAACTCTCAACTCATTTAAAAACAAAATTGATCAAGAAATGAATACCTTGAGTTCTGTACATTTGCATTACGGCCAGTAAACTCGAAAAAATGACGCGCAACATAAAAAGACAATAGACTCATCGGTATTTTTATACCGCTTTCTATTGTGTAAATAATAATAATAATATATATAATACAGCAAGGCCTTTGACTCGGTCCCTCATGACTGGTTACTTAGAGTTCTGGACATCTATAAAGTGTGCCCCCGAATTATAAATACGCTCGGACACCTAATGCGACAGTGGCGAACTGACCTTAAGTTGTCAAGCCGACATATCGGTACAGTACGAATCAAAAGGGGCATTTTCCAGGGGGATTCACTTTCACCACTCTGGTTTTGTCTGGCAATGAACCCTATGTCAACACTGCTTAACCACACAACCGCCGGTTACAAGATCGACCAAGGAAACGGAAAGAGACTGAACCATCTATTGTACATGGACGACCTGAAGCTGTATGGGGAAACACCGAGTAAACTCAACTATTTAATAGAAACTGTTCAAGTCTTCAGCAGGGACATACGTATGTCCTTTGGCTTTGACAAATGTGCTACTGTCAACATCAAAAGGGGTAAAATTGAAGATCGGCAATATAATATAAACGCTTGGGCAATACCGGTGTTAACTTATTCCTTTGGAGTGGTCAAGTGGTCAAATACCGACCTTGAAGATCTCGATCGCCTTACCCGTAGACAATTAACAAAATTTAGAATTCTGCATACAAACTCATCTGTATATAGGCTGTATGTTTCTCGTAGGATGGGTGGGAGAGGCCTGCTAAACATAAAAGATCTATGCCTAAAACAGGAAAATGGCATGAGGCAGCGATTTATGTCCTCCAACTGTGCAATAATGAGGCTAATCGTGGCTCAGGATAAAGGTTACACTCCTCTCAATTTAAGTTGCCGTAACCGGATTGACAAACCCATCTCGATAGAGGAGCGTGTTGCAGGATGGAAAAACGGCGCTCTGCATGGCAGGTATCCAAAGTCGCTTCAGTCTGAGGGGGTCGACCTTCATTCGTCATTGGCCTGGCTTAAAGACGGAAAATTGTTTCCTGAGACCGAAGGTTTCATGATGGCCATCCAGGACGGAGTTATGAGGACCAGAGACTATGAAAAGAATATTTTAAAACAAGACGTAGTTGATGTATGTAGAAAATGCTCTATTAGAGGGGAGACAATAGAACATATCACGTCTGGTTGCTCTACCTTAGCAGATAATGTGTATCTTGGACGTCATAATCAACTTGCCAAAATTATTCATCAACAATTTGCCATAAAATCAGAACTCTTGAGCAAAACATCACCTCCCTACTACAAGCTGGAAAAACTCCCCGCAACCCGTCCTGGAATCTAGGGATGCTGTTTTATATTGGGACAGACCAATTATAACCGATCGGACAGTGGACCACAATAGACCCGACATTCTTTTTATCGATAAGATCAATAAAACGGGCATTATAATTGACATAGCAGTACCATTATCCCGCAGGATTAAACAGACGGAAACAGATAAAATAACAAAATACGAAAATTTATCATATGATTTAAAAAACGTGTGGAATCTTAAGACCGTAAAGATCTTACCGTTCGTAATTTCGGTGGAGGGAATTATCAGCACAGAATTCCAAAAAAATCTAAAAGAGATTAATTTACCATGCTCAATTGCAAAAGTAGGACAACGAGCTGTATTCTTGCAGACTTGTCACATCGTCCGAAAATTCTTGAACTAGCTGGGAGGAGCCAAAAGCTTTTTCAGTTAGTCAGCTAAACCGCAAAGGTCCACATTATTTAATAAAACTGAAAGTACAAGATGTTTGGCATAGAACTCAATAAAAGTTTAATCAAAGTTAATTACAACAAAAAACTAGATTATTTTCAGTCATTTTTTACTGTCGAATAACTTCGTACCCAAAAATAAAATTGTATATTTCATAATGTACAAATATAATACATACATTAGTTAGCTTCCATGGCAGGTTTAGTTTTTTTTAATGAAAAAGCACTTGTTGGTACGATTCGTTTTAATCACAGTAAACGATTGATAAGACAATTTTATTTCTTCTACATTTTTATCATTTTTCGTAATGTTTTGTAACGATATCGAGTCTCCTAACAATAAAAGTAATCCTGTTTGTGGTATTTCGATTCTTTATCTCTGATATGGGAGCAAAAAAAAATTCTTTGCACGCAGAATTTTGATTATTGTCCATAGGCGAAGCATTGTGTGGCGCCCCCTACAATTAGGAGTCATATTTACAGTGAAATCAGGTTTCTCATGTCAAAAAATACCAGTCACCTATTTTTTTCCAGATATTGTAGTCGATATCTCAGAAATTATTTGGAAAAACCGAAATAAAAACGAAACTTAACACCCTGTATCCATGGGCGAAGTTAGGGGGGGGGCTTGGGGGTGCTAAGCCCCCCAATTCCTGACTTAGCCCCCCTCCCCCAGACCGAACTAGCCTATACACAACAAATAATTGAACATTATTGGTACTCAGACAAAACCAAAGATAAAAAATACTTTTCTGATTTGATCTGTAAAAATTGTATAATTTTTAGTTTCGACTCAGTAGCGAATGCGAAATTAAAGCGAAATTGGCAACCAGGCGTAACGGGAATTATGCCGATAAAGAGAGAAGCCACCTTTTGTATTTAAAAATCGGAACAGCACTGGTGAAACATTTTTTCTTAAATGTAAAATTTTATGTGCCTATCGGATTTTTAAACAATATTCGAAATTTATAAATAATTATGTAAAAATAAAAAATAATTTAGTTATTTATACAACAAGAAACAGCATACAATATTCAGACAAGAAAATTATATTTTAATTATATTATTATCTATTTATTTTACCCTAGAACAGGTATTGGGGGTCCAAATACCTTTTTTAATAAAGTTTTTATACCCTTTATGAAAAAATGTAGCCTAATTGGAGCGTGGCATCCCAAACATTTTTTGCATTCGGCGCTATTTTTGTGATTACGGCAACCTTCCGCTTCTTCAGTTTTGTAATAATAAGTTTCATAATAGGGGCTTTAGCCCCCTCAGATCCAACGACCTAACTTCGCCCATGCCTCTATCTCCGACAATAAGCATTTTAAGACATTCATTTATACGATTTTTTTTACTTATTTTTATCTGCAGAATATGCTGCTGAACATTCCCGAATACAATTTAGACCACCATTTTTTGGACCACACTGTATATTATTATTTATTATATTAAAACTTCATATTTATCGATTTGCTTCACATATAATTTATTATAATATGCTATTGGAACTTCTGTACCATATACATGATTATACATATTTTTTACTGGGTGCTTTAAATCTATGGCCCTACTTTTGGTTATCCCTATATTCTGGCTCCTAAGGGCGATGCAGGACCAGAATTTGAGCACAAATTGAGTTTATTATTTAGTAAATTGAAACTGAACCCCTTTATTGACAATAAGTAATAAACTTTAGATTTATTTATTTTATATTTTTAGGTGTCTGATCGAAGCATGAACCTTCCTGAATCATTAAATGTGAAAATGAGCAAACCTGATTTTCACTCTATTGTATCTCTGGTTTTGGTAAATTTAGCATCTTATCACTCATACCTCGACAACAATAGTCAACAGAAAATGATTAGGACAATAATGAAGTGTATTCAAAGCGCCCCGAAAAGTTCTAAACCCTGTATATCTGCTTTAACAATTTGCACGTTAGAAATGAAAGATGTTATGGTAAAAATTTTACCTGAAGTTTTGCTTAGCTTGTCGAAAATGTCGCCTACAAATCACATTGCCGTGCCAGTGTTGGAGTTTTTATCGAGTAAGTTGTTCGTATTAAGAATTCTATTCAGTTATTAAAATTTTTATTTTAGCGATGACACAGCTTCCTATGATATATTCGAATTTCGTGGCAGATCAGTATATGTCGGTTTTTGCAGTAGCCTTATCATATACCAATCCTTTTAAATACAATCATTACATTGTATCTTTGGCGCATCATGTTATAGCAGTCTGGTTTTTAAAATGCAGACTGACATTCCGGAGAGATTTCGTTAGTTTTATTATCCAAGTACGTACTTATTATTATTAATACTCTTTGAATAAGAAGACTAAGGAAGGAGCATGATGCTATCCATGTATTCATGCATGGTGGGCGGAAAAAGCGCCATAAAAGCACTCTAGGGTGGGGATCCTTGACAGTTCTATTTGACGATTCATTTGACACATTTGAATTTGATTTTAAATTTTGTGGATTTGTCAGTCTTTAAGGAGCTTATTTTATGTTATTTATTATTTATTCTACTACTGATATGAGTTGTATAAAGGTAGTAAATCTAGATGGAAATTGTGGCAGCACTTAAATTAACAGTGACACTATCGCGATTTATCGAAAAAGACTCTAAAATAGTTGGTTGTGTAGCGTGCGGTAGATCTCGGCAAAAATTGAGTGAAATAATGGAACAACTTTTCGCTAGTAAGTGACTATATAATATACATACGTGTAGTAAACCGATCATTTATGAAATTCACTTAAATTAACTAAATTCTATATTTTTCTTGCATTTTAGCTTTTATTTATTACTTGTCAAACATTAGATGTCAAAGAATTTAGATACGTTAATTTGACTTACCTGCTTCAGTAGCGTATCGGATGTTTGTGGTAATAAATACTTATTATAACTTATCTATTTTTATTAGAATTATATATTTTTATAACAATTTTAATAACTACCAACATTTATTCACAACGTAAAATAAAACAACAAATTATTGAGTCTACCCCACGTCTACTCTACATCATAGTTTTACATTTTTTAAATAAAATTAGAACGACACTGATAAACCGGAATTTAAGTCGGCCATATTTGAGGCCCATCGCGGTGTACCTAAGATTTTTGATATGCTCCTTCCTTAGTCTTCTTTTTCACAGTTAATACTATATAATTGATACTATATCGGGTGCGCCTCAAAAGTGACTCACTCCTATAACTTTTTTATAAAAAAAAACGAGATTTAGTATGTTAGTATATGACATAAATTAGGATTGATTGACGTATTCAATTGTTTTTGGTCACTTTCTGTTTCATCGGAAACGACTAAAACTTTTTATTTTTAAATGGCACCCTCAGTATTTTTTTACTTTATTCAATAGAAAATAACACTCTGAATAAAATGACACATTATCATATGTCAACTTTTGACATTCTTACTTTTAAAAAAATTGTATTTTAAATTTCTATCTAGAGTGCCGTGGCTGTGTTAAAAACACTAATTTTCAATCAAGGAGCCTTGGAAAAATATATTTGATCATCTAGTTTTTCGTATCTTGTCCTGGCCGGTTAAAAGATGCCCAAATCGTATTTTTAATTATATCTCAATTTTTTTAAATGGAACGAGGGTGGCTTATTAGCATATTTGGAAAAACATTTTTTTACGAATAATTTGGTACCACACACTTGGTATTTCGAGTCAAATTGTCCTTATATCGAAAATATCAAAAGTTGACAATGATAAGTCATTCTATTTAGAGTCATTTTCTATCGAATAAAGTAAAAAATACCGAGAGTGCCATTTAAAAATGAAAATTTGTAGTAATTTCCGGTGAAACAGGAAGCGACAGAAAAGAATTGAATACATCAATCAATCCTAATTTATGTCATATACTAACATACTAAATCTCGTTTTTTATCTAAAAATATAAAAAAAGTTATAGGGGTAAGCCACTTTTGAGACGCACCCGGTATAAAGAGATCAAAGTTAAAAAACAAAAGAGTGACAGTGTTAAAAAACTTATTTCATTACAAAATTTTTCATGGAAACCTTAAAAGATTCTATTTGTATCCTTATATCTTTAGATGTATATTATTATGTAATTAAAAATATATTTGAAGGGACTAAAAGCAAACCTCCAGCCTTTTGAGGAAACCTTCTTTTTAAGACAAGACTTGCCAAGCCTCAATCAGGACAGTTCTGATAGGAAGCGTAGTTCCAGTTTAACAGAGCAAGGTATGGAATATAATTATTGATTTTTTTATTGGTTAAGATCAGCGACGATTTGTTGAAAGTTTTGAAAGGTGGACATAAAAACATTTTTGTACATAAAGTTCTTTCTCCTAATTTTTGGATTGCTCACGGGCTGTTGTGTTCTATAGTGCCACCATCCGCCACTAGGTTTATTCGACAAGTTGATTATTCGACAAGTTTTAGTATGAGGGGAGTACATTATTTCTCTCTCTCTCTCTCTCTAGAAACAAACTTTTTGAAGATTATAAATTTTGTCTTATTGCCATTTTCATTCAATCTTTCTTAGAAATATACAGGGTGTCCCAATATTCCGTGGACAAGTAGTTTTGGAACCAAAATAAGTTCATTGGACACAATTTACCTCTATACAAAAGTGCTTCGTTAGTCCGCTAGAGGGTTAAAAGAGATGGTAAGGGGGTTTAGGGGGAAAACACATTTTTTCACAGAACCGTTGTTCCAATTTGAATGAGATTTTAGGTGTATATATTTTGGTAAGTGCTTTAACATTTGACATTCACAAAAAGCAAGAAAAAATACGATAAGGGTGAATACTACTCCCCTTCTACATAACATTTAGTATAAATATTTTTCAACTCAACCGACGACCGATTTTTTTCGTAAAATGGTCCTTCTAGTATTTATTACTAGTGATGGGATAACTCGAGCGAAGATTCGCTCGAGTACTCGATTATTGAAATAACCGACATCGCTCGATTATGAATGAGCGATGCAAGTGACGAGTACCAAGCGACGAACGCAAGCGATCCTAAAATGAAATAAATTGAAATCCGATTTTAATGTGACATACTCGATAAAAAGCCGAGCGAATTTTCTACATACATTGCAGGTAGCAAATTTATACGACGCTGTATATACCGGGTGTGTCTCAAAAGTGCCCACCCCTTTTTTATTTTTTTAGATAAAAAATGAGATTTGGTATGTTATTATATATGACATAAATTAGGATTGATTTACGTATTCAATTGTTTTCGGTCACTTCCTGTTTCACCGGAAATGACTACTAGTACCCTCGGTATTTTTTTTACTTTATTCGATAGAAAATCACATTTTAAATAGAATGACGTATCATATGTCAACTTTTGACATATTCGCTCAAAAATAAATTGTATTTTAAATTTCAATCTAGAGTGCCATGGCTGTGTTAAAAACACTAATTTTTAATCAAGGAGCCTTGGAAAAATAGATTTGATCGTCTAATGTGTTTAGTGTCTTGCCCTGGCCGGTTTAAAAGACACCCAAATCGTATCATGATCATATCATATATCATAATCATATTATATATCATAATCGTATTTTGATCATATCTCAATTTTTTTCAAATGGAACGAGGGTGGCTCATTAGCATATTTCAAAAAAGAATTTTTTTACGAATAACTTGATACCACACACTTGGTACTTTGAGTCAAATTGTCGTTATGAACCGCATGTTACAATTTCAAATAAACCATATGCGAAAATGTCAAAAGTTGACATGTGATATGTCATTCTATTCCGAGTGTCATTTTCTACCGAATAAAGTAAAAAAATACCGAGGGTGCCATTTAAAAATCAAAAGTTGTAATCATATCCGATGAAAACAATTGAATATGTCAATCAATCCTAATTTATGTCATATACTAACATACCAAATCTCGTTATTTTATCTGAAATAAATAAAAAAGTTATAGGGGTGATCCATTTTTCAGACGCACCCAGTATATTTATCCGTTGCGTATCTGAGGGACAAAATTTTACGACCTACATCGACAATGCTTCGAAATAAACTAAATCAAGCGATCAAGCGAACCGCTCGCCGCTTACTACTTGCCGTTCATTACCGAAAGAATATGTGCCCTGCGCACGCAACTTACTGCTTGCCGCTTGGCGTTAACGAGTACTTACAACATGCGACGGATGAAAACCGTATTTTTAAATACGAGTGATATTTCCCTCGAGTGATCACTCGGTTATTGCAATCTTATGATACTCGAGTACTCGATTATTGAAATTAATCGGTTTTTCCCATCACTATTTATTACATTTTTTTGTCTCTTGTGAAAAAACGCCACCTCGCATAGTTTGGTTTGCTGAGAAAAAAAATATTTTTCGGAAGCTGACTTTCAAAAAATGTATTTTGTCACATCAAGCAATGTATCCAAAAAATGTATTTTGTCACATCAAGCAATGGAAGCGCATAAAATCTGTTGTGCTCTAATCATCTAGTTGGTGAAAATAGGGAATTTTATGTTAGTATCACAAATTACATTTGACAGTAAGCTTCATATGTGTAAAAAAAATACTACATTTTAAATTAATTAACTTTCAGGTTTATTTTTTATTGATGCCCTCTAATGGACCAACGAAGCACTTTTTTATAAACGTAAATTATGTGTAATTAACTTATTTCGATTTAAAAAATACGTAGTTCTATGGGAACGAATTATTTTAACTCTCTGTATATTTTGTAGGCCTGCTTTGGAAAAATAAATTCTCCAAAAAATGTTTTCTCAAAAACTATGTGATGTGGCGTTTTTTTTTATTAGATACAAAAAATGTAGTAAATACTAGAGGTACGATTTTACGAAAAGAAAATTTGTCGTCGGTGGAGTTGGAAAAATATTTATACTAAAATTTATGTAGGGGTGGGGGTATTCTTCACCCGTCCCGTACTTTTTCGTGATTTTTGTGAAAGTCAAATGTTAAAGCCTTTAACAAAACATAGACACCCAAAATCTTATTAAAATCGGAATAACGGTTCTTAAAATATCTGAAAAAAATGTGTTTATTTTTTTAAAGTTTGATGCCCTCTAGCGGACAAACGAAGCACTTATATCGCATAGAGGTAAATTGTGTCTAATTTTTTTTATGATTTATTAGCAATCAGAATATTTGCAAGGAAATTCTATGGGCTAATTTGATGACTTGAGAGCAATGACGCTCCAGTTAACGTGATGAGGTCTTCTCCAGTGAAAAATCCTCCTTAATGTTCTTTCAAATCAGATGGCCATTGTCTTTTAGGTCTTCTCGTAGGTACTGATTCAAGTAGAGGCTGAAGTAAGGTATTGGTGTGATCCTGTAGTCTATTGAAATATTTTTTGCTCCGATTTTGGATGACTTCTTTGATGTACGGAATTTTTAAGTCTTCATGTAGAGTATGATTGGAGACATACCATGGTGCGTCTGTTATAATCCGTAGAATTTTAGATTGGCTCCTTTGTATTATGGCTATATTTGATTTACTAGCGCATCCCCATAGTTCTGCTCCATATGTCCAAATAGGTATTATTATGGTTTTGTATAAAATAAGTTATTCTCTAGCGATAGTTTAGATCTTCCCATTAACCAATATAAGTCTTTTATTTTTAAATCTATTTGCTTACGGTTCTTTACTATGTGTTCTTTCCAGGTAAGCTTAGTATCCAAATGCATGCCTAAGTACTTGGTAGAGGAAGACTGCGGAATTAGTAAAAGTTACTTGGGCCGATTTTGATGGATTAATGTTTATTTTCCAATCACGTAACAATGCCTCTATTACATTTAGATGTCTTTGTAATATCAAGGAAGCTTTTTCCGGCTTTTTGTTGACAGCCATAATTACTGTGTCATCTGCAAAATTAGCCGTTGTTGTTTCATTGTTTGTTGGAAAGTCTGCTGTAAAAAGGACATAGAGTAGTGGTCCTATGACACTACCTTGTGGAACACCTGCATTTATGCTATAATTTTAAGAGTTTTCCTGAAAATTGTGTCTAATGAACTTATTTTGATTCCAAAAATATTGTGACACCCTGTATAAGATTAATTTTACAGAATTATTAAATATAATTTTGGTACTAGGTTCAAGACGTCGAGACGAGAGAATCATGGCTGTTAGAATGGATAAAGGTGCTATTAAAAAAAACCATCCACCCAACAAATCGCTTGTCACTTTCTATGAAGAGCTGAATGAAACTTGTATTGATCTGATGGCAAGATATGCGTATTCACCTTGTAGTGCTAAACCAAAGAGGTAAGAAGTAATCTTCGTAGCTTTTTGTTTATTTTATTTAATATATTATGATGACACAACAGTGGCCTTCTCATCTGACTCATCTGACTCATTGGAGGGTACCATTGAGGGGAGTGAGGTAGTGCGGGGCCATTTTGAGGCATGGTTTTGTGCCAATAGGTTGCTCCTGAATCCTGACAAAACCAATAGGATGGTTTTCTCTCTTAGGGACTTAGAAACAGCAAACGCAGATGTCCAGAGTATTAGGTTTCTGGGAGTGCAGATTGATCCTCTGCTTCGGTGGCATGAGCATGTTGATGGGGTTGCGTCTAGGCTTAGAAGGGGATTGTTTGCTCTGCGTCGCCTTTCAGGAAGTGTTTCCGGGCTTGTACTGAGGACTGCATACTTTGCTTTGTTCCACTCGATTTTGTCCTATGCTATTCTCGCCTGGGGACATACAGCCCAACTAAAGAGGATCTGCGGCTTACAAAGGGCGGCTGTGCGAGTCTTGGCTGGGCTTGGCTATCGGGCCGACTGTGGAGAGGCATTCAGGGCTGTGGGTGTGTTGACTGTCCCGTCAGTGTATATAATGGAAAATGTCCTTTATGTAAAAAAGAACCGAGACATATAGGGTCCATGGAGAAGTCCATCGCCATGAGACAAGGGGTAGGGATAGGCTTGTGCCAATCTACCACCGATTGACTAGGTGCCAAGGTGGACCTGGGTACCTGGCAGTTAAATTTTATAATAAATTACCCAAGGAAATTGCGAACATGCCCCTCTTGCGGTTTAAGACTGAGGTTAAGGACCTGCAGATGCGGTATTCCTGTTATTCTTTCAAGGAATTTTTAAATATTAGATTTTAGTGTTTTTAGGTTAATTGTTGATGCCATTATTCTATTTAGTGTTTTAGTGTTTTAATGTCTATATACAATTATTTTTAACTTAGTACTAGTAACTTATTTATGTTTTTAAGCTTGATTTTTTCTTTTTTTATTATCCTGTGTAATGTAACCTGTGTAAATACTATTGTATGGCAACACCAATAAATGAATTTGAATTTGAATTTGAATATTTTTTCAGGCTTCCTGGAGCCGAATTTCTTCTAAGCGGAGGACAGTCAGTAACGTGGTTGGTGGGGAATAAACTGGTTACAGTTACTACAAGTGGATGTTCGCAAAAAACGTTAAAACAAGGTCTTTGTGATAAATGCTGGAGTATGTGTAATACACGAAATGAAAGCCGGTTACTGCCAACAGGAAGTGGCAGTACTGAACCAAGTCGACAGAATTCTAACGAGAAATCTAATAATTCAGTAAATTCGCCTCAGGAAGAGGGCGGCAGATTTGGTGAAGAAATAGTGACTACAAAACTGCAAGAAATGTTCCAGACTGAAGAAACCAAAGAAGAAAAATACACCTGTGCTTGTTGGTGTCAGAGTTGGGCTGAAATTTACATTAGGAGACCAACAGGTTAACATTCTTATTCTACCTGTAGAGATTTATAGAAATTTTAAAACATTTTCTGATGCACGTTATCAACTTTGAGTGACAAGCGATAGCGACAGCGCTGCCAGATTGTGATGAATTTATGAGATGAATCTTAATTTAAAAGTGACAAACAATATATATTTAGTATGTCATTTTTATACAGACCGGACCACCGTAGTAGTAACATAGGCAGAACCGGACGAATTAGCGTATACCCGTCCGCCGGATAAAAAGCGGGCGAAAAAATGCGATAAAATAAAAATAGGTAGATATGTGATAAGAATGTTTCAGAATTTGTATTTATTCGTGTTTTAATAGCCAAAACGAATACATAGATTCTCGCGACAGTTCTCGTGTAAAATTTATTTTTTAAGTAAAATAATGGATGTTTACGAAGTTCGTGAGAACATTCAAATTGTAAAATGGTATTTCCAAAATAGGTCTTATCGGGATATACAAACAATTTTTCCACAAACTTTTGTAAACAGGCCAATTTCATGTTTACCTACTGTATCAAGAGTTATTAATAATTTTGAGACATGGGTGCGTGTTACCACAAAAACACAAAAAGCCTGATGTGTTGATTAATGAAGAACAGGAGTTAAAGCAAGTGTTCATTTGTGCTACCGCGGATCAAAATCCCACGTTTTCAAATAATCAAATTGCTGAGGTGGTTGTCCTGCCCACAATGCCCGTATTGTTCAAGAATATTTGAACAATACTTTTCCCAACCGTTTAATTAGTAGACATGGAACTATTTTGTGGCCCGCTAGATCACCAGATCTTTCTCCCAATGATTTATTTTTGTGGGGTTATGTAAAATCCAAAGTGTATGGTCATAATAGGGCCAATAATCTGGATGAGCTTCAAGTAAAAATACGAGAGGCTTTCCAAACTATTAGCCCTAATATGTTAGCCAATGTCAGACGGGGATTTTACGACCGCCTAGGCTTCTGTCTAGCACAAGAAGATGGTCTTGTTGAACACTTGTTATAACTTTTTTTATTTAGAGTAATATTTTAGTTTTTTTTGGGTTTAGAGAATTTATTTATTTTTAGTTTTGGCTTGTAAACACACTCAAATAATAAATATTTAAGTATTTTCATTTTAAATGTTACCTTAAGTGAAAGTAAACACTTAAAATGAAAATAATACATACTCGGCACTCCTCGCGTCGTATTCCTAGTCTGTCACGACCGACCCGTCCAAGCACAACTGCCTGACCAGCCGACTAGCCGGCAGTGAATCTCGAGTACGAACGCAAAACGGGTAAACGTAAATTCGTCCGGCAACTTACTATGTTACTAGTAGCCTGGTCTTCTCTGTATAATTTTTTAAGGCAGCAGCTACCGGAGCTACCCGCTACAAATTAAAATAAGTAAAAATAACTTGAAAGTTAAATAATAATGTGCTTACCAATCAATCTTACTTCTCTAACTGCATTCAAGGGTAATAAAGGACCTTTATTGTCACGTTCGCGCCCAAAATATTTTTTCAGGGAAGCTACAAGCGCTTTGCTTTGATTGTTTAAAGGCTTCGGCATATTTTCAATCCACAATTTCAAAAAATGCAGTAAAAAATCTTGAAAATCTAGTTCTTAAAAGAACATTTCGTGCTTAGAAGTACAATTTAAGAAAAAAAAACTATGAAAAACGGCAAAAAACGAGAATTACTCCCTAATTAATTACTAGGATAATTGTCAAATAATACACGACAACATTGCTGAACATAGCGCAATGTGACCAATAAGGCGATGATAAAAATCGGTTTAAACTAATTTTTGCAGCTTTAATCTAAATCAAATATCTGTTACAATCATTTGCTCTATAAAGTATAATAAAGAGCTGCTTGGTATTTTAATTTAGTCAACAAATTTAAACATTTTTGCTAATGTTTCATGTAGTCAGGTTTATAGACTTTAGTGTCAATTTCGATGTGATTAATGACGTGCATCGGAAAATGTTTTAAAATTTCTATATTAAATTACTAGTTGAAGCCTGGCGCATCCGCCACAACATCAGGAAAAAAAAATACTTTTTATTTTTTTTTAATTAAATGAAAAACAAAAAATCCGGCGACGAGAGTTTTTTTAGAAGAGTTTATTAGAGTTTTTTAAAAGAACCAATTAGCTATCTTTTAGTAAAAAAGCAACTTTCTAGAGCAAGTCGTTACTTCAGTAGAGACGACACAGAAAAACATTAGCATTTTATATATGTAGATGTAGATATTTTTATTTTTTAGGCGATATGTCTTGGGTCATGAGAATTCAAAACGATTTGACATTTTCACATGCTACTTATGATTTTCCTTTAAACGAAACCTCTAAATTATATATGCCATCACAATATGTAGAACCTCAGAGACCTCTGTTAGTTAGGCAAGATACGTTTGATGATAATCATAGTACCCATGAAGATGATAAAGCTAGTGGTCAAGGTAAACAATAACTTTGTTTTGAAATGTTATAATTCTTTTTCTACTTTAGCATCGCCCAGACAAATACCTTCTAGACAAAATTCTCAAGACAGTATTGAAGAAGAAAACGAAGAAATAATATATGAGGACGGTACAAGATCAAGAAATCCAGTTAAAAGGTCCAATTCAAGTCCAGAAATGTCAGCAGGTAAAAAACCAATAGCAAAATAACGTTTTGTTAGTGATTATAATTTTATAGGTTGGAAAAATCCATTCTATAAAATGGGATCATCATCGGGTTCTTCAGAGAGTGATAGTACTGATGATAAGAAAGGCAAGATGTATTCAAAGGATATGAGAGTTAGTTGTGAAGCAATACCCGAGGAAATAGCTGGTAAGACATGCTGAAAAACATAACAGTATAAGTGGTACAGAGTGGTAATAGGCTTGGTGCATTTCAGTTCGTTTTAAGACCGCAGCGCTCGACACGGCAGAAATTATAAGTGCCGGGTATAAAGTATTTCACGCTGTCCCGTTACCGTTTATGGCAATCGCATTGAAATAGTATTAAAATCGTAGCGTTGTCATAATATTTAAGTATTTTATTTTTTACTAGTGCAGTTATTGAAACTATAAAACACTGAGGTACGAGGTTTATTGTGTTGTAGCGCTGTTTTGGGTAGTAAAAATTACGTGAAAAAGAACCCGAACTAGGAGTTGTGTTGTGTTGTGACAATATCAAATGTTAATAAAAATGCCGAAAAAATATTAACGCGTAAAGGAGAGCGTAATTAACGTGCTGTTGGGTGCAACAACATGAAATAACTCAACTTTCCCGGATATTCAACTCTCCCGAAACAACATTTTATAGCTTCACAGCTTTTCACACCGATTTGATCAAAAGCAAAAATGGATTAAAGCAGTTCGACGAAACAAGTGAGTAAACGAAGTGCTCATTACATAATTACATACAAAAAATTATATAGGTATATTACTATGAGATGATAAAATTTAATTTGCAATATTAATGGTAAACTTTTTTTAATAAACTAGTGCTTAAATTTTTTATGAACATCTAAAATTATAATTATGTACCTTTAAAAAATTTCATTATAGCCGTAGTAGTCCGGCTGTTAATCTATCCCACTAACAAAACCGGTGCGTAAAACCAAATGGTAAAACTATACTCGCTACCGTAGTTGAACTCATCTAAAAAGTTTTTTTAGCTGGAATAATAAATTATAATACAAGTTAGACCTTCTGAAGATATCAGAATAGTTACTTTTTTATTTATATTTTTAAAATTTTCACAAATTATGCTTCCTAACACTTTTAGAATAGGATAATAAATTTTTCGTATACTACCTATTTAAACCTGTGTATTTGTATATGCCCATTGTTTACGATATTCTCCGATGGTGGCAGCACCGGCAGAAAATGCACCAAGTTTATAGCTATCTCCATCATCGTTACATTCTAATTTGCGAAATCACAAAAAGCATCAGAAATGCCAAATTTTTACACTAGTTGATTTTTTTTAAATTGCATGCTCTGCTGATTCTTCACTTAAATAGGGAATTTTATTAGATTTTCAAGTAGGTAGGTATTTTCTTTAGTGATTTTAGAGATATAATGATTTTAATATACAATATTTTTACAATATATATATATATATATATAGTGAGTGTTATATAAATGTTTGATTTAAAAAAATGGTCAAGTGCGAGTCGGACTCGCGCACGAAGGGTTCCGTACCGTTCATTATCTATACAACATTAGACACTATATTATATTATTATAAACTTTTTTTCCGATTTAGCTGAAATTTTGAATGCGCGTATAAGTAATTTAAAAAAAAATGAAGAAACACATTACTAAAAATTGTATTAATCAATAATAAATATGTAAAAAGTAAAAAATAAATATGTAAAAATATGTAAAAATAAAAAAAAATGATTAAAAAAAAGTCGCCTTGATTAGGATTCGAACCTGCCTTACTACGGCTCCAACAACGTCATAGCAGCGTAAAGTCCTAACGCTTTAACCATGCCACCGAGGACTTGAAAGATTCTATGTAAAATTCTTATTTAAAAGATAATGTTTAGTGAAAGTACTTTTTTTATTTATAAACATTTATTTAATTCTTTTTTTAGTATTTGTTCTTATAGCGGCAACATAGATACATTCTATAAAAATTTCAACTGTCTAGCTATAACGGTTCATAAGATAGAGCTTTGTGACAGACGGACGGACGGACGGACAGCGGACAGCGAAGTCTTAGTAATAGGGTTCCCGTTTTTACCCTTTGGGTACGGAACCCTAAAAATACGTATATTCCATTAAGCGTTGAAAAATTATTAAATTTTGCGAATTCCATGGTTACCTTAAACCGAGTCACCTTTTCTTTATCTCTTAAACCACTAAAGAAAATACCAGCCACCAGTATATTTTTGAAATGAGAAAATAATTGTTCATTTAACTGAAGAATCAGATATAAGGTCTTCAATTTAAGAATGCAATTTATGTCACAAATTGACAGTTCAGATGACTTTTTCTTAACTTTGAAAAAAAATAGAATATGGCGATTTAGATGATATTCTAAAACTTTCACAATTTAATGTTATTTCTAAAATTAGTATTTTTTGTTCGCCACTGGGCGGTCACTGTAGTCAGCTTTCTGTCCAATTAAAGTATTTGTTTCCGTGCATTTTTAACCCACTGACTTTTTACATAAAACATAAATATTATGATTTTTAAAGGCCCCTCACATTGGCGCAAAAATTACACAGTTGCAGCTATGCTCCTCGAAAATATATAGTGACATATGCGATCTTCTGCGCCAGTGTGGGAAACGATAGGAATTATAACAAAGTATACTAACCACCAGATTTTTGAGAATGTGTATGTATATAGGCACAACTCCACCCCAGTCTGATATCATTTATCAGCCGTCAGCATCAGCGGCGTCTAGCCATCCATCTTTACTAAGCTATCATAGCTATCCTGGATCTTCCTTGCCGAGCGAATCGAATATCGCATCTAAACTTTATCAAACCGTCCCACCGTCTCCTGCAGTATCTGCGAACGCCCATCCTCAACTGGAATTTCCAAAAAGACCAATGGCATTGCCCAACGTGAGTGGACTACAACCTTTGGCCTGCAAACCACCGCAGAGTCCTACACAAACCAGCCCTAGAATGTCAAGACACATTACTCTTGGTAGAAGTAAGCAAGTTTAATAATAAGGATAAAACCATTAGTAACAGCAACAAATATTTAAAAATCACAATATCCATTTTTATGTAAAAAGCCACTGGATGTAGAACGCACACAGAGACAAATTTTCCAGTGGCTCTTTACTGAATACACATTTGTCTAAATTTTAGGAAGATTAAAAAAGTTTTTACTCTTCGGAAAAAAAAAATTGACATGAAAATAAACTGTAGTAAACGCCACGAATGGTTGGGAGTGATTCATCGCTTTATGAAGTTAGAATCGACACGCGCGCTATCATTTTTACATTAAAAACGTAAATTTTTACCGCAGATGTAAGTTTTTAAAGGCCCGGTCTAATCATATGCCTGCGCTCCTCCTACTTATTCTAAAATGTTAGCGTGATTGACAAAGACGATACTATATCGCGTTTCTTTGATTGATTCGTTTTTTCACGTCAGTCCATTGGTGTGCTTGCAGTGCGACCAATGGGGCATTCCATTTTATATTTATAACCAAATATATGTTTTGACAAGACTTAGACAGTTTAAACAACAAATTACAACAGATTATATATTGATTATTATATGACTTGAAACTCCACGGCACTGGAATTAAGTTTTATGTGACCTTGAACAGATTAGTTCACATGGTAGCGACCGATAAATCACTCCCAAACATTCGTGGCGTTTACTATAGTTTAAAAGTCGTCTTGTAACGTCATAACTTAAAACGTCATCTTGGAGATGAAAAAAGCATATTGTAAAAACATTTTCCGATGCACGTCATCAATCATATCGACATTGACACTAAAGTCTATAAACTTGACTAAGTGAAATTTTGGCAAAAATGTTTAAATTTGTTGTATAATTTAAGACACCAAATAGCGCTTCCTTTTACTTTATAGAGCAAATGCATTTAACATATATTTTATTTAGATTAAAGCTGCAAAAATTAGTTTAAACCGAATTTTATTATCGCTATGTTGGTCACATTGCGCGGTATTCAGCAATGTTGTCCTTTATTATTTGACAATTATCTTACTGTCAGTCATTATTTTGTATAATATCGTGTTGTTGTTGAATTTTTGTGAGTAATTCTCGTTTTTTTGCTTTTTTCTCATAGTCTTTTTTTAAATTGCACTTTTAAGCGCAAAAACAGTTCTTTTAAGAACCAAATTTTCGAGTTTTTTTATTGCATTTCTTGAAATTGTGTGTTGAAACTATGCCGAAGCATTTAAACAGTCGAAGCAAAGAGCTTGTAGCTGCCCTGTTTTTTAAAAACTATTTTGAATGAGAACCTCACAATAAAGGTCCTTTATTACCGACTGCAGCCTGAAAAGTAAGTTTAATTGATAAGCACATTATACCACTTTCAAAGTTAGTTTTTATTAAATTCTGTGATTATTAGTTGTGCATTAATACCCTCTTACTTGTTATTACCACTTATAGCGTTGTAAGTTGTACATCAATAAATAAGTAACCCATAATAACGCTTATAATAATCTTCATAATGGACTAGTTTTTGCCAATATGTAATAAGTAAAATAAGCCATAAAACAAATAAATCAATTAATCACTGAAATATTAGTTATTAAATTAAAAATAAAACGTAAAACTCTTTAAAAATGATATAATAAATATGTTGTATGTCAATTTTAAATTAAGATTTATCTCATAAATCCATCACAATCTGGCAGCGCTGTCGCTATCGCTTGTCACTCAAAGTTGATCACGTGCATCGGAAATTGTTTTGCGATTACTCGATTACGCGATTACTTGCGATTAGTTAAAGACTGTTCAGCTCGAGTTCCGGTTTTTTTTTGCGGCATTCATTCATTTTTTTCTTGGACTTTTCATCAGTTACGATCCCTGTAATTCCAATCCTCTGGATTGTTGAAATTCCTGTTTCTAAAGCACCAGCAACTCGCTATATTATTTAAAAACGCTATCAATTTGTATTTACATAGGAATATTACACCTTTGCATTGTATTTACTTCATATACGGCGTCCACGGTTAAGAGTTTCTACCAGCGTCTTTTTCTCGAGAAAAATAATTTAAAAGCTTAGCAATGAGCTCTTGTTCATTTTGGTTAAATCTTTGAGGCCTTTTTGCAATAAAACAATTTGAATTTTGTTTTACAGCAAATCAAATTGTAATTTTGACATTGATCGATGTACGTCAATAAAATTATAACCCAAATTCAAATGACAATGACAATTACTAACAAGAATATGCAGTAATTTACGAAATGCTGTAATGACGTCACCTATTCTCTTTCTCTTTCTTTTCTTTATATGACGTGACGTTGCACGATCGCTGAACATTTATATATTAAAAATTTAATGGTGTAGCGGTATTAACGAAGCGCTGTTTTATGTCTATATTTGGAAATATTTTTTAATACTTTAAGTGTAAATCATCTAAATAAACAAAAAAATCTATCAAAATTGATATCCATATAAAAAGAGATATGAACAATTCAGTTTCAGGCAGTCAGGAACTTCAGAAGAGTTCTTCGTCCACAATTCTGGACAGGAATATCCATTTGAATCAAGCTAGAGAAAAAGCTCGAGAACGTAAAAACAGTGGAAGTGCAGAGAAATTAACTTCTTTGGATCCTAACCAATCTCAAGGATGGGGCAGGGACAGATCTACAACTATTTCTGTAATGAGTCCAGCCAACAGAAGACCAAGGTAATGTAGAGGGTGTCCCGTTTTGGTTGAAATCTTACGGTATCTCCGTTATTAGTGAAGATAGAAGGGTGCTGCTTGCATAAACCTGTCCCACTTTTTTGTCAAGTGAAAGATGCTCTAAACAAATTTTCATAGCTCTCTTGGTTTCTGAGCTACAGGGTCTTTTTAAAAATTTTGCAATTTGGGACACCGTATCTCTGTTAGTGAGGGAGGTATAGAGAAGGGTGAAAACTGTTTATTGTAGAACTTTTTACGTAGAATATAGTGGCGTAGTCTGTTATATACCTTTCTGCTATACCTTTCGTTCTGCTATAACTTTCATTTGACAAAAAAGTGGGACAAGTTTGTGCAAACCGCATTCTTCTATCTGTATTAATAACGGAGATACCGTATGATTTTAACCAAAATGGGACACCCTGTACAACAATACAGAAAAAATATACATTGTGTTAAAATGTGCGAAACTGTTATGTTGATGTTCTTGTTTGCACTGGCAATTTAAACAGAGGAGTAGCGTTTTCTGGCCAGTTATTCTTGTTATTTTTAACCTTTAAGTCGACATGAATATCAAAATTGTGACGATAATACCTTTAACGAGTTTTTTTGAAACATGATATGACATAAGACCCTTCGTGTGCGTTCATATTGACAACCCTCGAGCGGTGAGGTATGCGCTATGGACTCTAACTGTTCACAGTAGAAAAATATATACAACTAGTTGAAACCTGGCGCATCCGCCACGATATCAGGAAAAAAAAACCTTTTTATTTTTTGTTTAATTAAATGAAAAACACAAAATCCGGCGACGACAGTTTTTAGAAGATCCAATTAGCTATCTTTTAGTAAAAAAAGCAACTTTCTAGAGCAAGTCGTTACTTCAGTAGAGACGACACAGATAAACATTATCATTTTATATATGTAGATAAACAAATAAACTTCAAGAATTTTTTTTTGTACCAATTTATTTCTCAATCCATTTATTTCTCATTTTATTTTGAATAGTCTTACTATTATGGAAAACTGTTTTGAAATTTACTAAAAAATGAATTATATTTGTTTTGACGCCTAGTGATAACAGCTGATAAATATTCCAATGCCAGCCCAGTGAGAAAAGTCAGAATAGCCAAATATTTCTATCATTTTGGATCGCTTTGTATAGTTATGTACTTATTAATGAAAATTTGTTTTATTTTTGTATGCTTTTAATCTGGGAACGATAACACGCAACACCAATGACAATTTTGAAGTCCCTTTTTAAGTTTTACGTAATTTCACTACAATGAGGAAAATGCATGTTTTTAAATAATGGTTTTAAAAAATAGTTCATATAATTACAAATTGAACAAAAAAAAATTCTTTATATCGGTTAAGAAATGCCTCTAATATAAAATAATTAAATATTGTTAATTTAAATGGCCGGGCAAACGCTCTCTACCGCGCCTTGCCGCTGTGACGTCACCCGCCGTTCTTCTGGCTGAGTGGAGCCAGACGCGTGTTTATTTTACACAATTTGCTTTTAAACGCTGTTGAATCCGAGTCAAAATTTTAGTTATTTGTGTTAATACATAATTAGTAATTAGTGATATTTATAAATAGTAATGGATGAGCGAAAACAGAAAAAAAATGGTCCAAGACCATGAGAAGAGGCGAAAAGAAAAACGTTAAATTATCCTCTATTTTTACGATTTATTGTTGTGAAGATCATTTTGATGTAAGTTCATATATTTATGTATATTGTCTTACATAGTTATATGAAATTTGAATGTACAGGGTTATTCATTATATTTTGACACCCACATACAGCCTTAACTGCAAGTTTTAGAAGAAAACATTAAATAAAAAAGTTGTATGGTTTTTCATATACTCTCTTTTAAAATTAATTCTAGTTATACAGGGTGTCTGAAAAAAGGTGGTCCAGAAAATTGTAGGTATTTTTCGCTTTTCAACTGTCAATATTTTGTAAACATTTGAAGATAGGTATAGGATATTATACATGAAATATATCTAGAATATCTAGAAATTTCCGAAGAATCCAAAAATATATAGGGTGTTTCACTTAAAAAAGTAACTTAATTTTGGCGTTTGCTTATGGGACACCTTGTATAATATTTTCATTACTGATAAACAATTTATTTCCTATAATTTCGTAAAAAAAACAATCTTTAAAAATAACAAGGGTAAGGGGGTGTCAATATATAAAAAAAACTTTCTTTTTCACGCTATGCTCTGGAGTTATTTTTCCACGTACGAAACAAATATTTTTGTCTCTTTTCACTTCTACATAACCTACAGCATTATCTCCATACGTCTCCCAACCTGATCTGAAAAATTAGTTTATAACATTAATTTATAACTATATAAAAGTTCGTAACAGTAGGTACCTACTTATACTTAAATATGCCTCAGTACTACAAAGAATAAATGTTACATACCTCTCTGTTTTTTTCCTCGTAATTTAGGACCAATAAATTGGGAATTTGTATTTATAAAAGCAGCCAACATAAAAGCATCGACTTTTGGCAAGTTATCTGATTGTGCTTTTACAAACCCGGAATCTGCCATTACTTAAAAAATTCTCAGAACACACAACACATACAAATAATAACTGCACAAAAAAGCATAAACAGCTCCTTCAATCAACGCTAAAAGCAACAAAAATGTCTTAGTACGCCACCTAAATACGTACCTAAACGGAACACGTCTGGCTGCTGCTGTGACGACGAGAACGGCGGGTGACGTCAGACCAATAGAATAACGTTTCAATTCGCGAGGCGTCGTTTGCGTTATCCATAGTATTTTAATGGCCCGTTTTATAAAATTGTGGTACTGCTTTCAAGAAAAAAATTTTTTTTTTTGCATTTATACATATTTATTCTAATAAATTGAACAGTTTCTGGCGAAAAATAAAATATATGCATCTTCCTCATTCAAGGAGAACACAATTTCTTTCCAGATTTATAAACTTTGCATAATACAAAAAAGTTTAAAAAGTACAACTAGCGTATTTCAAAATATAATAAAAAGTCATAACCTTCTGCCATTTGGTAATAATGAAATAGAAATTTAAAAAAACATTCACGGGCTTTTCAGGAAAATTTTCAAAATCTTTGAACTTATTGCATCAAGCAGGGGCGCCGGGTTTTATAAAAGCTCGTGAGTACTCATCAGATATAAGTAAATGTAATAAATTTCCAGATTGTTACACTTGTTGTATTTAACACTTTTTTACATATGGTAATATGTAAAAAGTGTTTATGTAATTTTTACAATCCTATTGAGTATAATTTGAGTTATGTAGAAATATTTTTTTTAGTGCAGATACCAATTTGAGAATATACCGTATGATAAAAAAAAACGGCGTCAGCGATGGCTTTGAAATAATGATCGCATTCATATGCCATTTTATATGTAAATTTATATGGGAAATGTCATTGATCGTCATTTCCCAGCCAACTGAACGCCGTTTTTTTCGATCATACGATATTAACGATACCCATTACATTAACAGATAGCAAAACAGACAGATACTGTAGTTTATATAAAGATACAAAATGAATGAAGTTAGAAATTGCTGAGAAGTTTGAAAGAAGAATTGGACAGCTTAGGGTTTCGATCGACAAATTTATCCATCAAAACTAAAAATTCTCGAAAATAAACGCATACTTCAGGTTTTTTTACTGATTCTAAACATTATCTGGCAGCTTTCTAGGACGGAGTTTTAGGACAGTTCAGAATCCAATAGCCAAATAAATTTTTGGCATTCCTAAAGTAGTTGAAAATTCGTTTGCAATTTATAACAATTACAATTATCATAGATAGATAGATATATAAACTCTAATCTCTAAACACTCTTAGAGCCCACACAGACTCAGTTTAACACAGAGGAACTCTGCTGTCCAGTTTGCGTAGGTTAACCTGTACTACAGCCTGCCGCACACACCTAGTTTTATAGTATAGTCTTATCTACAATGAACTGAGTGACGCACTCACTTCAGCACATTTTTTCTAAGTGAAAATGGCCTCTCGAGATACAGTTCTGTTTTGCATTTTGCTGGCTTGTGCAATAAAGAAAAGGCAATTAACTACCTAAGAATGAACGAGAGAACTTAGAATTTATTTCTTCGAAAAACTACAGTAATCATACTGTCACAGATTATACTGTGGTACTTTTTCATTAGTGCATCACCCATCGTGCATTTACCAAAGGTCTTTCTACAGTTTTTGAGCGACCTCTTGCCTTGCAGTGGATAAGTGTCGCTTAAAGTTGCTAAACTGATTAATTTTTGGCGCTTATGTTCGTGGGTGTTTGAGCACCCGAGCACCCACGCAGTCGGCACCCCTGGCATCAAGCAACTGTTGGCAGAGTTTATTCACTAGTCAGCTAGTCATCTTCGCTAGTTTTTGAGTACCCCCATGTCACGTGTTGCGTGTATTCTAGTACACATGCGTGCAGTCAGAGCACTAGTCTCTAGAGTTTTTATAAACGGTGTTTCAATGGAGCTTGAAATTCTACTTGTTACATAAGATAAGTGAAATCTAGATAGATACGCAGAGCTCCATATTATGTAAATGATCGTAAGTCGACTGGCTGTCTAATAAATAGGCTGTGCTGATACGTAAAAAAGTAATAATTTCGATCGTTGCGAAATTTAGAACTTGGCCCCTGTATTAATATATGATTTGAAACTTAATTTATCCTCTATATAGGGGCGAGCCGCCTGTGAGACATCCAACTAAGTCAAGAGACATACCTAGAAGCGGCGTTAATCCAAGCTTTGTATTTTTGCAATTATATCACGCATCGTACTTTAACGAGAACAATAAGGTACAGAGACCTTTACTTATAGGTACTAGTGATGTAATAACTAGGTTTGTTATTTACTTATGATATTTAATCAGAATAAAGAAAAATGTTCTTTTAGGTCAGTTAAAATTTTAGATAAAATTCCACCCTATGAAACTCATAACATTGGTGTATTGTATATAGGCGAGGGTCAAGTTAACAACGAAATAGAAATACTGAAGAACAGCTTTGGATCTTTGAGATATGTAGAGTTTTTGCAGAATTTGGGCACTATGGTTAAGATTTCGGATGTAGATCCTGACATGTTTTACTTAGGTACACAAGTATTATTTTTTTTATTATATTAAATTATAAAAAATTATTTTCAAAAATAGGTGGATTGGATCATAATGGCGCAGACGGAAAATTTGTTTATATATGGCAGGACGATGTAGTTCGTGTTACCTTTCATATAGCGACTATGATGCCAAATAAAGAATCTGATCCCAATTGTAACAACAAGAAAATGCACATTGGTAATGATTTTGTCAATATTGTGTACAACGAAAGTGGCGAAGAATTTGATATGAACGTGATTAGGGTAAGAAAATGCTGAATAAATCTGCTGAAAATGCTAAAATTTATTAATTTGCGTTTATCCAAGTCTATGGCAACCTTTAAAAAAATAATGTCATTAACTGGCCAAAGTGTTCCTATAAACATTGGTACGGAAACGCATAGTTTTAAAGTTACGGGATGTTAAAACAATTTATTTTAAATAACATTATTATTTTGAAATTTTCTGTATGTAGCACTGAATATCAGTATTATACACTTTACTGCCTACACACGTAAAAACCGGCAACACTGATGCCGCTTTTATTTTGTCAACTGGTCATTTATATTTATCTCTGTCGCATGCATTACAACACAAACCACGGAGATAAAGTGTCCACGAGAGGTGTCTCACTTGGGTAAAAAATGTACATGTACTTCGAAAATATAGTTTAACTGCTAAGCGACTGCCTATGTCTAGCAACTCTTATTTTTGGGTCGGTATTTACATTCGTGGAAGTTAATCGCATAGGGGTCTTATTAGGTCGGATTGAGAGAAATGCGATGGTGTGCTGTTGCGGTGTTGCCACATTTCCCCGGTACGCCTTTTCCCTATCATGTGAAGTAAAATCACGATCGCAAACCTCTTATTTTTAAGAGACTTTTTTCGACAAAGATAACTAGATAAAATCATTAGATGTGTTTCTGAGCATCTGAAATGGAATTATAAGGATATCGTTAGGGTGTCCATTTTTTTATAACGAGAAAACGTCAGAAAAACAACGTCACGCGATAACTTAAGATCCACTTTAGATTTTACAAGATGTTTAAATAAAAAACATTCGACAGGCTTGTTTTTTTCCATTCCAAAATTTTAAAATACCCATTCATTTACTTTTAGTGCATAGCAATTTTCAGCAGCCCCATGTAACTTTTTTATTTATAAAGACTTTCACATACTGTCTGCGAAGAAAATAAAGCAGAAATATTAAGAAAGCTGTTGAAAAAAACTACAATCAATTGTTTCTAATGGATTTCAAAATATCGATTTTTGAATTCAGAGTTCTAATAGCGCGACCACTGTCAAACACCAACTCAATTCTACTTATTTTTACCAAAAGTGCAAGTGTTTCTAACTTGCTCTTAAAAATTTACAAGTTACAGGGAAAACTACGACTCCTTAATAAATAAATAATCACGAGACGTAATTAAATCGTGAAGCTAAACGCATGATGTACACCCTTTCAATCAGTTTTTTTCAATCAGTATCAGTTTGGCAACGTTTTTTACTGTTCTCTCTTTGTTCAGTATATTATAAAAGCATTTTACTCTTCTTACATACGGAAATCTCGACCCACGACTAACCTTTGCCAGCCCTTAGTAATTATAGTCGACTGTCGTAAGATGCCAACGATTGCCAGCAACTGCCAAGAAAATGTACATGTAATTCCAACAGTGAGGCATCCCTCGAGTATCCATTTACCTTTTGATTAAATTTCTGGCAATAATTCGACATTGCTAGGTCATACTTTTTGTTTCGAATATTATACTATTTGTCGATAAAATATTCATTTAATATAATTTTTATATTTTTTGTAGAGCCAATTTAATTTTGCTTGCATAATTATTCAACCATTAGATCACAATATTAACAGAGTCGTTGTTAAAATTAAAGACGAATTGCAAGATTTGGCCGTTGTTGGGAGTGATGTCAAGGTGGTTTCAGATCAAAACGTTGCTATTTTAGTTAGACAAATTGCTCTACACGCAAACGTGAGTATTATTAATGAATGAAACTATATTAATCACTTATTGATTCTGTAATTCAATAGTTAGCATCATTGGTGGCGAAATCTCTGAAGCATAGCCCAAATGACCCATATGCATCAAATTGGCTTGAAAGACTGCGTAAAATCAAAAATGTAAGGTCAAAAGTTTTGGATGAACTAAAAGCAGAGGAACAGAATAGTTATCCATCAGAAGAAAGTAAAAGCAGAAAGCAGATGGAAGACTTTACTAATTACTCTTAGATTTATAGTGTGTAGGCTAAAACATTTAAATTTACTTTGTATACCTACTCTAGACTACTAAATACGTTTTAAGACTTGACTTGAATAGAAATAAAAGTATTATTCAGACCAGTAAACGAATTTATGTTTGTTTGCTTTTCCTTAAACACTCAAATGAAATTTTTGTCTCTGACTTTGCAAGGTTTTTACAAGCTACGTTTTCTATTTGTGGGTTAAACTTTTCTAAATATAGTTAAATATAGTCTGCCCATCAAGAGAAGAAATGATAGTGAGTAGTAGAGGGAGATGGGGGTTTCTACGCCAGGAGCAAAGAGCCGGAAGTGGCGCGCATGCGTAAAACAGCTGAGAACATGTAAGATAGGCTAATAAGCAGAGATTAATAAAAAATTTAAATAAATAATAAAAAAAAATCTTGATGAATTGCTGAAAAACGCATTGACGAATTATTGGTTCCTATAAATACCCATACTCGGGGTTCGGAAAACTACATGTTACTTTTAAAAACTACATAAACTACATTACATGTACTAGTTAATGTAGTTTATATAGAGGGTGTAGTGTATGTAACCTATGTATGCAACTTTTAAATATCCAAGGTTTTTGGTGAGGTCATAATAATTTGAAGCTTTAGAAAACACATAATGTATTTAAGAAAACAGAAGAAATATGGCTTTAAATATAATATTCACATCATATTATTTAGGCCCCTCATACAATGGAAGATTATTCATAATATCAATACCTAGTTTATTAACATAGTTTTCATGTAGTTAATGAACGGGAAAAGACTACACGTAGTTAATCAGGTAAATTATGTCTTAATTAACTACTTCCGAACCCCCATACTGCGGGGATATGCATTTCGATAGGAGGTTGCAAATTTGTCCATTGGGCGACACACCGATGAATACACTATTCATATGGAGGGTAGAGGTATTTCTATCCGCCATATCCACATGGATAGGTAGATGTATCTCTACCTTCCATACTTTGTATCATGATTATCCACGTAGAATGTATGGGAGGAGGGTTAATTACCGCGATCTTACATATATAATTATTCATTATAGAGTCTCAGGGATCTGACAAAAGCCAGTATCTGAGACGGTTTTACAGTCATTTTTTCCACAGAATCTGCATTCGTCGTTGTTTCTTAGCTTCAATCTACTGAGGTATTCATTGAAGAGACAGTGTCCTGTTAAAAACCCCTTTACAATCCAAAGATTGTTCTTACTTAAATCAAGGAAACCTTTGATTTTATATAATAATAGCTCCCGTATATAGCGTTTAAAGCCTTGAGAGTAGCCAGGTACAGCTTGCCATGCTAGAGCGGTTCGATATACAAGGAAGGTAATGTGGCTAGCACTACGCTTCAACCGTCTATTGTTACCTCAGGGTTGTGAATCCCAAGTAGTCATTTAAGGCCGAGTCGACCTAGGTACCCAAACTATATTTATTTAATTAAGAATAGTCGGCTGATGAACTGCCGGCTGTAGTAGGATTCAAATCCACAACCTTTAGATTGGTAGACGAGAGCTGTACCTCTACGCCACCGGGCACACCTTTGATTTTTCTCGGTCGTAAGTTCTGAGAAATTTCTTCGAGTGTCTTAGACCGTTGGAGGATTCGCACTCCCTGTTACGGATGGAGTCTTCCAGGTTCTTGAGTCCCGCTTTAAATTGGTTTCCACTTGGGAAACAGAACGGTTCTGGTCCGGTGAGTGGAGTGTTTGCCACTTTTCTAGGTAGAGCTTTTGCTTTTCCATTGCCTTCTATCTTTGGCAGCCAGAGTAGGAGAACTTAATTTTCTTTGCCTAATTTGTTCAGCTTCTCTAGGCATTCTTTGACCAACTTCGAATTGATGGTTACTAAGTTGATCGCTTTTGATGCTGCTTGACGATCGGATAATATGGCTATTTCTTGTTTCCGATAATTCCTATCTAAGATAAGGTGTACGCATCTTTCTATAGCGTAGATTTCTGCCTGAAGGATGCTGGGGTAGGTACCCATTGGTTCGGAGTATTTAGTTTTCGGCCCAAATACTCCTTTAGTTCAGTCATTGGGGATATTTGCTTGGAAAAAAGTCCGGAAGTTTTGCAACTTTGCAGGTTTATAGGTTTTGGGGTCCTTAACTAAAATCCATAAAATGCACATTTCCAGACCTGCCGCCGGCGCCGCCATCTTGCCAAGATGGCGCCTAAAATCGGTATTTTGTGAATATCTCGAAAACTATACGTTTTTTGCGAAAATTTGAAGAGAGCAAAATTAAAGAGAATAAAATTTCCTATAAAAAAGGTTTTATGAACATTTTCGCTAAAGTCAACCGTTTAGGTACAAAATCCCTGGAAATTTTACAATTTTGCGTAAAATATGATATATTATGTATAGTCGGTTTTTCGAAATCAAATGTCGATTAGGGTTCACTAAAACTAGTTTTAGTTTAGTTTCTTCAATTTTGTCATAAAACAGTGGCATATCATTAATTCGCTCATTAGTTTATGAATAATTAATTTTAATTATTGAAAATATGTACTTGTTTCCACACCACCCAAGAGGTAAAGTATATGGCGCGTTTATTTTAACGTGGTCTCCCCGGAGGCCTACTCCACTAGATAAATTAAAAACTTTAACTTATCTGCACAAGACCGACGGATCTGGCTCATTGATGTCAAAGTCGATCGTGTCTGCTGTACTGGGCTCATCAGGGTGGTCTCTCAATACGTCCAACTCTTCATCTTCAGCCGCCAGAGGGATATCTTCAGGCAAGTCCAACTCCTCTTCATCGGATTCGTTGAGTGACACTTCAGATGCACTTCAGTGACGTTGTCACAGGATTTCCCATTGCAGTATGCACAAATCATTGAACATTTTAATCCTGCTTTTCTGCATCCGCAGGCTTTACCATAGTTGTCGGTTTTGCATTTACAGGATAAAAATGCCAACAGTGATTTTGGAGCTGGATCTTTCAAAGTTGTGACTGGAGTAATGCCTGTTTTTGTTTTCTTCCAACCCCATTCTTCGGCATCTTTGGTACAACCCGACCAATGCTGAATCTGGTGGTAAGTTCGCAACGAATGCTGTCCAGCACGATAATTAATTATTCATAAATTAATGAGCGAATTAATGATACGCCACTGTTTCATGACAAAATTGAAGAAACTAAACTAAAACTAGTTTTAGTGAACCCTAATCGACATTTGATTTCAGAAAATCGACTATACATAATATATCATATTTTACGCAAAATTGTAAAATTTCCAGGGATTTTGTGCCTAAACAGTTGACTTCAGCGAAAATTTTCGTAAAACCTTTTTTATAGGAAATTTTATTGCCTTTAATTTTGCTCTCCCAAATTTTCGCGAAAAAGGCATAGTTTTGGAGATATTCACAAAATACCGATTTTGGGCGCCATCTTGGCAAGATGGCGGCGCCGGCGGCAAGTCTGGAAATGTGCATTTTATGGATTTTAGTTAGGGACCCCAAAACCTGTAAACCTGCAAAGTTTCAAAACTTCCGGACTTTTTTCCAAGCAGGCCCCTTTTTTGATCCCCAATTACTGAACTACAGTACTTTCCCTGTTCTTACTTTGGTTTTGAAAGCATCAGTATACCACGTTCTTCATTTCAGGTCTTTTACGTGCTGAGCAAACGTTTTTCTCTTCCAGTCTTTTTATTGCTCAATACCACAGTGAGGCGTTTCTCAAAATTGTACATTCTTGGGAATACCTTATCCATAAATTATGCAATTTCTTAAGAAAATCACTAAAAGCGCAATAACAAAGTTAATTCAATAAAACAACTTTAACCATAGACTTTAACTACATAATTCAACTTGACTAAAGTGACATAATCGTCATCAAAGTGCCAAATTAGTGAATTATCTCTATAATTTCTTTAAATTTTTGTTTAAAATGTCTATTTGTGAGCACATGACTAACCCTTTCGAGTTCGAGCCGGGTGGAAAAAACGGCTCGAAAATTAATATCCAGGATGAATTAATTTGGGGTTTGGCATATAGGAACATTAAAGAACGCGAGAAAAATCAGCCTATGCAACCAATGCATTCTCCAATCGATATTCCTTTTCAGTTATGCAGAGCTAAGCTATTAGGAAAAAGAAAGAAAAGAAAGTCGTTAAGCGAAAGGGAGCTAAGCAGAGAAAATAAAGGTATTGGTAGATATGTAACCGCTAAGTTATAAAAGTATTTAATTTAAATGGACTAACTTAACAACAAAGCGTTTAGGGCCAGTTTATAGGTTTGGATTATAGGTCTGATTCCGCTTCGTTTCACAACTACAGAGGGCTTTCATTTTTTTCTATGATTTTCTTTCAAGTGCTTTTAGCGATTCGAATGCAATTTTAAGGGTGAAAGTTATTATAAGTGCAACATATTTTAATGCTAAAAAAGTGTCGACGTATTTACCAGAGACGTGCTCTTTTTAGAAAAATTCTGTAGATCGTTTAATGCCGATTAGAAGTCGTCTCTTGACCTTTTGTTGATTTTGTTCTCTTTGATGAGATAAACGCAATTAATATGTGTAGTGCGTCTAGCTATCATTAGTTAACTGAAAAGTGTGAAATTAAATTAAAAAAGCTCCAGTTAAAAGTTAAGATTTGTCGTTGATTGGGAAGATACGCAACCTAATGGGCGAATTCGTGACAAGGCTGATTTGATTTCCCCTTACGTCTCAAGTGCTGTAGGTTACGGTGGAGCCACTCAATCGTTCTGCGGCCAACTCATTCAACCACTCACGCATCACTTATTTTCTCTAATTCGGCCAGCGAAGGCATATCGAAGACGGTGTGGATCTGAAAGCGACAGTGTTGCCATGTTGAAATGTGTAATATCTGTAATACATTTTTGACGAAAATATCTGGATGAAAAATCTGCGTTTATGTATTGAAAATGTATTGAGTTAAACATAAAATAAATACTAAAAATAAAAATATTTTAATAGGTATTAGTGATGTGTCGGTATTTGAGTAACTCGAGTTTGGAGCGTTATTTTTTTGTAACGTCTTGTCGCGCTCCACAACGAATCAGGAACCTGTTACTGAAGAACGACAATCATAACGACGACAAAATTATAAATTATTTATAATTTGCAAATAAATTATTTATAATCGCTCTAGAAGTTAGCTCGAACCGTAGTAACCGCATAGCGACGTGTTTAGCCCCAGTCGTCGCGATTTCGTCGGTCGCCATGTCGCCAACAGTAGTAACTGGCACTGGTATGTACGTAGCGTCGCGCGTGTTCGCTCCAGCCATCGCGCTCCTAGAGCCGTAGTTCCGCCTGTCGCGAACAGAAGTAACTGGTAACTGCTGTAACTGATTATCGACGCCCGACCTCGGCGGCGACGGACTTCGCTCCAGCCGTCGCGCTCCTAGAGCCGTAGTTCCGTCTGTCGCGAACAGAAGTAACTGGTCTCTGCTGTAACTGGCTATCGACGCTCGACCTCTGCGGCGACGTACTTCGTTCCAGCAGTGGCAGCAGTCGCTGGAGCGCTTCTAGGGAGCCGGTTTTGCCTGTCGCATTTTGGTCGGTTACTATTGGCGTTGGTGCTCACGTCGCTACGTTACTTTCGAAATAGCGATTTTTGGTATGTACTAGGCGTAGTATAAAATAGCGTTGTTTGAAAGATGAAACGCAAAAGCGTCAGTTTGGGGTAATAGGAGTAGATCATATTTTTTTAATTTTATTTAATAGTTTAATTTCCTAAATTGAAACCTAACGTGTCGCCACTGTCATAAATTCTTCTGGACATCTGTATTGTTTACAAATTTGTCTATGAATTGTTTATGAATTTACACGGGTATAGGGATAACGGCAGGGTTGGGAGCAGTTTTGCAAGAACTTCTATTATTCTCTATAATAAATTTAAAAATACAATATTTATATCAATACGAAAGTTTTATTTTTAAAATTTGCAGTTTGTGAAAAAAGGTGGTGGAAAAGTAAGTAAATCTCAGCAAAATGTATTTTGAGCTGGTAGAATGTAGAATGAGTGGGAGGGGGGTTAATCACTGCGACTTTACAGATCTATCGTGTCCCCCTTTCTTGAGTTGTAACTCATCATACAGTCCCCGGGCTTTGATAAAAGCCAGTATCTGGGACGGTTTTATAGAGGGTAATTCTTCATCTCCAATATCAGTTGTACCTAAGTTTGTAGCACGAATGGTTGTAACAGCTGCTAGAATTGTAAGAACTTGACAACACGGGGTTGCTAGTGCCAGAAATACTGCACAAGCGAGGACCGCGACACTTTGGAAGTCGGAACCTCGGTTACAAAATCGCGGTATTTTTCTGGAACGGTCGCTATTGTAACGCGGCTCATGTGGAACCGGTATTCCCATCACTAATAGGTACTGAATATATGTCGTTTGATCGGAAAAAGTCGTTTAGTTGGCTTGTAAATGACGATTATTGACATTTACCGTAATATTTTACACATGAAATAACAGCGATCATCATTTCCAAGCCAACTCTGACGCCGGTCTTTGTTTAATCATATAATATTATATTAAATTGTTTAATGAAATAGAAAATCCGTATTATTAACGTACCCTACCCAAAATCCGTAAATCTACGGATTAATCAGTAGTTCTGGCAACACTGTCTCCGGCAACCATTCACTCTCTCGACTGAAAGCAGAACTACGGTACAGTTTTTTTTATCCGTTGCGTTGAAAACGACTATCAGCGCGCAGTGACGCGCGACGCAGAGCTAAACTAAATCTCGGACAGGCTGACGCTAACGCCAGTTACATCCCATACAGGTTTTGTACCAAAATCGCCCACTAGTTAGCGTATCTTAACGGTTTTGCATTCATCTGTAGTTGTACCGGAATACATAAAAATTGAGCCTGAGGAATCAAAATTTTTATCTCCGTTGTCAGCCTTGTTTTGCAGATGTATCATTTTTTATGCCATGTCGTCTAGCCTTCTGTTAATACTTATAGTTAAGATGGTCTGATATTTTACTTTTTAGCAGTGCCTTTTACACACATACATTTTTTAATTGTAATTATTTATTAATGGCTTTATCTTTTAAGACGCGGAATCTATAGATAATAAGGAAACGCTTAAAAAACGAAGAAAGGAAATAGACAAGCCTTCTCTATTGGATCGAAGTATAATGTCTCAAAATAAGTATATGGATTTCCTTTCCATTCCTAATCCAAAATTTTCGGACGAACCTAAAAAGAAAAAATATAAAAGGAGATGCGAATTAGAACCTTGCCCGCCACGTTTCGTTCAATTAGCTGTACCGAACAAGCGAAGGGTACTATAAATAAGTTCCTTATTCTTGCTTTAGTTTTACTAAAGAGTCCGATTTCAGGTTTTCAGCAACTGGAAAGACTACGCTCACTTCTTACCTACCGAAATGTTGATGAGATACGAAGAAATACTTCACACCGACCAAAATTTAGACCCAAGAGAAGCGAGATACTATTATAAACAATTGGATAGGTTGTTATATGTTTAAAATACCGTACGAAATACCAACGAAAAAAACGGCGTCTAGTTGGCTTGGAAATGAGCGTCGATGACATTCCCCGTATAATCTACACTAATATATAAAATCCTTAAGTCACTAACTCACTGATTAATCACGATCCTGCTCAAACCACTCAACGTATGAAGCTCAATTTTGGCATACAGGTTGATTCTAGGGTGTAAAGTTTCGATAAGAAGGGATTTTTCTAAATCCCATTTCCAAGGGGGTGAAACCACCCCTCAAATATTACAATATTTTTTATTTAAAAAACGGCCAAGTTTCCGAAAAAAACGCTTAAACACGTATATTTTATTTTGTTTTTTTACATATTTTAAGATTTTTTAAAAATGTATACAGGGTGTTTCGAAAAATCTGGTCATTAATTAATCACGATCCTGCTTAAAGCGCTTGACCTAAAAAGCTGATTTTTGGAAAACGGATTGACTTTAGGGTGTAGAGGTTCGATAAGAAGGGATTTTTCGAAACTCGAATTCTAAGGGAGTGAAACCACCCTTCAAATATTAGAATATTTTTTATTTAAAAACCGGTGAGTTTTTCGGAAAAACTCTTAAACACGTATATTTTATTTTGTTGTTTTACATATTTTAAGATTTTTTAAAAATTTATACAGGGTGTTTTGGTTACGTTAGGTTGACTGTGGGGTGTAGAGGTTTGATAAGGAGGGGTTTCTCGAACCTCAAATTCCAAGAGGGTGAAAACGCCCCTCAAATATTACATTTTTCGAAAGTCAAATTTCAACGAGATGAAACTACCCCTCAAATATTACCAAGTTATATAATAATATCGCCATATTGTTTTTTCTCATGCTGACATAAATGTGAGAAAATTTTATCCAGTGTGTATGTTAATGGAAATACTTGCTTTGCTTTATCATCACCATTACAAATGATTAATTCGACGCGAACGAAGTTGCGGGTACACGCTAGTTTTACATATAAAACGACAGTTACCTTCATTCCATAGCCATCGCTGACTCCGTTTTTTTTTCGATCATATTGTACCTGGTGGCCTACTAAGAATGGACGCCTGCTATATCTCAGAAACTACTTATCGCATGTATAACTTTGGGGAAAAAAAATCTAATAAGTAAATCGACCAAGAGAAATTGCTGGAAAGTATTTTCAAGTTCGAAAAATGTCCGCTAGGGGGCGTTTTTCTGATAGCTAATCAGAAAACAGGTATTATACAGGTATTTTAAATATTACTATTGTAATCATCGAGAAATTTGTAATTTTTTGTATTAGAGTATTTTAGAGTATTTTGCTTAAGGTTAAACTTGCTTTGATTAAAATAAGGATAACTCTGGTTTAGGTTACCCGATTTAAACAAACTAGGGCTCGTTTAAAAGAGATTTTCTTTCTTAATGATTTCCAGTGTAAATTTTGTTTCCATATTTTTTTTCGTGGTAGCTAGAGGGCGCTGTTTGACATAATAACAGCTATTGCGCTTTGCATAAAAATATTAAATAGGAGCGATATTTCTCTTTGCACAGTTAAATAGAGCACAACATTTTCAAAATATCAGCGCAAACCGCAACTTTCTACCTTCTCTCTAACCGGAGATATCAACCCAAGCATATTAAATCCGATGACCTAGCTGGCCATGGAAATATGCCACTCCAGCGCAGCGTCACTATCTACTAAAGTAAGTGGTATCAAGAAGCCCCACACATTCATAGCAAAATAAGCGGCCCAACTGCACCAACTGCGTCAACTACACCAATGTACATTCATGCTGATGAATTGCAACAAATTCAATTTTATCATGATGGATTCCCTAACAAAATTGGCAATTCATTTCTTAGAAATTGTGGATAGTTCATTTCATTAAGATAATTAAAAAAGTCCAATCATTCGCCATCCTAGAATTCCTGCCTAAACATTTACCGACCAACGGTCTTGGTGCTGAACTACTTGCATCAAGGGTAGATTTGAACCAGTAGTGCATAATGTTAAGATTCGCACCTTCGCTTTGGTGCTATATGAAAAGTGACCCAGACGACATAAACTTTATAATATAATAATAAATGACACAAACATCAAGTAAAACACGAAAACAAGTGAAATCAAAGACGAACTTGGATTAATAACTAAATGACGTTACATGAAATAAACCCCTAGTTTTCTGTTAAAAGAAGAGAGAAGGTAGAAAGTTGCGGTTTGCGCTGATATTTTGGAAATTTTGTGCTCTATTTAATTGTGTAAAGAGAAATATAGCCTCATTTATTTTTTATGCAAAAGCGCAATATCTGTTATGATGTCAAACAGCGCCCTCTAGCTACCACGAAAAAAATTATGGAAACAAAATTTATACTGGAGATCATTAAGGAAGAAAATCTCTTTTAAACGAGCCCTAGTTTGTTTAAATCGGGTAACCTAAACCAGAGTTATCCTTATTTTAATAAAAGCAAGTTTAACCTTCCCCCACCACTTTATTTTTTGAGATAGAGCAAAATACTCTATATCAAAAAAATTACAAATTTCTCGATGATTACAATAGTAATATTTAAATTACCTGTTCACCTGCATATTTTTGAGAAAAATTCTGTTTTCTGATTGGCTATCAGAGAAACGCCCCCCTAGCGGACATCTTTCGAACTTGAAAATAATTTCCAGCGATTTCTCTTGGTCGATTTACTTATTAGAATTTTTTTCCCAAAGTTATACAATAACTAGTTTGTGATATACAGCCGGCATCCATTCTTAGTTAGCCACCCGGTACATACATTTGATAAAACTTACCGAATAAAATATTATAAGACTAAACATCTATACATATTAAAAAGTGTTGAGATTTTTGGTTAGAAATAACAATCTATTGTTGCGTTCCTCCTTGAGTTCAATCGTTTCAATCAAATCCTATTTTAGATGGAATAAATATTTGAGTATGTAATATAGGGAGTTCAAACTAGACCTGTTCGGTATTGACATTTGAAAACTACTTTTAGGTGTTGATGACAACCGGTTTTTTAGTCGCTGTACCGGTGTCAACACTGATACCGGTGTTTTGTGTAAATCGGTGCCACTACCGCATACCGGTTTAAACTCGGTATTGGGCTGACTTCGGTGTTCATTTCTATACCGGTTTTGACTACTACACCGGTTTTAATCTCGACGCCGCTTTTAGAACTGGCAGATGAAGGATAATACCGGTGTCTTAGAAAAAACTGGTGTCGAGATCAAAACCTGTGTCGAGTTCAAAACTAGTGTAGTCAAAACCGGTTTCGAGATCAACACTACTTGTTGTGACTATAACACCGGTACACCGGGTAGCCCATATTAGGCAACCTGTGTCAACCCGATTAACCCTGTGTCACCGGATTTAAAATAATTTTTGATTTGGTTAAACTAGGCCTGTTCATACAGCTATTCTTTATTTATAATATTTAATGGACCCTTTGATGCACATCGAAAAATTCGCATATCTATACTCTATACTAATATACAGGGTCCGGCAATAGTGCGTCGGGCATCTGCAGCTCCTAAAATAAAAAAACTTGGGAATTTTCTTTAAGTGCAGACCTAAAGTATGTACTAGGATGTATTTCAGGAAAATATTTTAACTTCTATAGGGTGGCTCAAAAAAGTGTGAGTGGATCGGGATGTTTTTTTTTAAATGGAACATCCGGTATATTATTGCATTTTTGGATTTCTGTCAAATCACTTTACATAATCCTAAGACATGAGTAAATATATTTAGATAATTTTAGAGATATTACTAAATAAATAAATATTATATATTTTTCAGCTTTTCTTAAAAAAATTATTAATAATACCAAGAACTGTCCTGAAATCAAAACTATATTAGATATTTACTTTAGATGGTCTGTTCTTACTTTGCTATAAATATGGAAATCGTAAATCATACAAGATGTTCAAAATTCTACGCCAAACTTTCTAATATAAAATTATTTTTCTTTGTTTTTTTAAATGGAACACCCGGTATATTATTTATTCAATAGATGAAGAATTAAAAAATGAACATTTTTTGCATTTAGAGTATTTCAAAATTTTTAACGGTTTGGCAGATATTCCCGGTTTTTGTATTTCATATGGCATTTTCCACAGTAAATACCGTATGATCGAAAAAAAAACGGAGTCCAGTTGGCTAGGAAATGACGATCGATGACATTTCCCATATAATTTTACATATAAAATGACAGCGATCTTCATTTCATAGCCATCGTTGACGCCGTTTTTATTCGATCATACGGTATTTATCAAAGTCACCTAATGATTTTTGTCTCGTATTTTACCATTGAAAGCGCCATATGAAATAATACTGCATGTATCCGGAAAACTATTAAACATTTTGAAATACTTTAAATACAAAAAATGCTCATTTTTTAATTCTCAATCAAATAAAAAAATAATATACAGGGTGTTTGATTGTAAAAAAAAACGAAGAAAAATTATTTTATATTTTTGAAACTTTGGCGTAAAATATTGAACATCCTGTATGATTTACGATTACCATATTTATAGCAAAGTAAGAACAGACCATCTAAAGTAAATATCTAATATAGTTTTGATTTCAGAACAGTTCTTGTATTTTTAATATTTTTTTTAGGAAGGGTTGAAAAATATATATTTTTGATTTATTTTTTAATATCTCTGAAACTATCGAAATAGATTTACTCATATCTTAGGATTATGTAAAGTTATCTGAAAGGAAGCCAAAAATGCAATAATATACAGGGCGTTCCATTTAAAAAAAATCATCCATATCCACTCACACTTTTTTGAGCCACCCTATAGAAGTTAAAATATTTTCCGGAAATACATCCTCATACATACTTTAGGTTTGCACTTAAACAAAATTCTCAAGTTTTTTATTCTAGGAGCTACAGATGCCCGACGCACTATTGCCGGACTCTGTATAAAATCCTTAAGTGACTCACTGATTAATCACGATCCTGCCCAAAACAATTCAACGTAAGAAGCTCAATTTTGGCATTGCACAGGTCGATTCTAGGGTGTAGAGGTTCGATAAGAAGGGATTTTTCGAAATTCCAGTTCCAAGGGGGTGAAACCACCGCTCAAATATTACAATATTTTTTATTTAAAAAACGGTCAAGTTCCCGAAAAAACGCTTAAACACGTATATTTTATTTTGTTTTTTACATATTTTAAGATTTTTTAAAATGTATACAGGGTGTTTCGTAAAACGGATTGACTTTAAGGTGTAGAGGTTCGATAAGAAGGGATTTTTCGAAACTCGAATTCTAAGGGGGTGAAAGCACCCCACAAATATTTCGGAAAAACTCTTAAACACGTGTATTTTATTTTGTTGTTTTACATATTTTAAGATTTTTAAAAAATTTATAGAGGGTGTTTCATAAAATATGACCATTGAGTAATCAGGATTCTGCTTAAACTGCTTGACGTTTAAAGCTGATTTTTGGCAAACGGATTGACTGTGGGGTGTAGATGTTCGATAAGGAGTTTCTCGATTTTTTTTTCTCATGCTGACACAAATGTGAGAAAATTTTATCCGGTTTATATGTTAATGGAAATGTTTGCTTTGCTTTATCACCACCATTACAAATAATTAATTCGACACGAACGAAGTCGCGGGTACACGCTAGTCATCCTATATTTGACGAACTGTAAGTAACGGTACATCCCTCTTGACAATCGATTTTGATCTTAACTTATATTGGAGTATACTTTTCAATTTTAATTTTTACTTGTAAATTAGACAAAAACGAAAAAAATTGAGAAAGAAAAAACGATTGATGAAGAAAAAAATGAAGGAAGCTGAAAAACATACAGATCTGGAAAAGAAGATTATAGAAGATTTAGCTAAAGACCTTGTAGATTATATCGAGGACGAACCACTGTTTACGCTCAATTACAAACAGATGCTGTTATCTGATGGAATATTAGAGCGACTGGAGTCTTCTAACGTCATGAAGAAACCTAGTAGAAAAACGAAAAACCACTATAAGAAAACCGTTATTGAAATATCCGACAAACTGGCTGTTTGGATAGATACTCTTACAAGATTTGTGGACGTACAGGTAATTTCTAATATACCGGGTGCGTCTTAAAGTGCGTCCCAAAACATCAAAATCAGTCAAAGTCGCAGTTTTTGAGATAAAAAAAAAATTGGCGCCGGGATGCACGTATTTCATAAAATATGACCATTGAGTAATCACGATTCTGCTTAAACTGCTTGACGTTTAAAGCTGATTTTTGGCAAACGGATTGACTTTGGGGTGTAGATGTTCGATAAGGAGGGGTTTCTCGATTGTTGTCCATACTAAAGTATGTTAATAAAAAGTTGGTAGGCAGTTCTTTTAGTTCCAAAGTAAAGGAATTTTTCCAATTTTTTTTTATCTCAAAAACTGCGACTGATTTTGATGTTATTATAAATTTTGTTGCAAATATTATTCCTAATCTTAAATTGAAAACCGCGTTTCGCTAGCTACTGTAATTTTGGAGTTACGATTTTTAAAATTTTTAACTCCTTCCCATACCCCCTTACCAACCCCCCACCCCCACCAAAAACTAATGGCCAGATTCTCGGGTGCCACAGTATTTTTGTGCCAAATTTGGTTAAAATCGGTTTAGCGGTTTTTGAGTTATTGTGTTACAGACGGACAGACAGACAGACACCATGAAAATATTTTGTAATTAGGTCATTTATGACCCAAAAACTCATTTTGAGTGAAATTAAAAAAAACTTTTTTTTGCCGATCTTAATAGCCTACCATACTATTGGTATGGTCAAAATTGGAAAAATTCCTTTACTTTAAAACTAAAAGAACTGCCTACCAACTTTTTATTAACATATTTTAGTATGGGCGGCTATACGTGCCTCCCGGCGCCAATTTTTTTTCTCATTTTAGGGATGTTATTTTTGAGATATACCTCCTGTAAGGTTAGATGCATTTTTTGTCGCTTAGACAAATTTGATATTCATTTGGGTTCAACGCAGTAGAGTTTACAAAAAATAACATTTTTATTTTGGATACTTTTTTCGAGTGGTGAAAAACCCAGAATTCGTTTCCAAAAATATAGATGCCACAAAGGTATAGACAATATTATCTTAATCTTTATTTAATTAAATAAATATGTTCTCTAGTCTAAATAATCTAGAAAATAGTTTTCAATATGAACAATTGCAAATATTGACAACAACAACACAACTCAGTAAAGAAAATGGAATATAATATATTACCGTTTTTTATATCTTTTAGGTCCATAAACAAATCAACTTAACTTAATATGCAACATTTTACATTCTAATTATAAACCTTCTTGACCGTTCAGTGTTTGAAATCTCGATTTTTTTTTGATAAGGCTATAGAATGTGAGGAAGATATTCCGCCTTTGTCAATATCTTCTCTATCCAGTGAGGGCGAAGAAGATGAAGGCGAAAGCGATTACTATGAATATTCTTCGGAAGATGAGTTACGCGACGATCAATTATTTGGTCCAGAATCTGGTGTATGGGAAGACCAAGGAATATTTGAAGATGAGAAGGATTTGTTGCCTGGTATAATTCCTGGCGATATGCGTGACGAAGGAGAAGGTAAGTATTAAGTGAGGTTTCTTTCAACTGAAAGTTGTCGGCCACATTTTTGGACACGTCTCTGTTTCTTGTCATAGACTGAGAAGTCCATTCCCTATTACAGTTTGTAGCCAGAACACTTCATATTTTCATCGCGAATCTTTCCTGTCATCTATTCTTCCATTATACATACTATGCATCAAAATTAGTGATGGGATCACTCGAGCGAAAATTTGCTCGAGTACTCGATTATTGAAATAACCGACATCGCTCGATTATGAACGAGCGATGCAAGTGACGAGTACCAAGCGACGAACGCAAGCGATCCTAGAATGAAATAAATTGAAATCCGATTTTAATGTGACCTACTCGATAAAAAGCCGAGCGAATTTTCTACATACATTGCAGGTAGCAAATTTATACGACGCCGTATATACCGGGTGCGTCTCAAAAGTGGCTCACCCCTATTACTTTTATATTCTTTTAGATAAAAAAATGAGATTTGGTATGTTAGTATATGACATAAATTAGGATTGATTGACGTATTCAATTGTTTTCTGTCACTTCCTGTTTCACCGGAAATGACTACAATTTTTGATTTTTAAATGGCACCCTCGGTATTTTTTTTTTACTTTATTCGATAGAAAATCACATTCTAAATAGAACGTATCATATGTCAACTTTTGACATATTGGCTTAAAAACAAATTGATGTATTTTAAATTTCAATCTAGAGGGCCATGGCTGTGTTAAAAACACTAATTTTTAATCAAGGAGCCTTGGAAAAATAGATTTGATCATCTAATGTTTTTAGTGTCTTGCCCTGGCCGGTTAAAAGATGCCCAAATCGTATTTTTGATCATATCTCAATTTTTTTCAAATGGAACGAGGGTGGATCATTAGCATATTTCGAAAAATATTTTTTTACGAATAATTTGATACCACACACTTGGTGCTTCGAGTCAAATTGTCGTTATGAACCGCATGTTACAATTTCAAATAAACCATATGCGAAAATGTCATAAGTTGACATGTGATATGTCATTCGATTCAGAGGGTCATTTTCTCGAATCGAATAAAGTAAAAAAATACCGAGAGTGCGATTTAAAAATCATAAGTTGCAGTCAAGTCACCGAAAACAATTGAATATGTCAATCAATCCTAATTTATGTCATATACTAACATACCAAATCTCGTTGTTTTATCTGAAAAAATAAAAAAGTCTCGATTATTGAAATTAATCGGTTTTTCCCATCACTAATCAAAATACCGTATGTGCGAAAACAATAATTAGTGTTGAGTTCGCTTTAAAACGACGATCGATGCCATTTTTCATACAAATTTACATATAAAATTATAGTGACTTAAGCTTCATTCAGAACCTCCCAATTAGTGGTTTCAATTACACTTTATACTTTTTAGTTTACGATCATTCACAATGTCTATAAAACACAATTAAAATTAAAAAAATATCTTACCAACAACTTGCGGTAGTCTGTTGTATCCATAGAGAAAGCATAATATTTAGCTTATAAAACAATAAAATTTTGATTTTAAATCAAAATTTTTCTTGACGGGTGATAATCAAAGGCCAAAATGACATTCCTCGCAAATTATAATATTAATACATATTAATAATATTAATACAAAAGTATAATTATTGGAAAAGTCAAAAGTTTGTTAACTTTTTCCACTAATTGAAAATTACTACCACTAAATGCTTACATAAAAATTAGGTGAACAAACTTCTACGGCTAATTGAAACTACTAATTTATTCCACTGATTTCGAGGTTCCGAATGAAGCTTTATTTGTATTTCCAAGTTACCTCTGACGTCGGTTTCTTCCGAACGTATGGTATATTTGTCATTGTGCAAGGAGCTTTTCTTATTAACAGAAACCGGTTTTCCGGTACCGGTACCAAAATCGGTCTTCCGGTACCGGTACCGAAACCGGTATACCGGTCTTGTAAAAGACGATATCGATACCGGAATATTTCAAAAGTAGGTATACCCAAAGACCGAACATACCTACATTTTCCACCTCATAACATTCCAATTATTTAGGCATTGTTTGTAAGAAATCTTTGCTGGGATGCGATCTAAGAAAAAAATAAAAATTGTTTTAATGTAGTAAATTTTCTTGACTTCACTGTATGTAAATAACGCCTCTCTTTCAGGAGAAATCGGTTTGGATGATATCTTTGATGGCATGGACGTAGATCTTTTAGAAAAGTTGATCAGAATTCTTAGCAATTGTCCTGACGAGTTCCTCTCAGGCCTTGTTGATGATAATAAAATGCCAGGAGTAACGTACCAGGACGTCTTGGATAAATTAAAAGGTTCTTAATAATAAATCTGAAGTAATCTTTTATAGTTATTGTGTGTTCATATGTTTCGTAGCTCTTAAGGAAGCTCTACCTAGTGAAAAAGGAGACAAACCTTTCATGGAGCAAGTGTTGATAGATTGGGCGCTTAGAAATGATCCCGATGAAGTCAACGATGACTTGCTGGGTAAAATTCACGAAGTGGCCGGACTTCTAGACGATTGGCTGTTTGCTACTAAGCCCGATAAAGACAAAACCAAAGGTATACTTTTCATAGAAACACTACTAAGTACATACGATTACGATTATTTATGCTTTTGTTTTACCTACATTTTTTACTTAAGGAGGGTCCACACTTAGTAACATGTTATATAACACTGCTATTTAACAAGCTACATATCACATGTTAAAAAACCGGGAGCCGTCCACATTATAGTTTTCGTAATCATGAATCCTTTTGGCGAGAAAGAGGTTCTGCTCGCAGCAGCGGTGTGCGTAATTATTTTTGAAGATAGAGAAAGAAAGTCGAGAAAAAAGCGGCTTTGAGTCCGCCATAGCCTACAAGCAAGATCTAGATATAGTTGAACTCAATTAGCTTACCTTTTCAATACGTATCTCGGCTGTTTCTCGTGGTGCGTTTCTATCTTTTTAAAAACATTAATAACTTAAAAGCAAACCATCTTGAATTATCCACTTCATCTAAACCAGTATCTGATTTGCATTTCTTTTGTTCCCTCTGGAACTGACCTATTAGATAACGCATTTTTTTCTCAATTTTTTCTCTTTCCAAATACATATTTTTTGCAATTTTTAACCATGCATCATAACTTTGCTATATAGCAGTGTTATATAGCAAGTGTGGACCGTCCTTTAGGTCTTAATCAATATTCAATAATTTACCTCCACTCTTCAAAATGGATAGTGGTGTAAAATGTATGGTAAAGTGTGTCTTCATTTAGGTTTAGATTAGATTCGTAGGGGTGGCTATTAGCTTGATCCACTGCGACCTTTTCAGATCTGTTGTGGTCCTCTTCTGATTCTTAAGGTGCGTTTAGACTTCAGCACGCACGAGCTGAGCGTACGCGCACGGCATTCGTTTGCCGTTCTCGGCTCCGTTAATAAGTTTTTAATTTAAAAAACTTATTTTTTGAGGAATGTAGTGATCCACTTGTGCGCGCACAGCAGAGTTGAGTTGGTGAAAAAAATGGACGACCAAGAGATAGCCGCTGCTGCATTCATTGTTATGCTCAGTTTAATTATAAAAAGAAGAAAAATCGAAAACATCGTCGCTGGTGGCAAACCCAAATTTTAGAAATCGATATAACTTAAATAAAAATATAAATACAACTTAGTGTCTCGAAGAAGGCTATGATCAGTTCAAAAACTTTACGAGAATGACCAGACCCGACTTTGAATATTTACTAAATTTAATTACACCGAAAATTACGAAAAAAGATAAAAAATTTAGAATAGGAATATAAAAAAAGCTGGGGACGTTTGTAGGGGAGAGACTGTGGAAGTATTATTACATGTAGAAAACGACTTTTCATTTTTTTGTGCTTCATTAATATCGATATGTTCAATATTAATTTTATTTGCAAGGTCTTGCCATGCGTCATTTTTTTGGGGGTTTTTGAATAGTACCGTACGCAGAATATTTTAAATCTCATAATTTTTCATAAGTTTTCATATTCTTGTATTAACAATAACGGAGATTCGTTGTTCCGCGTTCCACTCCATAATTTTAATTAACATTAAAAATATGACGTTATTTAAAATTCTATCAATAACAATGTATCAAAAAATGAAATCGGAATGATGTTACCATAGAAACGCCTATTGATTTTTAGGACGTGAATTAAAATTCAACTATATTTTCATGTTTTTTTTTAATTTTCTCTAAAACGGTATGAAAATTTGGAAAAGTGTTAACGAGATTAACCATTTTGAAACCAGCAAATTTTTTTATGAAGAATGCATTTTTGTCAAATGTCAATAATAAAAAAAAATTTCCTCTTGTAAAGAGAATCCGGGGACATACTGTAGATCTGTAGATCAAATAAGACAATTGATCAAAGGAGCACTTGCTATCTTCTGTCGAGAGCATATGATTTTTTACCCATAAATTAAAAAAAAATCTAATAACTTCGAATTCCAAAGCTCTATTCAAAAATATCTGTTCTATCTATATATCTATCTATCTATTTAATAGAGAAATAATTGATAGACTTGTGAATGTTCATAACTAAATGTTTGGTCTGTTTCATTGTTTGTTGTGTTACTGTGTTGATTTTTGAAAAGAAATTTTGTATAGAAATATTTTGCGTTGTAAGTACACAGGGTGGTCCGAAGTGTATTCGTATAAATGTATGTCCTAAAATGCTTATTTTCGGAGATATAGGGTGTAGAAGTTTCACTTTTATTTCGTTTTTTTCCAAATAATTTCTGAAGTAACGTTAATATTTGGATGAAGACTGGTGTCTGGGAGATTTTTGACATGAGAAATTTGATTTTGATGTCAATATGACTGCCATTTGTAGTCACCTACATGTGTTTTAACTATTTTATTTTAAGTCTATGGTTTTAACTGTTTTGAAGAGTAATAACTTTTCGTCCGTACTTGTATAAAAGTACTGAGTAAAAAATTATACTTTTCTGTAACTTTTTATGTAAAAAATGTCTCTTGGTAAAAATTGCTACGAGTAACCGTTCTTAAGATATTTAGAATGGAAATAGTCAATACATGTCATTATTGACGAAAAATAAGCACGCTGAGTAGTTATTTGAGTGTAATAATAAATTCGGGAAATTTTTATTTTTTTAAATTAATCATAATTTTTTCTGCGCAGAAATGATGATAAAACAGTTTCTGTTGAATTTTTGGCACAAAAACATTTCAAATTTATGATTCCAGTCTAATAACTATTTAGTCAACATGTTTAATTTATGTCAATGATAACAGGTATTGATAATTTCGATTTCAAATATCTTGAGAACCATTACTCGTAGCGATTTTTCCCAAGAGATCTTTTTTACGTAAAAAATGTTGTAAATTTATATTTATTTATTCAGTTATACGGACTAAAAGATATTACTCTTCAAACCAGTTAAAAAATATGTAGGTTGCCCCCTCTACAAGTAGGAGTCAAATTAATAAATCAAATTTCTCATGTCAAAAAACTCCCAGACGCCAATTTTTATCCAAATATTGACGTTACTTCATAAATTATTTGGAAAAAATCGATATTAAAATTAAACTTCTACACCCTGTATCTCCGAAACTAAGCATTTTAGGACATACATTTATACGAACTTTTTACTTAGTTTTACCTGCAAAATATGCTTCCGAAGTGTCCGGAATACAGTTCGGACCACCCTGTATATTATTATGTTTTAAGTATTTTAATAGGCTGTTTTCTATAGTATAAATTATTAGGATATTTGAATATGATTATTATAGAAATTAATTTAATATTTAGAATTGTTGAAACATATGTGAATGATGTAGATCATCTATACACAGCAACATTTTACATTGCGATTATTACTGCAAAGTGGTTTTTTTGGAACAATAAATATTATGATATTATTATTATTAGATGACGCAAGGAGCAAAGGAGAAGGAGAAGAAGGGGAAGAAGGAGAAGAAGGAGAAGGAGGACAAGAAGGAGAAGAAGGAAAAGTAGAAAAAGAAGGAGAAGAAGACAAAGAAGGAAAAGAAGGAAAAGGAGAAGAAGGAACAGAAGGAGAAGAAGGAAAAGAAGGAGAAGAAGGAGAAGAAGGAGAAGAAGGAGAGGGAGGAGAGCAAGGAGAGGAAAAACCGGCCGGTGAAGGAACTGAAGGAGAAACTAAAGAAGGAGATTCAGATGGACAGGAAACCGATGATAAAACGATTGACAAGGAAGGTACACTCGGTGAAGGTGGACCTGAAGACGAAGCCAAGGATACGACTGAAGATGGAGCTAAGGAAGAGGGTGGTGGCTTGAATCTTCCAGACTCATCGAGAATCTCTAATTCAACTGACATGGGCGATTACACACCGGACGAGACGGATGAAGAAACTCCTAAAGGCGGAGATGACTTTATTCCCGAATATTCAGGAGAAGAAGGAATGGGAGGCGAATCAGGTAAACAAAATACACTTACAAAACTCCTTGGCGCTAAACGTATCTTTTTCGTTTAAGAAACCTACTTTGGAGTGCCACCGAAGAAACCGGAACATGTGCCAGATTCGTCACTTGGCGAAGGAGACGAAGGAGAGGAAGGAATCGATGTTCTTTATGAACCTACACGAGAAGGAGAAGAAGGAGAATATGATGGTAGACTGGGACCGAAACCAGGAGTACCAATGCCGAAACCAGGAGACATTTGGTACAATTTATTTACTCAAAAAAGAGTAAAATCAGAGACGACTTCGAGACGATTAACTAGGCCTAAAAAATAATCCTATTTTAAAAATATAAATCCGTTTCCTTTCATCTTAAACAATGCCTTATGGTTAATCCAAAAAAATCCTTTATGGGTATTTCGCCACTGCACTGCAAGAAAAATCTACAAAATAAAATAGTTATTTTTTGTAAACACGGACGCTGCTTGTCAGAAGTTGTGTTTACAGTTATAAACATTTGCCTAACAAAGAAAAAAATTCTTAACGTTTCGGAAAGTTTTCTCTTTCCGTCGTCGGAAGCGAAAAAAATATAAAGAATAAAGAAAAAAACTATTTAAAATATTTAAATTGAACTATTCGAGAACACTTTACTTTTTAAAACAGATACGTCTACAAGAAACCGTTGACGTTCTGTTAAAATGACATTATATTAAGTTAAACTTCAAAATTAACAATTACTACCTGATAACAATTACTTAATAAGGATCAACATAAATAGAACGAAATTTTGCGTTCTGAGTTGCACTACGGGAACGTTGTCCCTCTCTTTGACATTTAATTTGCCAGTCTCTTATGGTCTCTTTTTATTTGTTTGTCTATGGTTAAACTTCAAAATAAACAATTACTACGTGATAACAATTACTTAATAAGGTAAAACCAAAAAGCCCAAACTTTCTGTATGGTTATTTTCAAATTTTACGTATGTTATGTTTATTTATGTTATGTTCTTTAAAATCAAAGAAGCGATTGCCATACATTACTAACATCTACAGATGCATGAGCAATACATTTATTTTTATTAGATTGAATTAAAAAAGCCTCTTTTATTTTTCATTTAGAGGCTGTCGCTTCTTTCATTATAATTTTGGCGTTAAGCGTATAAAATTTCCGTAGCGCAACTCAGAACGCAAAATTTCGTTCTATTTATGTTGATCTGCGCATTGCGTCTATTGGGCCCACTATCTCATTCTAATATAATAAGAGAGAAAGAAGCATTGGCCGATCGTTTCCTGCAACAGTCAGTTCTTCTGCATTTAAAACTGGTAGGTGGGTGGAATAAACACTGTTATTTTTTGTTGTTATATTATAAAAAGTTATTTATTTTTATGTATAAATAAATATGTTTATAAAACAGTACAATTTTTGCTTTTTTTTATAATTTCCCTTATAATAGTAGTATTCTTTCGTTCTGAAAGAAACTGCAAATTTTTACTTAAACTGATTTATTCCCTACACCACGTTTCTTCTACGTGGTATAGGAAATAAATCAGTTTAAGTGAAAATTTTCAGTTTCACAATGAAAGAATACTACTAATAATGGCTAATTTAAATTTTCCGCCAGCCAGAATGTGCGATAATGTCTTACGATATGTTTTATACCTATCTCTTTCTTTTTCATATAAAGCACACATAATAAAGAGATAGCAATAAAGACGTGCGTCCTGCCATGGTCCTGCTAATTGGTTTCAAAATTGTTATTCTGAGTTGCGCTACGGGAACGCGGTCCCACTCTTTACCATGAGATTTGTCAGTCTCTTTTTATTTGTTTGTCTATGAGTTTAGCTTAATATAATGTCATTTTAACAGAACGTCAACGGTTTCTTGTAGACGTATCTGTTTTAAAAAGTAAAGTGTTCTCGAATAGTTCAATTTAAATATTTTAAATAGTTTTTTTTCTTTATTTTTTATATTTTTTTGCTTCCGACGACGGAAAGAGAAAACTTTCCGAAACGTTAAGTATTTTTTTCTTTGTTAGGCAAATTTTTATAACTGTAAACACAACTTCTGACAAGCAGCGTCCGTTTAGGTTTAACGCAGAAGTGTTTACAAAAAATAACTATTTTATTTTGTAGATTTTTCTTGCAGTGCAGTGGCGAAATACCCATAAAGGATTTTTTGGATAGATGAATCCGCCACATAGGTATAGACATTTTTTCCTTATGATTGGCTCGCTTTCTTTCCTTGCAAAAGGCATGGACAGATGGCGCAGATTTCCTAAATGCCACATTGCCAAAATATTATTTGTTTTTATTTCTATCTTTGTTTATTTCGCAGCCGATATTTCATCCTATAAACTTTATATTTTAACTTGGCAAGCTTGCATTTTTTTCTTTCCGCAGTTTCCAAATCCGCCATGACAGTAAATTTGACATTGACAATTTGACGAAAGTGGTGTTTCCACGGTTTGGCTTGTGTTTTTAAACGTTTATTTTATTAACTATTTATATATGTTGTGTGTATTTTATACTATTATAGTGTATAATAGTGTTTATAATTTGTGCTCTTAGACATTAGCGCAGACATTACTTAGTTATTTAAGTTTATAAACTAGCAAAAAGTAATTAAAATAATAACGGCGTCGTGTATTGTTTGTGGTTTAAAACAAGACGAGATTGAGAAAATGCATTATTTTCCAAGGAATCTTGAGAAGTTAGTTGCGACCATTTTTAACATTAATTACTAGTTAATTCGTCACAAAAATTTGAAAGTAGAATATCGTATTTTGTTAAAATAATTACATTTTTAACACTTAATTTTTTTAAACTGCAACATTTATTTTTCTCCTCAATATCTTTTTATATACTAGTACTATATTATATATACCGTAAGATCGAGAAAAAACGGCATCAGCGATGGCTATGGAATGAAGATCGCTGTCATTTTATATGTAAATTTATATGGGAAATGTCATTGATGTTTATTTCCCAGCCAACTGGACGCCGTTTTTTTCGATCATACGGTATAATACTGCGTTTTCATCATTTAAGAAAACAAATATTATCTTTTGATTATACAATTGATTATGTGAAATTTTTCCAAGATCGTTTAAGCTTCATTCAAGCAAAGATTGTTTTACTTCTTGGTTAAATTCTTAATAAATTGATAATAATTATTGATTCAGTTTAATTTAATTAAAATTATTTTTTTAATCTGTACTTTTTTCTATTATTAAGTGAGGACAAAGATGTGGACGGAAGAATTATCAAGGGTCACAAGCCGTCTAAAGTATTTGAGCATTCGCCAGATACAGTTTGCTGTTTGTCACTTAAGACCTGGGCAGTATGGTTGTTGGAAATCACTCATAACGCTCATAACTGGACGCAATGGGTACGAATTATTTACGGAGCGTATTTTATACATTTTATGTATTTATTGTGTCTATTAAGTTTCCATCTGTCAATTATATATGAGGGTAAACAAAATGTTGATATTTAGGTGAAAGTTTGAAACACCCTGCGGAATATGTTAAACAAGCAAGGAGTTTAAAAATCATTTTATCATCTAGGTACCTCTTTTCTCGATAGTTTAATTCATCTCGATAGCTTTTTTTTGGAGATATTAACTTTTGAATAAGACAGTAACGATTTACAGCAATTTCAGCATAGATTTTAAGTTCTCATCAACATACTTATAAAATGGAGTTTAATGTTCTTGTAATGTCACTGTCATTGACAAGTCATGTTGTTTATTCACAGTTAATATTATACCGGGTGCGTCTCAAAAGTGGCTCACTCCTATAACTTTTTTTCTTTAACTATTTTTCAGTTAAAAAAACGAGATTTTGTATGTTAGGGCACAAACATAGTGAGGCATCTCGATGCGATGCTCGCCAAGATGCTGGCCGCGCTGCTCGCCAGGATGGTAGCCGCGATGCATCCTACGCGCACTGTTTTAAAACGGCGAATAGGTGCGCGTAGGCATACTGAAACATTTACCATCGCCGTTTTATTAAGCACCAGTTTATGTAATAGTAGTTATTAATTAGTATAGGCTTGGTGCATTTCAGTTGATTTCAACAAATTCCTACCGCAGCGAGTAGAGTCAATGGCAAAAATCAGAAATTATCCCTATCTATTTCACGTCGCTGTCATGTTGATCGCATAGAATAATATTAAAATCGTGGTTTTGTTATAATATATAACTATTTTAGTTTTTTGCTAGTGCAGTTATTGAGACAAAAAAGAGATAAAACACTCAGGTACCAGGTTTGTGTGATGTAACGCTGTTTCGGGTAGTAAAAAATAAATGAAAAAGAATTCGAACTAGGCGTCGGCGTCGGCGTCGTGCTGTGTTGTGACAATGTCAAATGTTAATAAAATTGCCGAAAAAATGTTAACGCATAAAGGAGAGCGCAATTAGGGCGTTGTTGGGTGCAATTACATTCAATAACTCAATTTTCCCGGATATTCAACTCTCCCGAAACAAAATTTTATAGCTTCATGGTTTCTCACACCGATTTGATCAAAAGCAAAAATGGTTTCAAGCAGTTGGACGAAACAAGTGAGTAAACAAAGTGCTCGTTACATAATCAAAAAATTAAAAAGACATATACCTATGTACTATGGGAGGATAAAATATAATTTGCAATATTAATGGTATACTTTTTTTAATCAACTAGTGATTAAAGTACTTGCTATAAATAAATAAGTCCATAAACTAATTTTGAACACAGCTACTGTCACTAGAAACTTGCCATGACGACATCAGCCCTCTTTGTTGCCATTTTATTGAAAAATTGCTCTTTATTCAAAATCTGAGCTAGGTAGGTATAGGACACCCTAATATATGTAGTTTGAAAGAGCATTTGAATCGGTTTCGATTTATTTTAAAAAATAGGTTGTCGTATTTGAAATAACAAAGTTTTTATGTAAAAAAATAAATCATCAATTTTTGGTGTATAAATTTAAGGCAGCAATAAAATTTTTCAGTAAAGTTTATTTCTCTTTAAACGTTATCTTTAAAAGTTATCTTTAAACTCAGCACAAGAATTAATTCTAAAAAGTAATGTACAGGGTGTTGATAATCTATTCCATTGTAGCATGCATATTGAAATATCTTTAAATATCTCAAAAACCAAAGCTTGTAAAGATATTAATATATAATAACCCTTATAATACATGCCTTATTTTGTGTCCAAGGATCCAAATATGAAATAAAATACCGGGTGTTCCATAAGAAAAAATATAATTTTGGTGTAAATCTTAGTTCTGACATACCCTGTACATTTCAAAATAATTTTAAATTATGCACATGGTCTTCCCACATATGCCCATAAAATATTTTGTTTCTACATATTTCCGTTTTCGTATAATCAACCGAGGCGAATGAGTTGCGCCACCCCGTATATAGGTGTTCGCAAAAAATATTCGCGATCCACTCACACTTTTTTGAGCCACCCTTTAGAAGTTCAAATATTTTCCTCAAATACATCCTAATACATATACTTTATGTCTGGACTACAAAATTCATAAGTTTTTTATTATTAGAACTGCAGATGCCCGACGCACTATTGCCGGACCCTTTAGAATAAAGGTTATTACATTGCTGGTGATAAAATTAAATATTAGTATTGTGAACATTTTATTCCACCCGACTCTAGTTCGAAATATGCTCAACGAATTGTGATCCTAAACCAACCAATCAAATGTTTCAGGCATCCGCGTCCGCTTCTCGCAAAAAACAAAAATTTTGTTTCCTAGGAAGCATCGCGCTGAACATCTAGGTGCGTGGCGAGGCTCCAGTATGTTTTGACGCATAAATTTGTACATGTTTGATTCAGCATCGCCGGATGGCGAGGTGAATGGCGCGCATCGCATCGAGATGAAATGCCTTCACTATGTTTGTACGATAGTCGCGATGGCATCCTACGCGCACTTACTCGCCGTTTTAAAACAGTTCGCGTAGGATGCATCGCGGCGACCATCCTGGCGAGCAGCGCGGCCAGCATCTTGGCGAGCATCGCATCGAGATGCCTCACTATGTTTGTGCCCTTAGTATGTGACATAAATTGGGATTGATTGACGTATTTAATTGTTTTCGGTCACTTCCTGTTTCACCGCAAATGACTACAACTTTTGATTTTTAAATGGCACCCTCGGTATTTTTAGGGTTCCGTACCCAAAGGGTAAAAACGGGAACCCTATTACTGACTTCGTTATCCGTCCGTCCGTCCGTCTGTCACAAAGGTCTATCTTATGAACCGTTATAGCTAGACAGTTGAACTTTTTACAGATAATGTATCTATGTTGCCGCTATAAGAACAAATACTAAAAACAGAATTAAATAAATGTTTATAAATAAAAAAGTACTTTCACTAAACATTATCTTTTAAGTAAGAATTTTACATAGAATCTTTCAAGTCCTCGGTGGCCGCGTGGTTAAAGCGTTTGAACTTTAAGCTGCTATGACGTTGGATTAGGTAGGTAACCGTAGTAAGGCAGGTTCGAATCCTAGTCAAGGCGACTTTTTTTTAATTTTTACATGTTTTTACATATTTTTACATATTTATTTTTACTTTTTACATTTTTATTATTGATTAATATAATTTTTAGTAATGTGTTTCTTCATTTTTTTTAAATTACTTATACGCGCATTCAAAATTTCAGCTAAATCGGAAAAAAGTTTATAATAATATAGTGTCTAATGCTGTATAGATAAAGAATGGTACGGAACCCTTCGTGCGCGAGTCCGACTCGCACTTGACCAATTTTTTTTAAAAATTTATTCGATAAAAAATAACACTCTGAATAGAATGACATATCATGTGTCAATTTTTGACATTTTTCTATATGGTTTATTTGAAATTATGACTTGCGGTTCGTAACGAAAATTTGACTCGAAATACCAAGTGTATCAAATTATTCGTAAAAAATGCTTTTTCATAATATGCTAATGAGCCACCCTCGTTCCATTTGAAAAAAAATGAGATATGAACTGGTCAGGACCAGGGCCGGATTTCCGCCTAGGCCTGCCAGGCCTGGGTCTAGGGGCCCAGCCAGCCTAGGGGCCCCATGCAATGAGTGGCGCGCAACTTTTATATTTAAGCTCCAAATTGGCTATGACATGGGGGGCCCCAAATGTCAAGTGCCTAGGGGCCCTGGCCTGTCTGAGTCCGGCACTGGTCAGTATAAGACACTAAAACATTAGACGAACAATTTTTCCAAGGTTCCTTGATTAAGAATTAGTGTTTTTAACATAGCCATGACCGAGGGGTGTCTCACTCGGGTAAAAAATGTACACGTACTGCCAAAATATATATATATATATATATATATATATATATATATATATATATATATATATATATATATATATATATATATATATATATATATATATATATATATATATATATATATACTGCCAATGACTGCCAGCGACTGCCAAGAAAATGTACATGTAATTCCAATAGTGAGATACCCCTCGGCCATGACACTCTAGATTGAATTTTAAAATACAATTTTTTATTAATCGAGAATGTCAAAAGTTGACATATGTTATGTCATTCTATCCAGAATGCCATTTTCTATAGAATAAAGCAAAAAAATACCGGGGTTGCCATTTAAAAATCAAAAGTTGTAGTCATTTCCGGTGAAACAGGAAGTGACCAAAAACAATTGAATATGCCAATCAATCCTAATTTATGTCATATACTAAAAAAATCTCGTTTTTTTATCTGAAAGAATAAAAAGTTATAGGGGTGAGCCACTTTTGAGACGCACCCGATATATTAATAATTATTATTAAAAATTATATTCACAGTCAGTATTGTTTATTGACGTTTACTTTAGTAGAGACGGTTTTAAGTTCTGAAGTGTCGGCTATTGCTGCTTTAATTGATCATGGTAGAGATTAACTTTTGGACTTAAAACCATATCTGCTAGACAATAGCTTTGACATCTGCCCAACAATAATAATATAATTTTTCAAAAGACAGTATAACCTTACATAAATCATATACACTATTTTATAGGTCTGGAGACTAGGACCAAAGGAAAACGCACGGTTTTAATGTAAAAAAAAAACGAAAAAAATTTAGTGTCTTCTTTAAAAGCGAATATTTCCAAAAAATAAAGGTATTGAGATGAACCAAAAAACAAACTATCGAAAAAAGATACATCTAGATGATAAAATGATTTTTAAATTCCTTGCTTTGTTAACGTACTCCACAGGGAGTTTCAAACTTTCACTAAAATATCAACATTTTGATTTCTCTCGTATAATTGATTATAATAAAAAGTCAAAAATAAATTAGCTACAAATTGCTTAAAAAATCATCAAAATCGGCCACCTAGGACGCAATATATAAAACTACATAAAAAATACATTTGAACGAAAATTTTAAGGTGTCCGTTTTTCGTACCGGTGCACACACGACAAAATGCTGTGTTTAGCTTGGCAAAAATCGAAATTGCAAATATTTTTTGTCGTATGTTCATCCACTCACTTTCGTTCTTATAAAACCTGTGGACCTAATTTTAAATGTTATAATTCTTTCCGACCAACTATAACGGTGCAAGCGCCGAAAGTTGATGGGGTCCGCACTTTCTGGAAGAGCGTGAGTGTGCAAGAGAGAGAGTGAGTCTTGCACAAACATGGAGCGCAAAAGAGTGTCATTTACACCCAGCACAGCCATTTGAAAACTAATTACTGTTATGGACAATATAGCTACAGACCATAAAACAACTTAAAAACAACAAATCGGCTGGCTGTGACGCGATTCCAGCGGAAATCTATAAGTGTGCAAGCAAAGAACTTATTGGTCATCTTAAGGCTCTCTTCGAATATAGTAAATATATTTAAGAACAAAGGAAGTGCATCAGTTTGCGGAAACTACCGAGGAATTTCACTACTGGTTATCGGAGGTAAAGTTCTCGCAAAAATTATGTTAAACCGCCTTCACCCACATATAGAAAAAATCCTCCCAGAATCGCAAACGGGCTTTCGCACCAACCGCGGTACCGTCGATTCCATATTCTCCGTCCGCCAACTACAGGAAAAAGTAAAGGAACAGCAGAGTAAACTTTATGTTACATTCATCGACCTAACGAAAGCCTTCGACTCTGTAAATAGAGATGCACTTTGGGCAATTATGCAAAAGTTTGGAGTGCCCAACAAATTTCTTAGTGTGTGTAAAAGCCTCCATAACAACAACAAGTCGAGAGTGTCACATCATGGATCACTGAGCGATCCCTTCCTGAGAAATACAGGAGTTAGGCAAGGATGTGTCCTAGCTCCTCTCCTATTCAACACATTCATGGCAGGGCTCTCTATTATAGTGGACAGCAAACTGCAGGTAAGAGGAATGGTTGTTAGATACAGGTTTGACGGCGGTCTGTTCAACATAAAAAGACTCAGCGCAAAAATACGTATAAAATTCATCACAGAACTCCAATACGCTGATGACTGCGCTCTAGTTGCAAATACGTTACAGCAATTGCAGGAAATGCTGAACACATATACCTGGGCATACGAGACTTTGGGCCTTAAACTGAACATCGTTAAAACAAAAATCATGTGCACTCCCCCGGAAAATCATAACAGCGCTATAAAAATCGGAGAAGAACTATTGGAACTATTGGAATATGTATCGGAATTTAATTACCTCGGCAGTTTGATTTCGGAAAAGGCAAATATCGACTCTGAAATTCAGCACAGAATCAGCAGCGCCTCAAGAGCATTTTGGAAATTAAAAGACAGGGTTTTCTACAATCATGACTTGAGCACAAAAACGAAAGTTGCAGTGTATCCAGCAGTAATAATCCCCACCATGTTATACGGAAGCGAAACCTGGGTGCCGTACCGCCGGCACACGACCGCATTAAACAAGTTGCAACAGAGACACCTTAGACAACTTTTAAGAATCAAATGGTACCACCATGTCTCAAACGTATCAGTCCTTAAAAAACAAGCTGCGAGAGCGCTGAAGTCATGATTACTAAATCTCGTATGCAGGATGCAAGAAAACCACCTACCGAATTCTTTACGGTTAACTTCTAGAGGGTAAGAGGAAACCGCGGAAACTCAAAAGATACAAGGATGTTGTTCATGAAAACTTAAAGTGGATAAGTATGCAGCATCAGTGGGAGGAAACAGTGCACAATAGAACGCAATGGAGGAGAATTGTAAATTCAGTTAATAACGACAACCAAAAAGTAAAGAGGCAACAAAGTAATGAGATTTTTGAAAGTGCGGAAGAGAGATAACATGACGTATCGGGCTTTTCAATTCTTAAGCTCATGACAGGAAACGCCTTGCGTAACCGTCTTTTGATGCGTGTCAAATACTCGTCAGCGAGTAATGGCAGTAGTAGTAGTAGCTACAGACATGTAGTACAATTAAATAATATCAATATAATAAATTTGAACTGTTTTGAATGTAGATAAAATATATTTTAAACACACTATTTTGGGTTTATTTTTTTTATAATTTTGTTTTAATAATGGGTTATAGTTATGAGTTCCACGGAGTTCCGCTTTTAATTTGATAAAATTAAAATCTCTAATGTGTGTTGATACAGGTATAAAAAAATCAGCTTTCCCAAATCTGCCCTTTTTTTGAAATAGCCCTTTATTTGCAAGAAGTCCCACTAATTTCTATATCAGTCCTATAATATCAAGAAAGGATTTTTTCACTTTTAAGAAGACATATTTTCTAAATTATGAATTTCTAAGTTTATTACAAGCTTTTTTTCATATATTATTGATAGTAGAAAAAAAAATCAAAGGGCTGTGCTGGGTGTATACTTAGGGTGTATAACACTCTTTTGCGCTGCACGAAGGTGTGAACTGCATCAATTTTCTCTAACGCTTGGACTACTTTACTTGAATGGAAAAATTTATAATATTTAAAATTAGCCCTACAAATGAAATAAGTAAAACAATATGTGGATAATCATACGAAAAAAAATTCTGGAAATTAATCTGGATTTTTGTCAACCTAAATATACAGGGTTTTTCACCACATACGACACGGAGTATTGTAGCTAAACGATTAGATTTTTATTTGCCATTAGTAATTATTTAATATACATTTTTGGACATTCTGTATAAGGTAGTATAATTTTTGTTATTGCAACATAATAACTGAACAATAAATAATCTTCAGTAAATATTTAGTATTAAAAACTGTGATACCCGTGGAGAAATGAAGCCTTAAATTTTTTAATGCAATTTCACAAAATTGAAAATATTTCAAAAACGGCAAGGTTTAAGTGCGATAAACCTTAACCAAATTTACCTTTATTTCAATCGTAGAATCTAAAAATAGAATAATATACAGGGTTTTCCATTTAAAAAATACTATAATATTTTTTACTTATTTAGGACACTCTGTATCTTGTAAAATTATTTTTAAATTGTAGCTCTAATAATCTAATCGTTTAGCTACAAGCTACAATACTGCATGTCGTATGTGGTGAACAACCCTGTACATAACCCTATATTTTGCCGTGTATGCGGTGAGTGTGTTAAGGCTGCCTAAATATAAAAATAAAATTTGGCAACAGTGTGAGTGTGACATGTTGTTGTAGCATGTAGACGCTTCTTGTATTTTCCACAAATAATGTGAAAATAAATGTATACAGTCCACAAAATAGTGATTTAATTAAGTCCAAAACAGAGTGTGATTATTGTAATGTAAAATTAACATTCTTCACTATTTAATTTAGATTAGTACTGTCATTCAGCAAGTCCGAGAATACGCTTCCATTGTCAGAGGTGATGTGAAATTACCGTCGGGAGAAACTAAAGTGCTGCACAAAGCCGATTGGAGAAGATTTATTCAAGAGACTGAAGAGAATGTGGTAGCCTGGCGACAATATAGCGCTCATGTTAAAGGTAAGGTCCGACCGAACCTGAGACCGAGACCGAGAGAAAAAGAAATTCTCGGCCGAGAACGATGCCATATTTATTTAATAGTTTATTATATGAAAAAACTGATAATAATGTAATGAAAACGTTATTTTCATGCAGAAACGGTTTTATTGGTATTTAATACAATAAAATTACTAATACTGATAAAATTACTTTTTTAGTCTATGTTATAGGCTAAAAAAGTAATTTTTCAGCATTGCATCCTTTCAAATTATGCCGTCTTACATCATATTCTTTCTAAATCGTTGTTTGCTAGGGACACTTGGTGGTGCAGACTAGAAATGTCTAAGTTGCTGGTTTCAGAACTCTGTATGGAGGTGAACGATTATCACACACAAAAGTTTTACTTATTTGTAGGATATACGAGTCATTCATATAAAAGCACAATTCTGTTATATTTATAAAACTTACATTAATCAGACACTAACATCTAACATTTGTTCATTGTTTACGTACGCATGGAAATACAAAGGCGATTCTTCAGCCGTCCGGGAAACCCCCTTCGTGATTCGATCAGATCATATATGGATCAGATATGACCCATTCTTTTTTCGACTCCGGACGCGTATTTCATTCATCCACGCATCGATAGGTGCCAAAAATAAGCTAATTTGACGATCGTGAGCAGTCTTGCCTTTTTTATGCCGAGAACGAGACCGAGATCTCGGTCGGACCCATAGACAAACTAACAAAAGCTTTTGTTAGTTTGTCTATGGTCGGACCTTAGTTAAAGGTAATATCTTAGAAAACAAATCAGTGACTTTTTTGAATAGCTAATTTTTCACTTTTGCTTTGTTACCTATTTAGTAAAAACTTGTTATTTTTATTATAATTGTCTACAAGTCTTTTATATTCATTTTTAGGATTGCTGGATTTATGTGTTCATAAATACGTAAATTTTTTAAAAATTTTATTCCAGTTAAGTTCTATCATTAGCAGTTCCCGAGCTACCGTCGACGTTTTTTATTATTGTGTTTAGTGCTTTTTTTAATGACTTAAGTCATTTGATTTTAAACCATTTTTCGAAAGCTGACTTATGATTTAAAATTTAAGTCTTGTTCAAAATGGTTTGTGATTTAAATCTTTATTCTATTATTACTTTATATTTATAATATTTAGTTATTATTAGATTTGTTTTTTAGAAAAGACTTAAGCATTTAAGTCTTTTTATATAAGACTTAAGCCTAGCCTTAAGCTTCTAATCTTTTATAAAAGGCTTAAGTCAGATTTTTATATATTTTTATGATAAATTTTTAACAGCATCATTTCTTTTTAAGCTCTTATGCGGCAGCCAAGCAGCAAAATAAAAAAACAATTCTCAATATCACTAGCAAATAAAACATTAGTTTTTCGGAACCGGTTTTGATTATTTAGTGTGTTACGTGTGCGTAGTGAGTCGTCTGTTGTCTTTCAAGTGAATCCCCGACTCCGTTACGTAGCCCGAAAGACGAACGAAATATTGAAGAGTACCTTAAAATCTTCCAGCCCTTATGCCTTCGATATATTACATAGTGATCAAAACTAGTGATGGGATCACTCGAGCGATACTTCGCTCGAGTACTCGATTATTGAAATAACCGACATCGCTCGATTATGAACGGGCGATGCAACTGACGAGTGCCAAGCCACGAAAGCAAGCGCTCCTAGAATGAAATAAATTGAAATCCGATTTTAATGTGACATATTCGATAAAAAGCCGAGCGAATTTTCTCCATACATTGCAGGTAGCAAATTTATACGACGCCGTATATATATTGTTACGGATTCCGTGGGTCCACTATTTAAACTCACGATAAAATACTTAACGAATTTATTTGTTTCACTCTGTACACACAACTTATACTATTTACAACACAATTATGCAACTACTATTACTCTAACGGTATTTCGCGGTATTTTCAAACTTCAGACTATCTTCAGACTTTAGACTTTAAACTTCAAACTTTAAACTTCTAAACTTTTAAACTTGTCCAACTGTCAAAGCGCGGGCCTTATATACCCCCTGACGGTTGTTTCTAGATTTTTCTAAAGAATTCTATAATTTTCTTGACTTTCTGGCGAATGCGCCAGGTTCCTCAATACACGTTACGATTTTTTTAGCAGTATGCAGTTATGCAACCAGTAATACACCTTGACAATATTTATCCATTGCGTATCTGAGAGACAAAATTTTACGACCGACAGCGACATGCTTTGAAATAAACTGAATCAAGCGATCAAGCGAATCGCTCGCCGCTTACTACTTGCCATTCAACACCGAAAAAATATGTGCCCTGCGCACGCAACTTACTGCTTGGCGCTTGGCGTTAACGAGTACTTACAGCAGGTGGCGGGTGAAAAACCGTATTTTTAAATACGAGTGATATTTCACTCGAGCGATCACTCGGTTATTGTAATCGCTTGAAACTCGAGTACTCGATTATTGAAATTTATCGGTTTTTCCCATCACTAATCAAAACATATCACCACTTTTTAATAGACATGTATTCCATGACATCTATCTCTAATCTATACTAATATATAAAATCCTTAAGTGACTGAAATACTGATTAATCACGATCCTGCTCAAACCACTCAACGTAAGAAGCTCAATTTTGGCATACAGGTTGATTCTAGGGTGTAGAGGTTCGATAAGAAGGGATTTTTCGAAATTCCAGTTCCAAGAGGGTGAAACCATCCCTCAAATATTATAATATTTTTTATTTAAAAAACGGTCAAGTTTCTGAAAAAACGCTTAAACACGTATATTTTATTTTGTTTTTTACATATTTTAAGATTTTTTATAAATGTATACAGGGTGTTTCGAAAAATCTGGTCATTGATTAGTAGATTTCGATAAGGCGGGATTTTGCGAAACTCGAATTCTAAGGGGGTGAAACTATCCCTTAAATATTAAAATATTTTTTATTTAAAAACCGGTGAGTTTTTCGGAAAAACTCTTAAACACGTATATTTTATTTTGTTTGTTTGATTTTTTTATAAATTTATACAGGGTGTTTCATAAAATATGACCATCAAATCACGATTCTGCTTAAACTGCTTGACGTTTAAAGCTGATTTTTGGCAAACGGATTGACTGTGTGGTGTGGAGGTTCGACAAGGAGGGGTTTCTCGAATCTCAAATTCCAAGGGGGTGAAAACGCCCCTCAAATATTACAATATTTGTTATTTAAAAAACGGTTAGTCTTTCGGGAAAACGCTTGGACAGGCATCATTTATTTGGTTTTTTTACATATTTTGAAATTTTTTACAAAATCATACAGGGTGTTCCAAAAAGTTGAGTAATTTCTTAATCACGATTCTGCTTAAACTGCTTGACGTAAAAAGCTTATTTTTGGCAAACGGATTTTTCGAAAGTCAAATTCCAACGAGATGAAACCCCTCAAATATTACCAAGTTATATAATAATATCGCCATATTGTTTTTTCCCATTTGTTTTTCTCAGAAAATTTTATCCAGTTTGTATGTTTATGGAAATTCTTGCTTTGCTTTATCATCACCATTACAAATGATTAATTCGACGCGAACGAAGTCGCTGGTACACGCTAGTGGATACATATAAAGAAATACAAAATCAGTTAAATTAAAAAAAACATATTTTTGTGTTTGAATTTGTCCTGAAAATTAACCGTTTTAGTTCCAATAAATTAATATGATACTTCGTAAGAAAATCGCCCTAATTGGTTATATAAGAAAATTAATGTTAATATTTAAAAAAAGGTACTTAACTCCGGTTGTCTTGAGGGTAATTATATTGACTTATGTCATTTTACTGACTTAACTTGCAGATCATCATGATTTAAGTCAAAAATATAGACTTAAGTCATGAAAACGACTTAAATAACTTTATATTTATTTAAGTCTTTACAAAAATGACTTGACTTGAAATAAAATGATTTAAGTCAAAGACTTAATGCTTAAATCATTTGAACTATATGTTGAACTTGAGTTAAGACTTAAATCATTTTGATTTTAAATATGACTTAAGACTAGCAGCTCTGATGATATCTAACATAAAACATCAATGACATAATAAATCTGGTTATATTTTTATATAGAGTATTTATATTTTTGCAGATTTATCGAATAGTATAATAGAAAATTTCCATGGTAAGCCTGTAAATTGTTGTCCCAAATGCTTGGAGGACCAACTTATAAAGAACGTGGTTGTCGCCCATGATACTCTTCAAGCCTTAACGGAAGCCATAAGTTGCGCAGCTTACTGGCAGAGGTGTTTGGACACTTTGGTAGAGAGAACTAGTGAACTGACCACACCTCATAAAGGTATTTTAAGTATTGTAGTATCCACTCTATACAGGGTGGTCCGAACTGTATTCCGGAAACTTCGGTAGCATATTCTGCAGATAAAAATAAGTAAAAAAGTTCGTATAAATGTTTGTCCTAAAATGCTTAGTTTCGGAGATACAGGGTGTAGAAGTTTCATTTATATTTCGATTTTATTCAAAATAATTTCTGAAGTATCGTCAATATTTGGACGAAAATTGGTTTCTGGGAGTTTTGCCATGAGATTGAGTGACTGGGAGTTTTTTGACATGCGACAATTTGATTTTGATGTCAATATGACTCCTACTAGTAGAGGGCGCCACCTACATGTGTTTTAACTGTTTTGAAGCGTAATAACTTTTTGTCCGTACCTGTATAAAACTACTGAGTAAAAAATATACATTTATGACGTTTTTTACGTGGAAAAGGTCTCTTGGTAAAAATCGCTACGAGTAATGGTTTTCGAGATATTTGGAATCGAAATTATCAATACCTGTCATCATTGACATAAATTAAACATGTTGACTAAATAGTTATTAGACTGAAATCATAAATTTGAAATGTTTTTGTGCCAAAAGTTCAACAGAAACTGTTTTATCATCATTTTTTACAGAAAAATTTATGATTAATTTAAAAAAATAAAAAATTTCCTAAATTTATTATTTCAGTGAAATATAACTATCTACTCAACGTGTTTATTTTTCGTCAATAATGACATGTATTGACTATTTCCATTCTAAATATCTTAAGAACGGTTGCTCATAGCGATTTTTACAAAGAGATATTTTTTACGTAAAAAGCCACAGAAATGTATATTTTTTCGCTCGGTAGTTTTATAGAGCTACGGACAAAAAGTTTTTACGCTTCAAAACAGTTAAAACACATGTAGGAGGCGCCCTCTACTAGTAGGAGTCATATTGACATCAAAATCAAATTTCTCATGTCAAAAAACTCCCAGACACCAATTTTCATAAAAATATTGACGTTACTTCAGAAATTGTTTGGAAGAAATCGAAATAAAAATGAAACTTCTACACCCTGTATCTCCGAAACTAAGCATTTTAGGACATACGTTTATACGAACTTTTTTACTTATTTTTATCTACAGAATATGCTGCCGAAGTTTGCGGAATACAGTTCGGACCACCCTGTATATTAAAAGTTATTACGCTTCAAAATAGTTGAAACACATCAATACCTATCATCATTGACATAAACATGTCGACTAAATAGTTATTAGGCTGAAATCATAAATTTGAAATGTTTTTGTGCCAAAAGTTCAACAGAAACTGTTTTATCATGCGAAATACATTTATAATTAATACATTATGATTAATTTAAAAAAAGAAAAATTTTCCTAATTTATTATTTCAGTCAAATAACTCTCTACTCAACGTGTTTATTTTTTGTCAATAATGAAATGTATTGACTATTTCCATTCTAAATATCTTGAGAAGGGTTACTCGTAGCGATTTTTAACAAGAGACATTTTTTACGTAAAAAGTCACGGTAATGCATATTTTTTCACTCAGTAGTTTTAAACAGGTACGGACAAAAAGTTACTACTCTTCAAAACAGTTAAAACACATGTAGGTGGTGCCCCCTACAAATAGGAGTCATATTGATCAAAATTCAATTTCTCATGTCAAAAAACGCCCAGATACCAATTTTCATCCAAATATTGACGTTACTTCAGAAATTATTTGGAAAAAATCGAAATAAAAGTGAAACTTACTCACCCTGTATCTCCGAAACTAAGAATTTTTGGACATACATTTATAAGAACTTTTTTACCTATTTTTATCTACAGAATATGCTGCCGAAGTTTCCGGAATACAGTTCGGACCACCCTGTATATCTTGTAAAATAATAGTGTTTGGTTCTATTCGATTTGTTCTGATTTTAGACGATAAAGAAGGGCAAGATGAGGATACCAGTAGCAGCGAAACTGGTAGTGTTGACTTAGAAGAACTAGCAAAAGAAGAGGAGAGCGGTGAATCTGTTTACGACATTGAAGGCGTATATAATAGTGATAGTAGTAGTACAAAATGATAAAATCTTAATAATATATAGTGGTTTTTCAAATTAGTAACATTTGTGGTCTTTTTGTTAAGTTCTTTCATTATTAATTTTTCGAATTATCCTAAACAACATAATATTTTGATATCTACACACAACTTTTTTATTAATGAAATCTTTTAAAATTGTCGAATAAAAAAACGTCTGTTAATAAATTGTCTATGTCAAATTTTTGTTTTTCTGTTCCAATGACTTCTGAATTAGAATTTATTAGTTTAGATATTTTTGAAGGTTTAACTTGGATATCTAATTAATAATTGTACCTATATATATATATATATATATATATATATATATATATATATATATATATATATATATATATATATATATATATATATATATATATATTATATAACCATTTTAGCTTCAACATGCGTGAGTTCAAAGTAAGGCGTTTTGGTATTGCTGTGTTGTGTTGAACTAGTGTTATTTTAAATTTTGACCTTTGTATACAAGGTGCTACAAATATGGGGTACGAGCATTGGTATCTAGGAAACCGTAACCGTAATAGATATGAAGATGGTTCAATCGCCAACATGCTATCAGATAAGTTTCACAAATTTCAAGGATTGCTGAGTTTTTAGGAAAACGGATTTTTTTTTTCAAAATAAATCTTATTTTTTTCTGTCGTTACTTTTTAGAAAATCGAAAAACTAATTGCACATTCTTATAGTCACTTAGTCCCTTTATCAGAGCTATTTGATAGTATTTTTGTATTTTCAAATTAGCTAATAGTTTATGAGAACCATAGGCCACCACGTTTTTTAAACACGCATTTTTTTTTGTTAAAAACACTAATTTTTAATCGCTTTGAAAAATGGATTTGATCGTCTAATGTTTTTAGTGTCCTCTTCTGGCCAGTTAAAAGATGCTTAAATCGTGTTTTTTTAACATATCTCAATTTTTCAAATGGAACGAGGGATGAGGAAAATGCATGTTTTTAAATAATGGTTTTAAAAAATAGTTCATATAATTACAAATTGAACAAAAAATTTGATATCGGTTAAGAAATGCCTCTAATATAAAATAATTAAATATTGTTAATTTAAATGGCCGGGCAAACGCTCTTTACCGCGCCTTGCCGCTGGGACGTCACCCGCCGTTCTTCTGGTTGAGTACAGCCAGACGCGTGTTTATTTTACACAGTTTGCTTTTAAACGCTGTTGAATCCGAGTCAAAATTTTAGTTATTTCTGTTAATTAATACATAATTAGTAATTTGTGATATTTATAAATAGTAATGGATGAGCGAAAACAGAAAAAAAAATGGTCCAAGGCCATAAGAAGAGATGAAAAGACAAACGTTAAATTATCCTCTATTTTTACGATTTATTATGAAGATCATTTTGATCATATATTTATGTATATTGTCTTACATAGGTATATGAAGTTTGAATGTACAGGGTTATTCATTATATTTTGACACCCACCTACAGCCTTAACTGCAAGTTTAAGAAGAAAACATTAAATACAAAAGTTGCATGGTTTTTCATATACTCTCATTTAAAAATAATTCTAGTTATACAAGGTGTCTGAAAAAAAGTTGTTCCAAAAAATTGTAGGTATTTTTCGTGTATAATTTCCTATACCTACCTTCAACTGTTTACGAAACGTAAAGATTCTTTACGTCTACGTATACGTGCCAGCAGCGGCCGACTCGACCGTATGCCGTTGTTATCTATGATACATGAAATATATCTAGAATCTAGAATATCTAGGAATTTCCGAAGAATCCAAAAATATATAGGGTGTTTCACTTAAAAAAGTAACTTCATTTTGGCGTTTGCTTATGGGACACCTTGTATGATATTTTCATTACTGATAAAAAAATTCAATTTATTTCCTATAATTTCGTAAAAAAAACAATCTTTTATTTTTCCACGTACTAAACAAATATTTTTGTCTCTTTTCAGAACACAAAACACACCCAAATAATAACTGCACAATAGAAGCATAAAAAGCTCCTTCAATCGACGCTAAAAGCAACAAAATTGTCTTAGTACGCCACCTAAATACGTACATAAACGGAACACGTTTAGCTGCTACTGGCCATGACATCTCGTCAGAAGTTTCTAGTCCTAGCAGTCAACTTTTAAGCTTGACCAATCAGGTTGGTTAGCGTGGTTATTTGAAGGGTGTTAATTCATTTGTGTTTGTCAAAAACTCTAACGTGATTGGTCGGGCTTAATAGTTGCCTGCTAGGGCTAGACACAAGTCATCTCGTCGACGAGAACGGCGGGTGACGTCAGACCAATAGAATATCGTTTCAATTCGCGAGGCGTCGTTTGCGTTATCCATAGTATTTTAATGGCTCGTTTTATAAAATTGTGGTACTGCTTTCAAGAAACAAGTTTTTTTTTGCATTTACACATATTTATTCTAATAAATTGAACAGTTTCTGGCGAAAAATAAAATGTATGCATCTTCCCCATAATACAAATAAATAATTGCAATTTAATAATGCAATTTTAAATAAACCATATGCGAAAATGTTAGAAATTGACATATGATATGTCATTCTATTCAGAGTGTCATTTTTTATCGAGGGTGCCATTTAAAAATCAAAAGTTGTAGTCATTTCCGGCGAAACAGGAAATGACCGAAAACCACTGAATACGCCAATCAATTCTAATTTATGTTATATACAGGGTGGCCCATCGAAAACGTTCCGCAAGGCATAACGGCCAGGGTATTTATTTTTTCAAAAAATCCAAAAACACGTCAATTTTGTTTGTGAGGGGGACAACTTTTGCCTCAAAAATGACTGCAAAATATTCAACCCTCTAAGCGGGGGTGTCATCCCCCAACTTTTTTCAAATGGAAAGGGGGGTCAAGTGGCCCGCAATGAAAAGAGCTTTCTATTCTTTATATTTCCCCGCTTCGTTTTTGAAAACGGGTCGAGTCATTGAGAAAATATGAAGGATTAAAAGTTTATTTAAGCATTTATCAGAGTAAATGATAATTAAGGATAAATTCGACCAATTTGCTGTTTTTTCTTATTATTTCTTGCCACAACGTTGAACTATTGAACCAGGTGCAGCAGTTGCTAGATAGCTGTTCTGTGACTTGTACGTTGAAGTTCTTCTCAATATCGTTAAACTGACCCACAATAGAATTTCCAAAAATACCAGCCCACACGTTCATTTTCTGAGGGTTTTGTGTGTGCATATTGCGAAAAACCCTGGGGTTGTCCTCATCCCAGTACCGACAGTTGTGCCGATTAACTACAACGTTCAAGAAGAAAGTACACTCATCCGAAAACCACACATTAAATAGGAAATTACCATTCGCCACTCGTTCACTCATAGTTTCACAAAATTGCAAGAAACGATCAAAATCGTCTTCGTTGAGTTCTTGTACCAACTGAATTTTGTACGGGTGGAACTTGTGTTGTTTTAATATCCTTTGGAAACTTGTACGATTCCCGCCGGTCTCATTGGCTAATTTTCTTGTACTTAGAATACTGTCCATGGCAATTTGGCCCAATACGAATTCCTCCATAGCTTCATTTACTACAGGATTTTCCCTCTACCTCTTTTTATTCATAACGGAACCAGTTTCGCGAAATTTTTCTACTAACTGGCGAACAATTTTGCCATAAAGGTGTTTGGCAGGATGGCGTTCATTGAATATCTGCGCAACCCGATTGCAAACATCTAGAAATAATAAGAAAAAACAGCAAATTGGTCGAAGGAATTTATCCTTATCATTTACTCTGATAAATGTTTAAAAAACTTTTCAAATTTCAATCCTTCATATTTTCCCAACGACTTGACCGATCTTCAAAAACGAAGCAGGAAAGTATAAAGAATAGAAAGTCTTTTTCACTGCGGTACCACTTGACCCCCCTTCCCATTTGAAAAAAATCCGGGGATGACACCCCCGCTTAGAGGGTTGAAGATTTTGCAATAATTTTTGGAGCAAAAGTTGTCCCCCTCACAAACAAAATTGACGTGTTTTTGAATTTTCTGAAAAAAAATTACCCTGGCCGTTATGCCTTGCGGAACGTTTTCGATGGGCCACCCTGTATACTAAAATACCAAATGTCGTTTTTTTATTTGAAAAATTAAAAAAGTTATAGGGGTGAGCCACTTTTGAGATGCACCCGGTACACAAAATTATTCTGTTCTTTTCAATTTTCTATAGCATGCTTGTATTTTGGATAGTCTCTTTTGGTCCATTCGAATCATGTTATCCATAAGTACAGATGTATTTTAACAATGCTTGGTTACAGCTATTGAGTCCATTATGTGTTATGTGCCTATTATTAGCCGACCATACCAATTTTTTTTTATCATAATGACTCTGGTTAGTAACGGTTGCTTGACTGTCAATTATATTATTTTATTAAATAAATATTATAAATAAATATTTATTGTAAACATATTATATAGATATTATGTTTTTAAACCACTATTTATAGATATTGGTTTTATCTGCTGTCAATTAGAAAATTGTTTAGAAGTGATTTGTTTCAAATTTTCGAGTTTTATTTAGGCTATTTTCTGGAAACGTTTTTTAGTAATTTGAACTATTAGAAAATAGATATTTAAGAAAAAGACGTGAGAAGAAACATTTCAGCTGTGTATACACCATTTTTATTTTAATATACAAATTTAATTTCTTTTCCATAAAAATGAATATTTTGTTTACTTAATAAAAACAACTACGCTGGTTTCAGCCAGTTTTAAATGAGCATACGGCTTTGCACCTAAATTAAAAGTGTCTACACCGATTAAGGCTTGATGATTTTGCTCTGGGAATTTCTTGTCCAGTTCCTGTACAAGTAATTTGGCAAACAAACTAGAATCATCTATGGAGAATACCAGCTGGGAAAGCATTTTCTCTATTTCTTCCAGAGTTTTTGGTGGAAACGTATCTGATTTGCTTCGATCCTCTATCTAGTAACAAGAAATTATATTTATTTATATAATTCGTATTAGACTACATGCCTATACAGGGTGGCTCCTCTCATACGCCGCGTAGCCTCCAAGGAGAAGGGTAGTTTATATCGAAATGAAATTTTGGCAGCGTATGTAGGCTAACTGAAAGCATGTTGTAAGAATATATGGAATTATACAGGGTGTTCCCAAAAAAAGTTACACATCAAAGTTGTGTTTTTTCTAATGGAATAATCTATATATTAATTAATTTTCGGATTCTAGGAAAAAAATAAAGGTGAGTTTTATTAAAGAAGCATATACCTAAAATCTAAGGATTTTGACATATTTCACATTTTGTGAAAATGAAGAGTAAATTTTAAATTTCGATAACAGCTACCTAATTTTAGTTGACCATGTGTATAGCATGATATTTAATTACAGTACCCATTGTATGTTAAATCAAATTGAAATTTGACTCGAAAAGTTATACAGTGCGAGACAAAATTAATATGGAACATTAGTCACTTTTAAATAAATAAATAATAAATAAATGCCTTTATTGTCAAAAAATTTTTCAATTTGTAGACAAAGGTAAACTAACAAACAAAGTAGAAAAAAACAAGGTACACAAACAAACAAACAAAAGATAATACAAAACATTATATAAATAATATTGTCAGTCTTATTGTTAAAATAAACATTTATAAATGTTTACAATGTCAAAGAAGAAAAAAAATTTAAAATAATATTCAAAAAACATTTAGCCAGTTTATAGTTAAAATATCAATGACCTCTAAATAAATTAATTTCGATGTCATTAGTAAATATAGCAATAGCAAACATTAGACCAGTGGTTTCAAGATCAAATTCGATTTTCAATTCAAATATAATTCATTTACGGCGTAGAAAGCCTTGTATAGTAAATAAGAGTTCAATGCTTTGCGAAATGAAAAAAATGATGTTATGGATTTGATTTCAAATGGCAGGTGATTGTGCATTTTTTTCGAGTTGTATAATATTGAACTTTTAACTAACTCTCAGCGTGGGGTAGGTAGATAAAGATCTTGCTCCGCGTTCCTGAGTGGATAAGTGTGAGCTGGCCTTTCTTGAGAAGCTGATACATGTTTACTTATTAGGCAAACGGATTCAAATATAAATAAGGAAGGAAGAGTCAATATTTTTAATTCTCTAAAAAAGCTCCGGCAATGAATTCTGCTGTTTAGTCCCAGTGAATATCGAACAGCTCTCTTCTGGAGCTTGAAAATGCGGTCAAATTGAGCCGCACAACACGTACCCCAGAATGGAAGGGCATACCTGAGATGCGACTCAAAAAGTGCATAATAAACAGTTCTAGCCACTGACAAGTTAAGCTCCTTAGAAACAGACCTTAATGCAAAACAGGCAGAGCTCAATTTTTTCGACAAAGCTTCGATATGTATGTCCCATTTCAGAGAATTGTCCACAACAAGCCTAAAAATTTTACAGATTTTACGACGTCAATGGTGGTGTTGTTAAGTACAAAAGGCTGCAACGAGTTTTTATACGACAAAGCTTTAGTTTTAGAAATGTTGAGACTCAGGAGGTTCGAATCGCACCAAGATTTAATGGTGATTAAGTCATTTGATATAATCCTATGAAGTGCCGTGATGTCCTTGTTGCTCCAAGTGAAGCTAGTGTCGTCCGCAAAAAGACATATTTTGCCACTGATGTTTATGTTAGCAATGTCGTTAATAAAAAGAAGAAACAAAACAGGGCCTAGTACTGAGCCTTGTGGTACTCCACATTCTATTGGCTTTCTAGAAGACAACGTGGTATCCACCCTCACAAGTTGACTTCTGTTGCTCAGATACGACTTAAACTATCCGAGAGATGATCCCCTGAACCCATAGTGCTGCAGTTTATTAATTAAGATCTTATGATTAACAATCGAACGCCTTAGAAAAATCACAGAAAATTGTTGCTGTAGAATGATGGTTGTTTAGGCTGGAGTAAACTTTATTAAGGAGGGAAAACATAGCGTCATTTGTGGACTTGTTGCTTAGAAATCCAAATTGATATTCAGTAAGTATTTCGTACTTAAACAGAAAAGATACCAGCCTTCTTTTAACCAACCTTTCTATGATCTTAGATAGCGTTGGAAGGAGTGCAATTGGGCGATAGTTAGAAGCTTCATCTTTGTCTCCTCCTTTGTGCAGAGGAATGATTATTGCCGTCTTAAGACATTTTGGAAAAACACCATTTTGGAACGACATGTTTATTAAAGTTGTTAGGTGATTCAGAGTGCTTTCTGGCAGATTCGAAAACATTTTTAAAGTTAGCCCGTCGGTCCCAGAAGAGGATTTATTTTTGATGGTATTAATTGTACTCCGAAGCTCTTCAAGAACTACGGGCGAAAAAAAGAAACTGTGTAAGTTTACATTATCATTAGAGAGATAAGAAAGTGGATCATGAGGAGGACATATGGTATTAGTTAAGTTTTTCGCTACATTTACAAAGTAATCGTTAAGGTTCTCAGGCGAGGTAGAGATATTGCTAGACGAAGAAAAGCTTTGTTTCTCAACTCATTCACAATAGACCATGTTTCCTTAGCAACATTACCAGAATTGACTATTCTCCTATTATAATAAAGGTCCTTAGCGGCTCTTATAGTCTTATGATAAATTTTTCTGTATAGTTTTACGTAATTGTGGAAGAAGAGACTGTTGCGAATTTTTTTAAGTGAGATAATGAACGCATGTTTTTAGAAGATATGCGTAGACCTTTAGTGGTCCAAGGTTTATTATGCTTATTTTTTATAGGCCTAAGAGGAAAGGATTTGAACGCTAGACTGGTTAATGTTTTTACGAAAATAGAAAATTCGGTGTCGACATCATAAGAGCTAGTATCCCAGTTGGTTGTTTTACATAAGTGGCTGAACTTTTGAGCATTCTTTTCTGAAAAAATACGACATAATTTACGAGGGGCATTTTTGATTTTGCAAGTTACTCCTTTATTTTAAACGGAACCCAGTATATTTTTCCGGTGTTCAATGGGAATTAATATATCTTCAAAATATTATTAAGGTTGCATACCCCTCAGACAAAGATTTTCCTAGATATTTTAATTTTTATGATTTTGCGTCAGTAGATCTTTAATATTTGGAAAAATCTACGGTGGCTGTGTGATATACCTTTTGTTAATATAACAAAAATTGAAAATTGTAGAGTAAAATACTTAACGGCAAAGATAAAAAAAGATACACGTTTAAAACATATTTTAATTATTACATGATTAAAACTACATATAAACCTATAATTATGTGACAAAAATTAGCTAGATGAAATCAAATGCTCAAAATGCTTCCTTTCCTGTTAACTGCATAAAATGATTGTCTTTTCAAAATGATCTTTTCATTTTTAAAGGCATATGTGGAGTTCCACCTCGAAAAGCAGCTACAATAATTTCTCTCATGTTGTTGACAATAGTTGGCCGAGTTTTGTAAACACTGCCTTTAACATATCCCCATAGAAGAAAAACCCAGACTAGATAAAATCAGGAGCATTTAAGTATTCTATTAATTGGTTTGGTTGTGCACACTGCATTCACCAACTAATAGAATCATATCGATTCTCTCTAATCTTATCCTACCAGTTTGCATTTTCGGCAAATTTCTGAGAATTTTTTTTTGTTTTAACTGACACAAAATGATAACTAGTTGTTGAAGTTTGACTAATTAGACAGCTATGTTGAAGTAATGTCAGAAATATCACAGCCACCTAGATTTTATCAAATAACAAAGATCTACTCAGATCAAATGATGTAAATAAAAATATCTAGGAAAATCTTTGTTTGAGGGGTAGGCAACCTTAATAGTATTTTGAAGGGATATGAATTCTCCATTGAATATCGGAATAATATACTGGGTGTTTAAAATAAAAGAGTAACATGCTTTTAAAGGTGACCAATGTTCAATATGAATTTTGTCTCACCCTGTATAACTTTTTGGATCAAGTTTTAATTTGATTTAAAGTACAATAGTTAATTTAACTACATATCAGGCTATACCGGGTAAATTCCAATTTAGATAGCTTTTATTGTAATTTAAAAAGTGTTCTTTATTTCTAGATAATGTTAAATATGTCAAAAACCTTACATTTTAGTCATATACTTCTCTTATAAAACTCACCTTTATTTTTTTCCCAGAATCCGAAAATCAATTAATATATAGGGTGTTTCATTACAAAAAACACAACTTTGATCTGTAACTTTTTTTGAGGGCACCCTGTAGAACTCTCTATATGTTTAGAAAGTGCTCTGAATTAACCTATATATGCACAAAATTTCATTTCAATACAAACTGTCGTTCTTATTGGGGCTTCCGTGGCGTATGAAAGGCGCCACCCTGTACAACGTGTCCAAGAAATTTGGCTATATTCGTACAGAAAAGTGAGTTTTACAGAAATTTTTATTCTTGGTAAAAAAATTTCTGCCTCTTAAACAACTAATTTATTAGAGAATTTTACTGGGAGGATTTTTTCTATAAAAAATCTGCCAGAATCGCAAACGGACTTTCGCACCAACCCGCTACTGTTGATTCCATATTCTCCGTCCGCCAACTACAAGAAAAAGTATAGGAGCAGCGGAGTAAACTTCATGTTGCATTCATCGACATAACAACTGTGTCACAAATTAACAACAGATGCGAAAGAACACCGAATTACGCGTTCAGGTTTCTGTGACCTTCAGAAAGAGTTCATAGACAATCCGCATCAATGTATAGTTTGAGTTATTATTTGTTTGGGTGAAAATAATCTGCACCAATAAGTTATCGAGGCATACAAAAAGGTCCACAGACTTCGAGACATACGAAAAATCAAGTCCATTTAGCGTGTGTCGCAATTTTCACACCTTAAAAAATAGTTTTTTATAGCTATAGCAACTGCAGCGACTATGAAAAAAGCTGTGTGATTTTCATAGAAAATAAGGGCACCTGTAATTCATTTGAGAATGTTATAAATCGCTAAAAAGAGGTTTCAAATCTCTTGGATTTCTATTAATATTAAATAAATTTTATTAAAAATTGAACTAAAATTGTTAGTATCATTAAAAACAATTCAAATTCAAAAATTGTATCAGTCAAATTCCCTCATTTAAGGTGAATATTAAAGTAAATATAAATACAGCTCATTCTAAGCTCTACTTATCTTTAAGAAAAATTTAAATCATTGTTGCAATTGGGCCTTAATGCCATTTCGAATGAACAATAGTATTAATAATGTGCATTATAATAATAATAAATTTTATATCATAGTGTGTATTAAAACTACTAAAACACTCTTAAATTGGTATTATATTAACAACTTTTGTTTTTTAATCCAAAAAAAAGTTACCAATTTTCTCAATCAACATATTTGTGGTCCTGAAAAGGACCTTCGTTTTCCCATGTTTGTCAAGGTAGGTAATGGGTAAACAGTAAAAAAACAGGATAATGAAATTTAAAAAATTACAAAAATTGTTCAAAAGTGCCTCCCTCTTGCATTAAACAATAACCCAAACGATCATAAAATCCCCTCCTCACATTGGATAACATATCAGGGGTGACAGTGTCAAAGGCATTAAATATTTTCTGCCTTAACTGCTCCAAGTTTTGAATTTCTTTATGGCCGTAAATTTTAGATTTTATGTACCCCCATAAAAAGAAATCATTCACCGAGAAGTCAGGTGAAATTAAACGTTAGTCTAAATAAAACTGTCATTTTTGAAAACTTGTCAAAATTTGGACACACGCTAAATGGACTTGATTTTCCTATGTCTCGAAGTCTGTGGACTTTTCTGTCTAATCTCACGGTAATTTAATAGATTGCTCGTCATATTATATCAGCTCGTAGGAGATTAGGAAAAAAAAGATATTTATAATAAAGAAAATTAATTTATTTAACAAAATTTAATTAAAGATGTGACAAAATAGTTACATTTCTATTGGTTCTATCGGACTTTTTTCGACTATATAAATCTTTATTTTTTGTAAACCTTAATGCATAAAATATTTTCAATCTAATAATAATTTAATGATGTAAATAAGAGGAAATTTCTCACATGTGTGGTCAAATTCTATAGTTTTCATTATATCAAACAGCCTCTGAATGTTTTCTTCAGTGCAAAACTCATCAAAATTTAATATAAATAATTTTTCCAGCCTGTAAATAAAATGAACAAATTTTTTCACTTTCATGATCAAAGGCTTTTAAATGGGTAAATAATTTCGAGTTATCCAGAGATTCGGATTCTTTTGCAAATTTTAGACAAATATCATATTGATGTATTTGAAGACCCTTTTTAATGATGTAGTCAAACATAATTAAAGGCATTTTGAGTTGAAAACATTTCTCAGAGGCTGTTTGATATAATGAAAACTATAAAATTTGACCAACCATGTGAGAAATTTCCTCTTATTTACATCATTAAATGATTTATTAGATCGAAAATATTTGATGTATTAAAGTTTACAAATGAAGATTTATATAGTCGAAAAAAGTCCGATAGAACCTATAGAAAGGTAACTATTTTGTCACATTTTTAATTAAATTTTGTTAAATAAATTAATTTTTTATACTATAAATATCTTTTTTTTCCTTATAAATAAACACATTTGCATCCCTTTTTAAATAAGATATACAAATTACCAAAACTTAGAAATAACAGTTCAAAAGTTCAACAAAAATCCTACACGCGTTTTTAAAAAGAAACATATAACCACGCACTATGTCATTCCAGCAAGCGAATACGATACAGCATAGGTTTCCGGACTAAACGACTGGTGTATTTACACCACTCAATAGGCGTGTCGGGTTTGCCGAGCGGTTTCCGATGCAGTCGCTTTCTTTCGCATCTGTTATATGTAATTTGTGACTGTGTAAACAAAGATGCACTTTGGGCAATTATGCAAAAGAACAGAATAACAGAATACCCAACAAATTTCCTACAGTGTGTAAAAGCATCTAAGGTAAAAGCTTCCATAACAACAACGAGTCTAGAGTGTCACCATCATGGCATGGATCACTGAGCGATCCCTTCCTAACAAATACAATAACTCTATTATAGTTGATAGCAAACTGCAGGAAAGGGGAATAGGCATTAGATACAGATGCAAAGGCGCGGCCGGCGTGGCGGTCTGATGTTCAACATATAATTCGGCAGTTTGCCGAATTATATGTTGAACAGATTCGGCATATAACCTCGGCAGTTTGATTTCGGAAAAGGCCAATATCCTTGAAAACTAAAAGACAGGGTTTTCTACAATCATGTCTTGAGCCTAAAAACGAAACTTGCAATGTACCGAGCAATAATAATCCCTGCCATGTTATATGGAAGCGAAACCTGGGTGCTGATGCCGTACCGCCGCGCCGGCACATGAACGCATTAGATAAATTGCAACAGAGACACCTTAGACAACTGTCAAGAATCAAATACCACCATGTCTCAAACGTATCGATCCTTGAAAAAGCTAGCTGCGAAAGTGCTGAAATCATGATTACTAAATTCCGCTTAAGATGGGCTGGTCACGTATGCAGGATGCAAGAAAACCGACTACCGAAATCTCTTCTTTACGGTGAGCTTGTAGACGGTAAGAGGAAACTGGGTGGACAATTCAAAAGGTACAAGTATATTTTACACGAAAACTTAAAGAGGATAAGCAGGTAGAACAAGTGGGAGGAAGCAGCGTGTAATAAAATGCAATGGAGAAGAATTTTAAACTCAGTTAACAACGACAACCAAAAAGTAAAGAGGCAACAATGAGATTGAAAATGTACATGTAATTCCAACAGTGAGACGCCCCTCGGTATTTTTAGACTATAAATAGCAATAATTAATACGATTATTGTTGATTTAATTCTCAATATTCTAAGAAATAATTATTGATATTTAATTTCTAAAAAAAGTTGTTAAATTTGTAGTAAATGTTCCACTGTGTGTTCTAGTTTTTGGTGTTTTTGGTTTACTTACTACCACGTCAGATGTAACAACTTGAACATTCCTTACAGGATCGCTGGGATTGGTTATAATATAATTATGAAGTACAGCATTTGTCTTGTTTTCTGGAACGTTGTAGCCCTGGACTCCATTTTGGTAATTAGTTAACAGCCTATAGTTTGGAGAAGATATTGTCTAAATAAGAAATATAAAGTAAATAAAAAAAACGTTACTTTTGATTGCAGTACTTACGTGTTTTTTGTTATACTCTTTAGCCTCCACTTCTTGACTGTGGCCGTCTTTTATTTTTACTACTCGTGTTTTAGCTCCAACGTTAGGAGACAATTCTTCAATTTTTGTTAAGTATTTTTTCATTTTTTCGGCGTTTAGGGTAGGCTCTGTAACGGCATCCTATAAAATGAGACGGTTAAAATGAGACGGTTATAAATGTTGCTGTTTCTATAGGAAGAAAGGTGTATGAATAAGTGAGAACAAAATCAGAACCCAATAGTAATATTTAATTAATAAAAATAGGTTTGAAATAGGTTTTTGGTAAAAATAGGTTTTGGAAAAAATAGGTTTTTGGTAAATTCTAGACATTAGGTTTCAAAAAATGTTTCGCATGTGGCTCTTTTTTACCCTCTCGTCCTCTATTTTTTATTTTTGAAAGTTGGCAACCCGAACTTTAACCCCCTGCAGCTACAAAACAAAGCAGAATCGGATATGTTGATACAAAAAATAAATCTTATTTTTACGTGAGGAATATCCTCACGAGAGATGGCACATGCGATTTGAAACACCCTGTATAATCTGTCCAACGGGAAATCCATGACAGTGATATATGTGTCTGTCATTTTAATTCACATGTAAATTTATTTTATCTCATTTCTCGAGAAGCAACGGAGAAATTTTTGGTCAAATTTAAAGTGTTATATTTTTGTTATTTTTAGCGAAATTTTCATATTTTTTTACCAAGCTATGAAAGCCGCCTTTTTGGTGATTATTATTAACTATATACTGCTATGAACTGCCCATCATGTTCAACGTTTGGGAAATGCTTGGCAGGAGGGTTAGAAGTCACGAAGCGGTACGAGCTTCATTTAAATGAAATTCGCTTGGACCTTAAAGAAGAATGGGAAAACATAACGCAATATGATATATGCAACCTTAATGACAGTATGAACGGACCTATACAAGCAGTTAGGTTATAGCAGCCAAGGGAGGCAATACAAAGTATTAGGGAAGTTTTTACATTTTCTTTCTGTTTGTATGACGATGATGTTGTCTTTAATATAGTTAGTTCTGTTATTGTTATTAATGTTTATTAAAACCTAGGCTGTATCGTTAGTCTTTAACGTTTTTTTTAAAATTTAGTATAGAGTATCTAAAGCAGTGTATTATGACGTTACGACAATAGTCACCAAAACCATCTCGTCGTATTAAAAAAATACATCAAAATGTAATATTGTTAACCCTGTATAATATGCCAAATACTAAAGTTTATAAAAAAACTGAGTTTACGAATTAAAATTGATATAACTATATGCAGTTTGCTAAATAAATCATGAAAATAGGACTAAATATAACAAAAATATAACACTTTTAATTTGACCAAAAATTTCTCCGTTGCGTTTTTTTGCATCTGAGATCTACATATTATATGACTCTTAATTTAAAATATTGTCATTTCTATAAAATGCCAAACTCTTTTACCAGTTGTCTTATGGTCCCAAGATAAAACGTATTAGGAACTTATAATTTCTGTTTTGGTGCTTGATTTAACTTTTTGATACAACGACACGCATGCTTAGCGGTGACTGGTGCCTTTCATTCTACGCCGACAAAAGCTATGGAAACCCTACTCGACTTACCTCCTCTTCAAATTCTTTTGGAGAGAGAGGCGAGATGGGCTACATATAGGTTTCTAAATATGGCACGAGAGAGCCAAGGAACAATCATGTTCATAAAAAACCGACTAGTAGACGAACTACAATCGGATGAGATTCTGGGAATGATCTCGGATCTCACACCACCAATCCAACTCTTGACGCGCACCTACAACGTCCTGTTTCCGAATAGGGACGAATGGGATAAGCCGAGAAACGGCTTATTAGATGCGAAAATGTGTTGGTACACGGACGGATCCAAAAACGATAAAGGATCTGGCGCAGGAATTTACTGCAGCAGTCCAAAGACTGAGATCTACCACAGTCTTGGAAAACACACCACAATTTTCCAAGCTGAGCTATATGCTATTGAAACTTGTGTGCAACTGCTGGTAGAACAGCAAGACACCGGGAAAACAATAAGCATATTTTCGGATAGTCAAGCCGCGTTGAAAGCACTTGAGGCAACGAAAAGCACCTCTATGACGATTCTTCATTGTAAGAAACTACTCAATATATTAGGAGATAGGAACAAAGTGTCGCTAATATGGATACCGAGACATGTCGGCCTAGAGGGAAATGAACGTGCTGATTCCCTAGCCAAAACTGGTGCAGGCTCGCCATTCGTGGGCCCAGAACCGACACTGGTAGGAACGGAGCGCGTACGCTTACTGCAGTATACACGGGCCATTGCCGGATCACATCTACAGAGGATGGGGCTGGTGGAAGACGCCGAATGCCGACTCTGTATGGAAGATGACGAAACAATGAAGCACGTTATGTGTACCTGCCCCGCTGGGGGCAGGACCAGGTTTGAGGTGTAGAGTGACCCAGAAGACATATCACCCTCGGACATAACGGCCTATGTTAAAAGGCTGGGTCTTGAGGGTGAACTTTAATGCTCTTTTTTTATTAAAGAGCTTGTAGAAACTGAGCCACAATAGGCCCTCGCGGCCGCAGTGGCGGGTCCCACCTGGGACCCACTCTTAGTCAAATACAAATACAATAACTTTTTGATGAAAAGTTCTTTTACTAAGTTTTTCAGAAATAAAAGGATGAATATACATTTCCTAATCTTACCGTATTTTGAGGCATATTGAAAACTACACTTGTGTCTGCTTTGGTCCAACCTGAGGGCGCATATGTTTTTCCAGATCCAATTATCGAAACGTTTAGATTACATTTTTCAACCAGTTTGACAAATTCCACCAAGGCTTCGGGGATGGGCACTTTCGACGATTCCTCGCTTGAGTCGTCATCCTTACTTCTTTTACTTAAAGAGCTAGCAGCAGCCTAAGATCCGTACAATAAAAAAGTTTAAATAAGATGGTTTAGTATAAAACTTCAACATTACTATTTGGCACTAGGTACTAGTGGTATGGTGCACTAGTGATATGGTATATAGTAATATTTTTTCAATCAGTTCATCAAAAACGTATTTTAGAATCTAATTTGGACAAAAATTTTGGATTCTATAGGCTTGGTGCATTCTCCGACGGTGCTGCAACCATCGGAATCTATTATTCAAGTCAATAAAACTTTTTAGACGAGTTCAACTACGGTAGCGAGAAGAGTTTTACCGGTTTTGCTAGTGGGAACATAACTGAGGCTATTTAGGCTGTGACGAATTTTTTTAAAGGTATAGTTATAATTTTAGAAGATGTTCATAAAACATTTAGTAGCCCAGTTATCGTCATATTTCTATATTTTTTAAACAATTAAGAAACTCAGAGGAAAAAATTCTATAGTTTCAGGGGTGGTATATTTCGACCCCAGGAACAGAATTTCGCAAAAAAAGATGTTGAAAATCGTGCATTTTCTTTTAAATTTCCCTGTATATTTTTCGAAAACTTTTTAGAACTGCCTGTTCACCGCAAATTTTTCCACGGTATAAATTCTTAATCTCTGATATTACCATAGTTACAGCTTTACTCTATGGTTACGGTACTAAAAAGGGATGCAAATACAGAAAAAATTCGGTGGCTCTCAAATTTTTTCCAAAAAAAAAAAATTTTTTTTTAAATTTTCAAACTTAAATAACTCGGTTATTTCGGACTTATTTGAAAAATGGTAAAGGGAAAATATGTTTCTTTTATCGAGATCTACCAGCCCTGAAAATATTTGCACTTATTTAAGACTCACCCTGTGTATCTGGAAACGCCGCAATATACCTTTTTTAAATGGCGCACTTCATCTACGTAGGATAACGACTATTTTAGTTGGAAGTTCGAAATCAGACATTGACGAGAAACCACACATTTCTAATAAGGTAAGAATAGAGCAACAGTTTTTTTTTATTTCCTTTCAAAATACTGTAATTTAGGATACTAAGGTCCAAACAAAATAAATTACCAGTGTAAGAGGTTCTCTATTTTATGTATTTATATAAAAAAATATGTTTTTTCCATAATATTAATAAAAAAATAGGTGACGGTTTAAGGTACGCGCACACTGACCAGCGCCGCACTCGCCGCACGAATCGCACTTTTTTTTTGTCGCGCACACTGACCCGTTCCGAACGCGCCGCATTATTCGCTATTTTGTTTTTTTTACCCCGTTTTTACCGTATTTGCCAATCCAATTTCTCATCAGTCGTTTCCGGTGTCCTGTCTGCGGTTATAAGCCTGTTTTTTTTTTAATATTTCTCGACAATGAATGACAACGAACAAGAAATAATTATGAGCTCCTTGCTAATAGAAGAAGAAATCACGAGAAAGAATCGAAAGTTATAGGTTTACAATATTTGCAAAAATCCATATTATTTCCATATTTAATTGAGGATGAACTAAAAATTTTTCAATATGAGCCGTGAAACATTTGCGAACTTTCTTAGCATATTGAATTTCTAATCTCGGCTACCTACGTAGAGTGGAAGGAATTGCGTGTGACGTCAGCAGCACTAGCCGCATTTACCGAAAATCATTCTGGCCCAAGAATGCTGGCCGCATATTTGTCGATGCGATTCGCGCGGCTCTGATCAGTGTGCGCGTACCTTAATGGGACATGCCGCAACGGAGCGTGCCATATTATGGTCACCATTGACGAAGATTGGATCATTATAGGCAGTATTATTATTTATTCAGTATAACATTCATTTTTCTATAATTTAAATATTTCTTTCCAAAAATGGAAGTTTGAAGATGCTCTATTGGATGTGCCCAATTTTCGTCACCCACTTTTATCATTAATTCTGCCTTAAATTGTCAGTTAAAAATGGATGACGACAACTGGACGTCTGTGACGGAATTTAGGCCATTAGACATGAAAGCCATATTTATAGGCTTCCTGTAAGTTCTCTGTCATTTAAAAAAAAATGAAATGTCATAGTTCTGGGGACATTTTGAACCATATTAAAAGTGATATTTATGATACAAATATTAAAAAAAAAATGAAATAAAAGAGTTATTAAAAAATAAATATATTTTTTAATAAGTTAAGAGTTAGTATATTATAGCAGTAAAATTTATTTACTAATATAATGTTACTGTTTTTGGTTTAATCTATTTTATAAAAATGTTTAATACTCGGTATTCATTAATGCTTATGACTGCATTATTTTTGAGTTGATATCGGAGATATTCTTAATTAACATTTTATTTTGTATGCTTATTTTTTAAATGTTTGTTTTATTTTTGTTTTTTTTTGCAATGTTTCGCAATCCCTAAATAAACTTTTGTAAAAAAACAGATTTCGAAAACAGAGAAGTTCAAAAATATGACTAAAATTAAGTACGAGGTGATTCAAACTTGACGAATTTTTTGGTATCTATAATCCTTCGGATGCCAAAAAGTGGGAAAATATTGTAAAAAGGTAATACACCTTAAAAGTTATGTTTCTTAAAAAGTTCAAGTTTTTGTCTAAGTTAGGTATATCTTAAATATATTTTAGTAAACGGGTTGTATGAAAAACTATGTATGAAACACATTATTTACATTAAAACTTACAATTGTGCAAAAGCCTAAAGCTGTAAATATTATTATCTTGGGTAGCATCGTTCAGATATATACAAATCACAGTTCAGATAGTTACTGAAATATTTTATTATTTAAGATTTTACTAAGACATTATCGTTGTTTAAAAATATAATGCAGGAAAAGGTTATCACTGCTGTTATGTATTGGATTATATCAACTTCAGTAATTTGTTAAAAACAAGGATCTGTTTGTTGTTATTAAATATAGTTGCTAATTAACAAAATACAACTTTTAAAAATAAAACGGTATTAGAATTACAATAAATTAGTCAGTACAATAAATCAGGTAAGATTTCGACAGACGATGGCAGAAAAAAGGCAGGCGACCATAACCGTCCAATTTTTTTCACTAGCAAGTTTCTGTCTTTGTTTAAGTTAATTATGGATTATTTTATACACGGTCGGCAAAGATTGACTTTGGGTGTTCTGATTTCCGTGTCTACGAAGAAGTATAGTCAATGCAGGCTTGCCACCTTTTTTTTTACTTAAAAAATCGGGACAGCACTGGTGCAACCTTTTTTCTTAAATATAAAATTCTATGTGCCCATCGAATTCTGAAACAATATTTTATGCCTTTTTGCGTTAACTTAAAAAACTATTCAAAATTTATAAATAATTATGGAAAAATAAAAAATGTAAAGTTGAAAACAAAATAATAAACAAGAAAACAATCAATTAAATCTAAAACAACTAGAACAAAACCTAAATAAAATCAAAAGTTTCAGCTGTATAATCTGTATAATTGGCTTAAGTAATTAGTTTATTTAATTAAAAAAAAATAAAACACTAATTGACCACAATACACCAAAACACTTTAAAATATAAAATACTATACAAGCATAAAAAGGCCTTGACCCATACAAGTGCACTAATAGGCCAGTCGCCAAGTATTAAAAAATAGCTTATGGCGGGAGCAAATCCGGACAAGCTAGAATACATTTTATTTTGTTTAGTTTAGTGTAAGGAACCACGTGTTAAATTTGCACCATCCCCAAAGCCCGGATTTGGCCGCCATTTTGGGAAAAGTGGCTAAAATTCGGATTATTTTTCATTATTTGTAATAACCTAACCTAACCTAACTCGATTTCTATCAACTTTAGTGCAAAAAATGTACAGACCAAAATTAAAGAAGAGGAGAAGCTCTATAAAAACGTTCTATGTAGTTTTTCCGTGCGACGACCCGTTTCCAAGTTATCTCGGTTTAAACACGCTAAATATATTATAAGCAGTTATTATTTCCTCTATTCTAGGCAGTTTTTGCTCCTCTCCCCCCTTTCCGAGAACCTTAATCTATACGGATCCAAAAAATGCGACTCATTAGATAAGTACAGATACCAGTGTTTCGTAAAATCTATTACCAAAAGCTTACCAAACCTGGCATCATTACCACCGACCAAAGACGCAGCTCGCTTGCACTCCTTCTGTACGTATATATACAGTCAGGTACAGCTATGGTATGGGAATGAAAAATCACCTCTGGATTGGGGATGGAAAAATTCAAAGAATTAGTTGATGCCCATTGCTACTTCCCAAGATGCAGCTCCACAAGAATTATTAAATCTGATTTCATGTAAATGTGCCAAAGGTTGTAATACATCTTGTAGTTGCCGCAAAGCAGATTTGCGTTGCTCGGTAATGTGTGCACTTTGTCAGGGCAAATCATGTTCGAATAGTTTGGAGGTGGCAAAATTAGACGAAGATGAGTACGAGGACAATTTTACTCTCGATAAAGATCAACGAAAAGAAAATTCTGCACCTTATGAACCAGATCCGGAATATACCAACTAGCATTTATAGTGGCAGATACGTAACTGCTACTATCAAAGCTACTACAAAGTGGGCGGTGACCATCGGCGGCTACGTCGGATATTCGTAGCTGCGAAGTAACTGCGACCAAAATGGGGAAAGATTTTGAGTAGCCGGGTAGTGTCTTGGATAGTTTTTGCCACTAAAAGAGTTACTATGATGTGTTACTATAAAGTAGCCTACTGAGTTCGTGGCAGCTAAGTGTTATCCACCGAGATGTGGAACTTTCGTTAAACTGTTGAACTTTATTCGCCGCGACCTCTTTATGCAATTTCACATTTCATAAAAATAAATGTCATGATGGAAAATAATTATGGAAGCCATTATTATTTTTTCGTTTGTATTTGTTATTTACCGTGCAATTTTAACGCTTTTTTTAGGTAAATTCTAGAACGCAATCAAGTTTACTGAATAAAATAGTGGGTTTATATAAAAAAAATTTCGGGCGCCTCTCAAAATATTTCAAATTATTATATTCTTTGCAATAGAAACTCATGTTTGTAATTAAAAAATA